ATTCCTGAATCCTCCAATGTTTACCTTTTCGCCAGCAGAGTGCAAAGAGCGTCGCGAACGTGCTTCAACCGAAAGTATCTGCGTATCTATCGGATGGCAGCTCGCCTTTGGATACACTCCAATGAAAATACTTTGCCTAATCCATGAATCCTTGCATTGGCAGCCATACCTCACCCAGCCACAGGTGACCATTCGACGCATTACTGAATAATCAACAAGGATTCGAATGATTCAATTCGACTTAGCTCGAGTTGGGTTAAGTGAGTAATATTTTGAGCAGAGTTTAGATTATAGCACATATATAATCAAAGATGTAGATGCCACATGGCCCAGCCCAATTATATTAAATCTAATATATGATATAATCGTAATATGTAACTTTTTTCTATTGAATTGTATCCTCTTTCTCTAATTTCGTTTTTAATTAAAACTTGTGCACACATTTTCTTTACGGACTGCGAAACATGCAACAGATTTTGAGTGCATAAGTTTTATATAAAATAAAAGATTATTGGAATCAATAAATGTGCAAAGATATGTAACTAACATTTTTAAGAGTACCTGGAAATGAAAGTTTCTTGAAATTTGAAAGCAGTTGAATGCTTTAAAGCTAAACAAATTTTACAAAATTCACATTTTAAAACTTTCACAAGTGTTAAGTCTTTTCATCTTAAATCGAACTTCTTTTTAGTGCTAGTTTTTATGAGATTTTGCCCTTGAAGAAATATGCAATTTAATCCAAATGGAGTATTTTATGGCAATCTATAAGCAGGTAAAATAGAAGCCTATCGCCTTGAAGAGAATTTGGCGATAGCACAGTATTTAGTCAGCTAGCAAAAGAAATGTCATTCGATATCACAAACAATGTTTGGAGAAGAACGAAAGTCTAGTAAAGTATACCTAAATGGTGCCATGTCTTACTATAGCAAATGTATCCGCCAGGCGATACTAACTGCAATCTGACTGCAAAAAAAAAGCATTCCATTTCAAAAAACACTCTGAAAGTAATAAGGGAAGTCTAGTAAAATATCTGTAGGTGTTACCAACCTTATAGTACCTGTTGCTATCGCCAATGTATCCGCCAGGCGATACTAATTTCAATTTGAGAGCATAAAAAGCGGCATACTATTTCAACAAATAGTGTAAAGACAAACGAAAGGTCTAGTTGCAAAGTTATAAATAGAACCGAATGCACAAGGCTTCATGCTATCGCCAATGTATCCGCCCGGCGACACTAATTCCCATCTGCCAATCAATACGCCTTCCTTTCCACTCCACAAACTGTCGCAAAAGTGAGCCAATTCGCTGGGAAAGAAAATAAAAGAGCAATGAAAAATAATTACTTTTCATTTTTGATTATAATCAAATATTATTAATTGCTTTTGCAAGTTCTTAGTGTATATCGAATTCGTTTCGTTTACTCTAAATGGAAAAAAACTCACCCGAAGCCATCCAGCTATTTAAATGGGCGTGTCTGCCGCTTGACCATGGGCGGTAATGCAAAAAACATAGCAAAGAAACAAAATCCAGAACAATATGCAGCAAAAAAGGCTGTCTACCCTGCAAATAGTCCAGGTACATGCACTGTGGCACAGTGTGCACTCTAATATTTTTGTAGAGTCATTTATTGTGCTGGCAACAACAGATATTGTTGCTCTTACTGTTGTGACAAAGCAAACAATTGAAGTAGGCGGGGCAAAAACAGTTCGAGCTGCAGGTGGAGGCTCACCTGCCCCCCGCCCACCTGCCTGTCTGCCCGCCTGTCTGCCTGGCTGCTGGTCACTTGGCAAAAACAAAGCTGTACGCAAAAATTGCCACGATTTTTTTGTTGTTGCCTGTTGCAGTAAATATTTTCAGAAAACTGAAATCACATTTGCGCCGAGGTGCGAGAGGCGATTTTTGGGCGTGTGGATGAAGCCACCAGACCGGACGAGTTACCTGGACACGGAAAGCAGAAAGCGGAGCAAAGGACAACGAGTCGATGGCATATAAAAGAGATTTCCATTTGCAGACACAGCACACGCGCTGCCCCAACTAAATTATGATACAATTTTAGCACTTGTGTGTGTGTGTGTGTATGTGTGTGTGTTCTTCACAGAAAGTATTTATCCCCATCGAAAGTTTTAGCTGCACTGGACACTGTCTTACCACAAGGCTGGTTTGTAAGACTCTAAGTTAATTATACACTCTCCTTCTATCCCCCCTTTCCTCTCCCTCTCCCTCTCGGCAATTGTTGTTGTGTTTTGGGGTAACTTGAAACGGCAAATGGGACAAAAATTGAGTGGATAGAGCTGCAAAAGGCTTCATTGCATAATGGGGCCAGGATGGCGATAATGAGTGTTATGGCAACGCCGGGAATAGCCATCAGCAAAAGGACACTGACGCCAGCTGTTGCGCAATGATAAAACCAGACTACGGTTCGCTATCGGAGCCGCAATACGACGGCCGTACGATATGTGATATATTTTCACATGAGAAATGCATAGAAGCTCATCGAGTTAAACAATATAATTAATTTTGATTGACCCAAACAGACAAAAGCTAGCTAACTGCCATTAATATGAAATAGCTTACAATTATTATTAACAACAGGTTTTCCGACCCCAATAGCTGCATATTTAATTTAAAGATCGGAGAAGAAGCTCTTATCAGCTTATATTCATCTCAAGAAACAGCAAAAAGTTTAGTAGAAAGAGAGATAAACACTCTAAATTAATGAAAAGCCTCATTCGAAGGGAGAAGCAAAGCAAGAAGTAATGTGAGATGAATGAAAGATGAGCTTAAGCAATGAAATTAAACGAAAAGCAACTAGATATACACAGCAAAGAATTCAACGAGAAATAAGTAGGAAAGCGCGATAAGCAAAGCGAGAAGCAAGGTGTGAAATAAGGCGATAAGTGAAGCAGCAAGAAGCAAAGCAGAAAGGTTATACAGAACCAAAAGAAGTACTTAAATACCTCAAAGTAAAAAAGTATGGCTAGGTGCTTTATTTACTTCTTGCTTTGGCTTTCTCTTTAATTCCCTTGTGAAGCCTAAGAAATCACGTATAGAGTATTTTAACTCGTTGCTTCTCTCTTTGCTAATAACTTGCCTCATCACTGCGCTGATTGTCTTCACTTCTCTTATGGCTCAATTATCATTTTCTGATTGCCTTTTAACAGTTTTGTGCTTGTCTCGTGGCTTTCGCTTTTTACTTTTCTCTCACATTGTCTCTTCTCTCTGCACTTCTCTAACTGAAGCTCACTTCTTTCGGTGATTCGATAGTCACTTTTCTAATAGCTTTACTGTTGTTTTCCCTAATGCCGAGCCCTTTATCTCACAGCTGCAAATTTTGGTGCTCAACTTCTCCAATCAGTGGAAATTGTGCTGCTACCTTTGAATGCAATCCGAGCAAATTGCTCGCATATTGCCAGACAAATAGTTAGATAATTTGGTTCCTCTGAAACAACTGTCAGCACAAATTTGATGTCCTACTGCTGCTGCTGCTGCTTTGGCAGTTGGCTCTAAATAGTTGGTGACTTTTTAATTGCAGCCTCATAAGCGTACTGCAGTCGAACTCAAAAGCTTTACAGTTGGGCAACAAGAGCAACAAACGGCAGCCAACAATTGGCCAGGGCAAAAGTTTTACTTTGACAGGCGGGTCCCAGACCGAACAGATGCCCAGTCAGAGCCAGGGCCTTTGGCCAGGGGCTGGCATTAAAGGTAACAACAACATGCTTTAAGCATATATGATACATCTACATATGTATATGGCAACCAGGTGGATACATGCGCCAGGTATGACCTGCTGCTGCTGTTGCTTTTCTTGTTGTTCTGTTTTGTTGAATGCTTAGGATTGGTTTCCTGGAAAAGTCATAAAAGCGTACAAAAGCAACTGGCATAGAAATGCCAAGCCAAACAATACAATTTGTTACCAATTAAATGACTGCATTACATAATAATAATAATAATAACAGCAGCAACAATAACAACAACAGCCTGAAGTGGCAGCTGCCTCCCCCCCAACAACACACCACCCGCCCCCACATTACAGCTGAATTGAGTGACAGACAAGGCAACGCCTGGCGTCAGCGAAGCCAGCCAAGTGTGTGTTTGTGTGTGTGTGAGTGTGAGTATGCGTGTGCGTGTGTGTGTGTGTGCGTGTGTGTATTATGGGTATACGTAAGCATACAGAATCCAGGATCCGGCCAACGCATATTGGTTGTCAAAGTAACCGAATCAATAGCATAAAACTCAGGACATCCAGGACTCAAGGCACATTGGGCACTAGAGATGGGCGCGGGCCGGATTTTTGCGACACGAACCAGCACGAACTCCAAAATAACGAAACACGAAAAACATATATACATACTTAACATACATCACATATATACACACAATCAAAAATAAACATACATAAAAAAGAATAATATATTTTGATTAACGGAAAAAGGAAAAAAATTGAATTTCTCTTTAACTGACTCACGTCAGAAAACTCGGAAAATCGATCCTAAGGATAGTAGAGGTGAAATGTGAACTATCTGGCGTGAGTCAACAATTATAACCGAAATATATAATTTGTTACAAATATCTTACTTTCGTGTTGGTGAAGTCGTGTTACGGAGAAAAGCCCGGCACGTGTCCATCTCTACTAAGCACACGCACGCACACACACACACACACACACACACACACACACGCATTCGACTTTTCGCCCAACGTCTTTTGATTAGAAGGTGAGAGCTAACAACGCCAACAACAACAAATTTTATATTACTTCATTATGTGTTATGCTTTTTGATTTGATATCATAATTTGCTTGAGCTGGGCTCCGGCTTGGCATTTAAATAAATTGAAATATCCCCATTCATTAGCAAAATTAGCGCAAAAATTCCAATATGCCCGAACATCAATTAAAATGGAATCAAACGCATTTTTGTTTATATCAAAATATATATATATAAATGTTTATTAGTAATTTTTATGGATGTGTATGTACGCGTGTGTGTGTTGCAATTAAATTTTTCGCTTACAAATTGCAAACAATTTATTCATTTATTATTTATTTGTTTATTCTTGTTATTGACTTTAGGTCTTTCTTCAATAATTACCATAATTATTTGAGGGGCGGGCCTCGTAGCCAAATCATTTTACCAAATATATAAACACTTTTCCCACAATTCGCTTTCAATTGATTTTTCTTGTTTTTTTTTTTTCTTTTCGGTTGTGCACACACACACAATACATGATCAGAGCGCTCACAATTTCTATGCACAATTATTGTTTTTTTTTATATATAGATTTTATTTCATGTGATTTTTTTTATGCATCCAGTTCAGTGTTCTATGCTAGCATTTATTGGTTCAATTAAAAACAATTTGTGTATTTAGTTATCAGTTTGTGTACTTACTTGTGGTGTGTCTGTGTGTGGGCGCGTGTCTGAGTGGGTGTGTGTGTGTGTGTTTTTCACACCAACGAACCTTGAAATAAACGCAAGCTCTTTAAGCTTCTCAGCAATCTGGCAACTCCATCAGGCAATTTGGGGGCCTATTAGTTGGCTGCGCATGAAATTAGGGTATGAGAATTCTACTTTTATAAATGTTTTAGCAACCCGGCCATGCCAAAAAACACTTTATTGGCTTATTAAGTTGGTTGTCCTTTTTTTTAGGGATCATTTTTGAATTACTTAGCCTTCGGGCAATTGTTAATTACAATCTGGGAATACTTAGTTGATAACGTCTGCTGCTAACGTGACGTTACAAGATTTCACAAATTCACAATGTATACTACATAAAAGTAGTAACTATCCAATTTAATGCACATTTGCAATTAATGTGCTCAAATTAACATTAAACTTAAGAATAAAAATGTATCTTTGGCATTTTTTATTCAAAATAAATTGATACCGTTATTGTTGTGTGTGTTGTTGTTGTTGTTACAAAATACAGTGTAAATATTTTAGGCTTAATGAGCTTATACAATTTACTCAATTTAGTACACATAATCGTACATATATGCTTAATTTAATAGGCTTTACGCCGCATTGCGGTCGCATTTACTTTAACTTTCCTTCTTTTTTTTTTGTTTTGCATTTGTTTTGTTCATTAAGTAATTTGTTTCTCATAATGTTTTTTTTCATTCATTTGTTTTTCTCAGACAAAATATTGCTCTAACTTACATAGATGACGCTCTCGTATATAAAAATCAATGGACATACTCACTAGATAGCTAAAATATGCAGTTTTTAGTACAATTCAAATGGTTCCTCCTCAAGTAATTTTAAGTTTAAGTATATATATATATATATGTGTATAAATACGTGTAAATTCTAATCATATAGGGTTTGTAAAATCAATTAATAACTAAGGGGACTACTTTAAGTAATGATTTGATATACTTTGTGTGTGTGTTTCGTGTGGGCGTGTGTGTTTTGTTGTTGTAGATCATTACGTTTTGGGTTTGATTTTGGTGGTATGGAGGAAGCACTTGTGGGGCAACTATAGGAATTCGGAATATGTACTATTATTTTGATTTGTAGTTGTTTGTTTGTTTGTTTGTTTATAAATGAATTGTGTGAACGTACTCACTATTCAATTGGCAGCTGTATCGAGTATAGCATAAATTTAAAAAGTTAACCATTATAAAAACGATTGCTTCTTAAAAACTAAATGCAAAATTGAAGCAAGATGCCCCCTGCTCAAGTGACTGCAATTATAAATATATATATGATATGATAAAATACTAGACGGCCAACAAGTTCGAACTGCATATAGAATGTGGCTAAAGTGTTGGCCCCCTCAAAGAAAAATAGAATTGGTCTGGGCAGCGGCCAGCTTTTGAAGGGGGAGAGAATTCTTTAGGTGAGCTATTCTTGGTACATTTCGGACGGTACTGGCCAAAAAAGAGGGGCTAAACAATTCGGCTTAAATAGCTCAAGCCGAACGTCTGTAGGCTGCACATTAATTAACAATAATAAATAGTTCGATACATAAGGGTCGAGGCTGGGCAAAGGGCATGGGTCAAACGGCGGCTGGCCGCGTTTTAACGTGCTTTAAATGCTATCCTATAAAAAGGTTCGCGTGTGTGTGTGTGTGTGTTTTTCAAGCTCTTTCGCTTGCTTACTAAAGTGTGTGTGTGTAGTGTGTGTGTGTGAGTGCGTGTCTGTGTGTGTGTACATATAAGTTAAGGTACATACTAGATAAATTATATGCAGCATAGTTAGTTTTACTTAAATGTTTAGTTTTTTTTTTTTAGTTTTAGCTTAAGTTGTTAGCCAAGTCGCGTATTGAAATCGTTAATTGATTGTTTTACAGTTGTGTCCGTACATAATACCGTTTCATAAATATTATCATAATTGTGGGCGGGGCTGTCGACTTGCACCTCTATTCAAATTCAGAACAACTTTTGAGTTAACGTTGATAATGTTGATATCGAGGGTGCGAAAGATATCTTTGATTAAGATTGTAAATTGTTTTACATTTTTGTGTTTGTTAAGAATTGATTAATAGTGATTATTGTTGCTGTTGCTGCTCTTATTGTTGTTGTTGCTGCTGCTGCTGCTTTTGCTGCCGTTGACACATTTATGGCGATACATATGGCGGTGGCTTGCGATATGAGGGCGTTGCCGGTGATTTCCCTCGCACCTCGCGTCCGCCCAGCACCACAGCCGGCGGTGGCACATACTCATCCACATCGTTGTCGCCATTCATATTGGAGGTGTTGTACGAGGGCGGCAAAAGCGGGGGCTTCTCGTCCTTAAGTATGACTGGACTCTTGTTGCCTATTTCGGGCTTTTCCTCGAACTCGTCCTGAAAGATAACAGGTATGCCCTTGGTCCGGAACGATTTACGCTCCTCCTCATCGCCTGCAAGGGTTTACAAGATTACTTTAACTTTCCTGCAAGTGCAAATATAGAGATTTGAAACTTACCCAACTCCATTTTGCCGCTCTTGTGGCGGCGTCTATGCAAACAGCAGGCTATGATGGACGCAAGCAATATCATGACCACAATTATAACAGCGGGCAGTATAAAGGTGGCGAAATACTCATCGGGAAAGGTTGGCTTTAAGCTCGGCTCCTTGCTGCGTGGTGGTATGTACTCGTGCTGGCTGATGTCGCTGTTCTCCGCATCTAAAAAGGAAAAGAAAAACAGATTAACAATGTTTTCCTATGCCCAAGTGTGTTGCTTCACTTACGATGGCAGGATCCGGAGGGCACCACCGTAAAGCTGGTCAGATTTAGCTCCGGTCCGAGGGCTTTCTTTACGCTAAGACTGGGCATCATATCGCTGCTCAGATAGATGTTGCGTGTGGCGGCCATCTCCTTGTCGGGACAGCGATTGTGCGTCTTGTAAAGCGAAGCATTGTAAAAGTTGACAATTGTCCCATCCGAGTCATGGTGCGTGGTAATGGAGCGCACCACAATCTGATTGGTATTGGCATCGCCGTGCAGCTGGGCAATGCGCTCCACAAACTTACGCTGCAGTTCCGCATTGAAGCTCTCGTGGCGTATGGCCAGATACGCCTTGTACAGTATCGCGTATTCTTTTTTGGGCGTATGGGTGACGACAACGACGAGTGCATCGTTGGCACTCAGGCCGCCGCTGTCCTCGGCAATGAGTAGATACTCCTCGGTGCCAATGTCGCCGCTCTTGGGTATGCCATAGAATTCCTGATTCTTCGAATCGAACTGCAGCCAGTGGCGTGTGCTGAGCTCCTTGTGCTCCTTGGTTTTCAGCGTGAGCGTCAACTCATTGTCGTTGGGATCGTAGAACGTATCGCTGGGCACCTTGTAAACGAGCAGCTGGCCAACGGACGCGTTCACACGATCCACCTGATTGCGCGGCATGGGCGGCAAATTCTTGGCCATGTGCGTTGTGGGCTTAATCTTGGCCAGCTCAGTCTTTTGGCAGGCGCCAATTAGCTGACCCATCACAGACTTGATGCTCAGCAACGGCTGCACGAGATTGTTCAAGCGCTGCACATCCAAGCGCTGCACCAGCTCATTCAGCTCCGTTTCGGGACAATCGCTGGTGGGCAGCGTCTCATTGAAGTACACGAAGCTGGCGCTTTGTGGGTCCTGCAGCGTCTGTCGTATCTCGCGCACCACCAGCGCCGAGCTGCTGCCATCCTCCAGCGTGTGCGCAATGGCCTTTATAAGCTCCAGCTGCCAATCGATGTTGTGGCCGTGTTTCTCATTGATGCGCACCGCAATGCTGATCTCATGATTAATGGTGCGCACCGCACGATGCTGCTGCACACTGATCTCCACAGTCTCCGTGACGCTGGCATTGCCGGAATCTGTGGCCGACAGGCGATACTGCCAGCGCGACACGGCATCGTCCAGTGGGCTGAATAGAAACAAGATGTTCAAATAACTTGCTCAAATCCTTCAAAATTGGACACTTACAGGCCGTAGAGCTCGCGTTTATCGGCATTGAATTGCAGCCAGGATGTGGGCTTCAGCTCGTGGCCATCCTTATCGGTTAGCTCCAGGCGCAGATTGGTTTGATCCTCGGCATCGAAGAACGTTTCCGTGGGCACAACAAAACTAAACGCCTTGCCCGACGGCACAGCCAACTTCTGCAGACGCATTTTAATGATGGGCACGCTATTCTCCTGCCGCGGCTCCACATAATCCGTGGACGCATCCGTCGAGCTGCTCACCTCCAGCTGCGGCTGTCGGGTCGTCGTCGTCGACGCTGCCGTTGCCAGCTGAAGCATAAAATGTTCAGCAATCAGTTTGGTTTAGTTTCATTTTATGATTGACTCACCTCGTTGCTGGTGAGGTTGGGCACGCTGCTATTGCTGGCGGCTTCGAGGGCGTCGACAGCATCTCCTGCCTGGGAATTACAGAGAACTCATTAAATGACATACGAACTGGCTAATTGGAGTGACGCGCTTTTATTTCTTTTCTTTTTTTTAAGTGTCATGCTTGAATAGTGTGGAGCTAAGGGCAAGCAGAGCTGTTACGGGGGGTGCCACAGATACAGATACAGATACAGATACATAGCTAAATATACTTATAGTGGAGATACATATACTATTCATGCAATACCAGGGAAGTGTACATGCGAGGAGAATGCGCTGTTAATCAGCGCTGATTGGCATCCCATTTCAAAAGGATAAGTGCATTAGCCGTAAACGTTGAAATACCTTAATTGGCTTAACTAGTTGGCAATGGGAGGCGGCGGCCCACGAGGATTTACTCTGCCTGGGCTGGCCGGGGAGATTGGCGGGGGGTTTTTGGTTTTGGTGCAGCTTATTAAATTTTATATATAGATATTTATATATACATATAGCTACTTTTATATGCATACAGGCGCGTGTTTGGGCGGAAGTAGTATTAGTTCACCTTGGGGCTAATCGAGAGCGTGCTGTGCGCGTGCGAAGCCGTCGTCGTGGACTCGACTAACTCGATCTCGGCCAGCGTTGTGGCTGCCACATCCGCATCAGGCACATCCGTTGCTGGCGGCAGCCAGGTGCTCGGCTCTAGCTCATTTGCATTTGTCTGCAGTTTGCATTTTTGTTTTGTTTTTTTGTTATATTTGGATTGCAAAACAGAAATTCATGAGATAAACAGGACAAAAAGGTCATCGAAAATAAATGCGAGCAGGTTCGACTGGAGCTGATAAACTGGCTAACTGGCTAATATAATAATCAGAGAAAAACTCGCTCAAGCGCAGCAACGAGGGGCAACAAATCTTAGAGAAAGTGAGGCCTTTATATTGAGAATATTACTTTGAAGAAATAGATGTTCATGCTATAATAAATCGATATACCTGAGACGAAATGGTCTTTCTAACTAAGAGGTGAGTTTATATATATATAACATTCTATTGAATTAATGTTTCAATTATAATTGCTAATTATCAGGACTTTGCACTGACCCACCTCTATTTGTCTATCTAAACAATTTTCTTTAGTTTTGAAAGTTTTCAAAGTTTTGAACTCATACATTTTATAATACTATAAAATCATGGCACATCATATGTATCCTATTTTGTAACCACAATATCTTTTAACTAATTGGGAACTACAAGAATTTCTTTTGGATATTTTTTTTTTGAGATTTCCCGTGCAAAAAGTTAGTATGGCTAAAAGCTGCGAAATAGCCGAAACCTTGTAAAACCTTCACCAAAAGCCCTTAATATAAAAGATTAACAAATAAAGTAACTAAAATCAAAATATATATAAAATAAAACTATAAATAAATATCTAAACATAACAATATTAAAGCTAATTTAATTCGAATACTTAACTAAGTATTCATTTTTTAATTTATTTTTAGATTTTAAAGATGAACTTTCTTTAACTAAATCTGCAACATATGAACTTAAGCTTTACACTTTCTAGGGATTAGATCTGCGGCAACATACGATTTTTAACAATTATGCAACACTGTATACAACACAAACACAACATTATATATATATCACACACATATATATGTATACAGCTAGTTTTATATATGTATGTATGCGCCGAGTGAGTGGGTGGGTGAGCGGGCGGCGCGGGCGGCGCGGGCGGCGCGGGCGGCGCGGGCGGCGCGGGCGTCATTGGACAGGAGACAAGTACAGACACATAAAAGGCTAAACAACAGTTACAATTGTCGCACAACGAGAGACATAAAGAGATACAAACACACACACACACAGAGAGACACACTCAAGCACACATACGCACACTCAGACACACACACACAAAAGCGACATTACCTTTGGCGTTTGTGATTGTGTTGTAGTTGTTGTTGTTGTTGCTGTTGTTGTTGTTGGCATTGTTGCAATTGTTGTTGTTGTTGATGATGATGAAGTTGTTGGGTATAATGACGTTGAAGATGATGATGGTGCAGTTTCTGTTGTTGTTGTTGTGAGAGTGTTAGCCATATCAAAGTCTACGACACTTGGCGTGCTTGGTGGGCCAACCGCTGGGGCTGAGGCGGAGGCGGATGCTGATGCTGTGGCTGGGGATATGATGCCAGGAGCAACAGGATTGCTTCCGCTCCCGCTGCTGCTGGTGTTGGAGTTGGTGGAGGCAGACGATTCGACAGTTTCGATGGTGGATGCAATCGCGGGGGATGAGGATGAGGTGTAAATGCTGGGATGGGACATGGAGGAGCTGGCGTCGTATGGTGAAAATGACTCAGACTCGGTTTGGGCAGGCACGAACCCAGGCATAGGTGTGCCTGGTGTGGCAGGTGTTAAATTGTTGTTGTTGTTGTTGTGGTTAGTGGTCGTTTGTGAGGTGCTCGTTGCAGCGTGCTCGGCTACATCAACAGCGACGGCCGCAGTGTCAACCTGGTTGTTGTTGTTGTCTTCTGCGTCTAGGTTTACCGTTGCCATGGAGGAGCTGCTGCTGCCAGGCGCAACTGTTGTGGTTGGCTGCAGCTCCTGCTCCAGCTGCTGTTGTTGTTGCTCGCGGCCCGTTTTGAGTTCCAGCTCATTGCCGAGCTCATTTTCATTATCCACAATCACCGGCGCTGCGGGCACGCCCAGCTGCTGCCTGTGCGTAGTCTGGCCAAGCTGCTGCAGCTCAACATCCTCAACGTCCTCGTCGACATCGTCGACATTGAGCACCGGCAGCTCCTTAATATTTTTGGTATTCTCAATCGTTTTGCTAATGACAGACTCCAATTTGGAGACGCTCTCTTCGATCTCCTCATCCAATTTGCTAGCAGCTGGCAAGGAGGATGCCGAGGAGCTGCTCATGCCCGGGTTCTCTTCGTGCTCCGACTGCGGATTAGTTGTGTGTGGTTCATGACGATTGTTGTTGTTGTTAGAGTTGTTGGAGTTTTTGTTAGTTTATGAATAATTAGCATTCAGTCAGTAACAGTTAAGTAAATGAGCACAGCGAGAGAGAAAGTTAGAGATATATTGAGAAACGAGAATGTAAACGGCAAAAAAAAAACGAGAGAGAGAGAGAGAGAAGAAAAGACGAGAACACCGTATGATGAATTACATACATGTTAAAGAGAGTCGTATCATCAAAATTCAATGATATAATATATAATATATAGGTATATGTGAGTATTTTGTGATCTGTGTGTGGGAATTTCGTGTGTCTTTTGCAGTTATCAACAAAGTGCAGTAACAAACATAATTATAATCATGAGCTGCCGTAAATTATAAACGAATGTACTTAAACGTATTGGTCTGTATAGTCATAAATATATATATATATATATGTAATAATAGGTTATACATAATTAACATAAAACTGTTTGTCACAGCCAAAAAACAGTTAAAACCTCAGGTAATCCAAAACACCACAAATGAAAAACAAAAACCAGAAAGACAACCTCCAATTCAAATTGAACACTCACCGCGCCATGGTGATGTCGATGCGCATGCGATGTGGGCACAACCGTAACTAGTTCACTGGAAAAAGCAAAAGAGCTATCAAAATTGTCATAAATTTCGGCATTAGTAATACTTACGCGGCCTGATCTTCGTCATCCTCGCCATAGTCGTAGTCATCCTCGTCGCCGCTGCCCTCCGACTGACGTCGCTTTCGTTGGGATCTGCAAGTGTAAGTGAATCAGTGACAGCAAGTCAACCAGTCTTGCGAGTGCTCGCAAATATAAATTTTAAAGTTAACTTCCATTTGGTTGCAAGTCTAGTTAACCAAATGCAAATCACAGATAAATACAGTCTCTTTTTCACACTTTCACTCGCTCATTAGTTTTGCTTTTGGGTGAGCTTAAACCAAGCAAGTACTCGGATTCATTTGACTTTGTTACATTCGCTAGATTGGGTTTTTGTTTAAGACAAAAAGTGCAACACATTCATTTGATTTGATTAATCAACTTGATTAAGAGTTAATTTAACCCAACCAAATACTCGGATACATTTGACTTTGTTACATTCGCTTGATTTTTTTTTTGATTTGTTTTTGTTTGAGACTATTCGAAATCAAGTACTTGATATTTAGAAATGCAAGCCATTCATTAGATTTGCTAAAGCCACGTTTTAAAGTGCAGCAGTTCTTTAAATCTATCTGAATAACAAGTACTTGATATTTACAATTATTTGAATTGGGCGTAAAGCATTTGCTAACATTTGCTTAGCATTTGACTATCTAATGCATATCATGTGCTCAATCTGTTATTAACTCAATTAAAACCAAATCATTCAAAGCATTCACTACAATATGAATGCGCTCGTTGCACTCATTTCCAACTCTGCTACGCTCTCTTTACTGCTCTCCAAGTCCCTACCTGGACTTCAATTCCTTGCGCCATATAAACCACAGGCCAAAATTCTCCTCCGTTAAGGCGCCAATGGTGCCATCCTTGATTTGGTGGGGTATCTGTTTGGCTATTGGCTCTCCCATGCTGAAGTAACTCGAGCCACAGCCAATCTGCAAAGATTTCGGTCAAAGGTTTATTCACCACGTCGCAAAGCGTATTACAAATTTAACGACTTACCATAAAACTGGCGCGACCCAAACGACGATTCGCAGCTTCCACATGCTTTTGACCCTTGCCGCCCTTACGCATGGCCAGCTTGTGCATGTTGCCCAGTTCCCGCTTCGAGACCGAATCCAGCGTAATAAATTCCTGCCAGTGAGAGAAGGCATGGCATGAGAATTATATAGATAATCAAGCACTTGCTAGACTCACCTTGGGTATGGCAAAGAACTTGGCCAATTTGGCTTGAACATGCGCGCGCTTGGCCAGGCTCAGTTCGCTCCAGTCATGCTTCCGCAGCAGCAGCGAGAGCACAATCTCCGGCTGTGTCTGCTGGCAACGCATTAGCTCTGTCACATATGGATCTTGCTGGTAGGCGGGCGCATCTTTCGGCTCTATGACGGGCACCTACAAAGAGAAAACCGCACAAGAGTTCAAAGAGTTAACAATTGTTGAGTTGCAGCAGTTGCAGTTGCAGTTGCAGTCAATTGTCGGCATTTTCAAGTGAAATGTGTCAGGCATCATCAATCAAAATTAACAGACAAATGACAGGCCGCAGTCCCAGTTGCAGTTGCAACAAAGCAGCGCATTCTGTGGCATCTGCCCCTTCTGCCTTCCGCCCGCTCACCTGAGAGTCGTTCACATTGAAATCCCGCTCAGCGTTTACCGCCGCCGCGATCAGCAGCAAACAGAGCAATAAAGTTGGCAAAGATGCGCCTCGATTGCACTTCGCTGATAAGACAGACGACCTCATACTTGCTGGGTTCATATACGTTTTCGATATGGAGTACAATTTCAAATTCGTTATTCGTTACGGGGCGTTAAACAATTCCAAAGACTGCTCGATGCAGGGGTTGGTCAAATGAATATTTTTCGACTCGTTTTTGCCGTCAAAGTTGTCGTTGTTGTTGTTGTTATTTATGTTGCCGTTGTTGTTGTTGTTGTCATCTGAAAAAGAGAAGCAAGCCAATCAAATTTATGAGAATTATGACTTATAAAGGCACAAAGGTCTCGCCTCGTTAGTGCTTAATTATCATTGGGATACAGATACAGATAGTTATATAGACAATTGGGTCACCCAACCACAATTTGTAGACCATTCATAGGTTTAAAGAGAGAAGAAAAAATGCCCAAACAACTGCTCTACGTATACGTAATTAACATAAACAACTGTTTTCAACATTTTTTGATGTTGCTTCTCCCCCCATCTCTCAAAGCATATTCGAGTGGAAATTAGCGCCTGATCAGTTTGATCATTGGGTGAATAACATGAAAATGGAAAGTTGTTAATAAATGCGAGTGTTTACTAAAGCTTTAAGTGGGCAGCAGATATTTCGAACCTTTGTTGTTTTTCTTTTTAAAAACATAGAAAATGTTCTAACTTTCTTCGTCTAATCCGTTTCCGGCTGTATGCATTCATTGGCAGCATTTCATAAGACCTAACTTATGAATTGGACTTGGAAATAATGTCGTTATGAGCTTCACTTCATGCAAATCGCAGAGAGAGGCGATAAATATGAGAAGGAAAAAACAATTGGCTTTAAAGGGATAACAGAAGGTAAGACAAGTGTAATAAAGAACTAACAGAAGAAAAAACAGTGATAGAGAGCGAGAGAGAGAGAGAGAGAGGGAGAGAGAGAGAGAGAGAGAGAGAGAGAGAGAGAGAAAGTAAGAAAGTCTAGGGACGAAAGCCAGAAAGGCAGGAGAAATTAAATTAAAGCAATATCTGCACATCCATAAAAGGAATTTCTAATGACTAAATTAAAAACAAATAAGATTTTATAACATTCTCCATTAAACAGCTGTATGTCGTTAAATAACGTCTAAAACTAACTGAATCAAAACAAACAACAATATCAATAAATTGACAGCAACAATTGACAATTGTTTTTATTAAAAGATACGAAACCAAATGCAACATTCCAAAGCTCTTGCTTTCACTTGCATTTATATTTTTAAGTCTGATGCGAATTTCTCGTGAATGTTTTGCGAGCCGTTTATCAAAAGCGATTAAATACATGTCATATTTGATAAGATTGTCGAGCAGAAGAGAAAACAGCTAAGGAATTCCATTGATACGCTGAATATGCTGCGTTTAATCTGTCTAATGACGTCTGCATTCCATTTAAACCCAGACTTATCAATGGCTGCGTTTATTTATAGAGGAGCACACAGTCAATCCCTCTGCCCAAAACAAACATGCTCAGCACTCGAATGAGGCCACATATGTCGCCCGCGAACACTTGCTCGCAGAGTTTGAAGTCAAATTCGTGATGGTTCGAATGTGGCAAAATGACTTAGGATGCGTGCAATACTAATAAAAAATTGGAAACGACTTAATTGAGGCATTAAATATGTCAACGCGCACAGCGAAATACCAGTTCGAGCCGGGCCGGGCCGGGCAATTAATGATTAGAGCAAGAAAAAGCCACAGATGAATTATCCGCACAGCTGGAGACGTTAGTTGGGATCGCACCTAACATAAATATAGCGATAGTATTTAATGCTGCCTATAAGATATTTCATTTCATTGCATTTTTATAGCCCGACTAAATTTAATGGATATAAGAAGAAGTTTTTCGTTTTAGAGAGAATTTAAGGAGTCGTATTTAACTCTGTGGAACATAAATAGTTGCAGAACTTCAAAGCTCTCCAAATTATAGGAACTAAATAATTAAATAAATAAATACAAATCTAGAAGAAATCCATTTCTTTTCTTTCTCAATCAATACTCTATTTATATTATATATATTTTAATTTCGATGCAAGATAAGAAAGCGATAGAGAAGCGATGCGCTGGCCTTCTAAACGTGTCAAAGCGAAAATGATTGCTTTACAACTAAATACAACAAATAATTTGTGCTCTTGCTTTTTTTCTTCTTCTTTGTTGAATGTGCGAGGTATCCTCAAGTCGAGCATTCTTGACTCGAGCACTTTTACTTGTCCCAGCTTGTAGTCTTGCACTTGCAGCCAATTTGTTTATTTTCAAAATGGGCAGCAAAATTAATTGAACAGCTCGTTCCGTCTGCCGCCTAGCATAGCAATGAATAGGGAGTTGAGAATATATATATAGAGAAGGGAGAAGGGCTGTAGAAAGCAGGGGGCGTGGACTGGAGATGGGCAGCGAGAACTGAGAACTGTGAACTGAGAAGTGAGAAGTCAGAGTCGAGCACACAGGCAATATGCCACAAATAGATGAACTTAAAATGCAGCCAAGCATGCCGGGGCCATCCGTCAAGTTGGCAGCAGTTTTGGCATGAATGAGAATGAGGCACAAACACACACAAACACAAACAGAGAGTTGTTGTGAGTGTTGTTGTTGTTGTTGTGTATGCAAATGAATTAGCATTGCGCCAAATGCAAAACAAAGAGAAAGAGACAGAGATAGCAAGAGACTGGACAAAAACAATACATAACTAACAGAAGAGAAACAAGTTTTCTGTATGCTTTGTATGTTGGGTGTACATGTGTGTGTTGGGTGTGCGTGTGTGTGTGTGTATGTTAATGTTGCAACTGCAGCTAAAGCCAGAGTTCAATGAAGTCGAGAGTTCAGTTCATAAATTGAACAAACAAAGGCAAACTAATAAAGGTATAAAGCCATAGACATAGACATAGAACAAAAGGCGCCAGTCCATAAAAACTCAACATTATCATCATCATGATGATGCTGTTGATGATGATGATGATGGGGTTGGGGTTGTGGCATAATGATGTTGCAGCTGCTGCTGATGTTGCGCCCACGCCGTGATGCGGGCCACAGCGGTCGCTATTCAAGTGCCGCACACAAAGACATATCGCTATCTATAATGTGATTAGCCATGCATTTAGTGCTGAGTGGCACTCGAAGCATGCTGAATGCTGCATGTTGCATGCCTCCTGCCTGCTGCGGGTATTTCATTATCTCGCTCCACATGCGGCCAATGGGCCAAAGTGCAGCCAATTAGCTTTACATTTAAGCGACTTCAAGTGGGCGGCAAGGTGCTGCAACCCTTTACAAAGCTTAACTATAAATGCGTCCGTGTGTTGTGGCTGCTGCATGCTACATGCTGCATGCTGCATGTTACATGCTGCATGTTACTGCTACGTGACACAAAAGTGTTGATTCTTTGCGGCAACAACTTTCAACTGCAGCAGCGGCAAACAAAGAACTTCTTTCTTTAACCAGCCAACAAAGTCAGCGCATAAACAAATTTATTTTCATTATGACCGCACACGCACACACACACACAGATACACACTCGCACACACACAGATAAACACTCGCACTCGCACACGCACACCCAGTTCATGGGCCAAGCTGTAGCTGCGCCTACTTATTGGCCGCACGTTGAAACTCGACTTTTTCAGAATTCTTTGGCCGCGGCTTACGCAGCAATTTGACTTATGTTTCGAATACCCTGTAAGCAAGTGGCATACGGGGTGTATGTGACAGCGAAGAATTGTATATACAAAAAATATAGAAAGTTGCGATACCTGTATGAAGAAAGCTGACTGATCGACTGATTGACTAACTGATTGACTGACTGATTGACTGACTGAATGACTGATTGATTGACTGACTGATTGACTGACGGACTGATTGACTAACTGATGGACTGACTGACTGATTGACTGAATGATTGATTGATTGACTGTCTGATTGACTGACAGGTTGATTGAAAAGTTGATAAATTGACGGAGCACGGGCAAAGTTGAATAATATTAGTAATATTTCTTTTTTCTTTTCCTAAAGTCAGCTAAATATAGGGTATTTTCAGGTCGCTACCAATTGAATGCATTTACTTTTTTACTTGTTATAAATTATTTCATATGTTGCGTTTTTCCAAGAAATAATAAAAAACAATTTCTTTCAATCTTGTGATGCAGCTTTCACCCTTCGCTGCCCACTCCTTCTCTCTTCCTCTCCCTCTCTCTCTCGCTCTCTCTCTCTCGATCTCTCTCTCCCTTTCTCTCTCGCTCTGTTTCGTAGGCAGCTTTAATTAATTCGATGCCCCGCAATGGGCGCGTCTCCAATGAACTTTTAATGGATTGTTTGTTGCTTATATTTTGTTTACGCTGCTGCCTGATTGAAAAAATTGTTATACATATACAAATACATACACATATACACATAAGCTGATGTATGTGCACACATACATATTTACACACATGTGTGCAAGTTGTATTCTTCTCCGATGACAACGCATGTTTGACCCACAATCTTGTCGTTGAAAATAGACCGCCACGCCCCCTCCCTCCCATCTCATCCCAGCCCGCTGACACGCCCCCCCTCCCCTCCCCTAAATATGTGTATCTGCAATGAACTGGAACCGGACCCTGGAAACATAGGGGGCTGCCATGGTCCGCATACAAGTACAAAAACATATTGAAAGCAGGCCACAATTACCAAAAATAGAACCCAGTTCAGTTCAGTTCAGTTGAGTTTTCAGTCTTCCATCAATTCGATCCAGACAGGCGTGTCGCATTTTTCAAAACAAATTTTTAATAGCTTACTTAAAACAAAAATAAAACCAACAACAACAAAAACTGCAAAGCAATGCAATTTATTTTGCATTTTTGGAACTTGTGGAAATTTAAGGAGCAGTCGCTGACACAGATAGAAAATTTGAGAACTGAAAAATGCTGAAATGCGCTGTTGGGCGGGGCAAATTGAATTACGATTCACTGAGGAATTTCGGAACGTTTTGACTAAGCGAAAGAATAAAAATTAGAAGAGATTTGTTTATGATATGAAAGTCTTATGAAGTATTTATTTAAATTTTAACGAGATATATTCCTGATAAATCCAAGTATTTTTAGGATTAAGGCAAACATTTCATCTTGAGTGCCCTTTTTAAGATCAGTTAAGAGACATAATATATAACAATATATCTCTGATTTTTTATTAAAATATTATAATATATAAAATCTCATATTTATGTGTTTAATTTAATGGAATGTGTTATTTGATTTCCATTGACGGATTTTAATCAATATTCAAGGATTTTAAAGGATTTTACATTGAAGGAACTATTTCCCAACAGACCTTCAATCCAAACCTTCCCCAAAACACATTAAATAAAGCAGAATGTATATCTATTCATATCTTTCTTATCTTATCTTTTTTCAGACTCAAAAGTAATCGATTAGTTTTGAAAGCCCAAACAAGAACATGTCAAAATACTTATGCCACGTTTTAGTGCTTCGACTGACCTATAACAAGTATATATATATCCAAGTCATCCAAGTCATATATTTATATATATCTAGTTCATGTGGAACTACTACTTCAACTGTTAACCTCTTTTAAAAGTTAAAGTCATCTAATTAGAATCAAATGTTCTAAGTAGTTCTGCCACAGGCTGTAGCTAAAAGCGGGCACATGTTGGGCATTAAATATGAGTTGAAAGTTTTAAACAATTATCTACTTATTGTGATATGCATATTCATGTGGATTGGAGCTGATATGATAACACTTTTAAGATATGCACAAAACAAAAAGATAACAAAGTTTGTGCTAGCTGCTGAAGTGTAACCCAATTTCCGGCGATTGCTCAATCCGCAACGAGCTTCAAGACATCTTCAGCAATGAGCCGGAATGCCATGCAAGCTGCAAAGCGAGAGTTGGCCAAAAAAGAATATAGGTGCCAACCCGCAGCTGCTAAAAGCTGCAACGGCACGTAACCCACGGTGTGGCACGCACGCGGAGCCAGTCAGCCGGGCGGCACGGCGTAACCAAATAATCCGCCGAGCCAGCCAGCCAACACCCCGAAAATCGAATCAGCCAGCAGCTCGGCAGCTGGCGTCGCGACGCAGATGCAGCTCTTAGCGTGATGCTCACAATTTTGTGATAGAGTTTAATTGACTGTAATTGGACTATGACGAGATGACGGCGACGACAGCGACAACGACAATGTTGTTATTTTGGCATGACTTGCATGGGGCCCGTGCCACGCCCCCCTGCCCAATCCAATTAATTGTTTTCTCAATAAGAGAGTGCTCGACCGAGGAATAACTCTTACCCAAAACGCACTTTCCCAATCTCTCTCTATCTCTCTCTCGCTTTGTCAATCTTTCGCTGACCCCCTCTCTCTTTCACTCGACCAAGGATTAGCTTATCCCAAAAATCACTCTCTCTCTCTCTCTCTTTCTCTCTCATTCAGTAGCTTGCGTTTCATCTTTCCTGCGTTCGCTATCTCGATCTCTTTGCCCCACACATGACACATGCTCGTTCACCCTTTTCCTCCGTCTAGCTTTACAAACGCGCTCTTCTTTACGATTCTCACAAAGTCAAGTGAGTCTTACCGGTTTGTTAACATTATGTTAATTATTTAACAGTGATATTCAACAGTTCCTAAAGCAAACTGCCTTGGTTTACTCTCACTCTAAGCATCTCATACTTTGCCTTCCTCTTACTTCATTCATTTATTACATGCTATTATGATACTCGTTTACTCAATATGACGACTTGGCTATTAAAACTGATAAAGAATATATATATACTCTTTGTGGTCGGAGTTACACACTTCAGGACAAAATGCTAGCACCCACTAGGAAGAGTATATGAAATGACAATATATTTGGGCTCACTATCGATGAGTTGTCGCTGTATTTGATTAATGTGCCAAGTTGATTAGTAATCACGTGGCAAAGTGTCGCCGGCAACGCGATGTGCAACTGGAGCCACCGAAACGAACGGAGCCACCGGAGCGACCGGACCCAGTGGGAACACTGCGGCCATTGCACCATGGCAATCCGATGCGAACCAATGCGATCCAATGCGAGGCGATGCGAGGCGATGTGAAGCGATACTTTTGCCAAGTCACAACAAAAATATTTTTGCGTGGGGCCAACACAGTGCAGATGTGCCTGTGTCTGTGTGTAAGCAGGGTCGCCATTTTGGCCAAGGCTCATGTGTGTGTGTGTGGAGTGTGTGTGGCGGGTGTGTGTGGCGGGTGTGTGGCTGGGTGCAGTTGAAGTTGCAACGTTGACAGTCGCCACAATCGCAAACTCGGCGAATCCAATGCGCGAGCTGTTCGCTTGCATGCATAATGGATGACAACTGAAGTTGTTGTCGTTGTTGTTGTCGTTGTCGCTTAAATATGTTTTTTCTTATTTTTTTCAAAATATGTATGTATATTTCCAAAAAAAAAAAATAAAGACAGCAAAACCAAACAAATGCTAAAAACAAACACACAACGCACAGCAAAAAGTCGACAACAACAGCGGCTGTCGACTTCATCAACGCCTCCTCCTCGTTGTTGTTGTTGCTGTTGTTGTTGTTGCTCCAGCAATGCGTTGCCGGTTCGAACAACAGCTGCTGCCTTTATACGAATAGATCCATATGTATTTTTGTACTCCAACAGCCCATGGAGCAGAAGAAGAAAATAAAAACACGTACAGCGAATTTGTAAAAGCTTAAGCGAGGCACAACGAAAAGCGCAATGCTCTTAAGAAAATCAAACTATTGCATAGAAGCTTATAGAAAACAATTTGACGAATGTTAAACACAATATTCAACTTTTACCATTGTCTTTAAACTTTTGTTTTTACTTTTTCTATTCCCTTTTGTGCGTCATCCTTAAACGTTGCCATTTCTGTTGAAAGCGTCTGTATTCATTTAACGCGTGCATTTAGAACATTTCCTTTTGCGTTTCCTCTTTGCGCGTCATTCTTAAACGTTTTACTACTACAGAATCAAATAACTTGAAATTGAAATACTCATTAGGGCATTTTCTATTTGCTTTTAAAGTTGTAATTTCTATAAGAACCGTTTTGTGATTAATTGAAGAATCGATCTATATATAAAGCATTACAATTATTTATTAAGATAAAGTTTTGATCTAGCTTAAATTGTTGATCCGCAAGCAAAGCAACCGGAATATTCATTGTCTATAAGATAATGGTTTTTAAATAAAATAATGGAACAAACTCTTAAAATATAAATGTTGTTACAATTACTGGAAAAACACACGTAGAACGCACAGTTCCCAGACAATCAAAGAACTTAACTAACCTTTTTATAGTTAGGATATTTGACCAGAAAGGCATGCAGTGGCTTGTATATTTGGCATATGTATGGTCAACATGCCAGAGAGGAAGTCAGCCAAGAGAAGCACACAGAACTGGGCATGAGGCATGCCTGCATGCAAAAAGAAGAAGAAGAACAAAAGTAAGAAAGAGGCAAAAGAAAGTGTAGGGTATACACACATGCTTAAATGCCAGACGCCGGCCAATGCCTGGCAGCATTATAATTATATAAAACACAGCTGGTGCTGGAATTGAAATGCGTGCAGATGAGAAGTCGCATCGCATCGAGCCAGACTAGCAGAACCAGGCGACCAGCAACCATGTCAAGTGACGCCCTCGCCATTAGCGGGCAGCAAATTGACGCCGTCTGATTAAAAACGCATCAAATGCGACTAAACGATGAGAGAAATAGCTGGAGAGGGGGGCCTAATGGGTGAGTGAATGAATGGGAATAGGAAAACACAACCTATGCCAAATGCTCGTAAAAGTAATTTTGTTGCCCGACACACACACACACACACACACACAGGCACTCGAACACCCTGTACAAGGGAAGGAAAAGACAAATAAGGAACCAGACATTGCGGGACAGGGTGCAGGAAGAAAAGGGACAACCCCCTTTTTTTGGCCACGCACACAGCAAGCAGCAGCAGCATCCGCCAAAAAAAAAAAAAAAACAACAACAAGATTCGCTAATGCTTTGTGCGTGTATTGGTGTAAACACACACACACATGGGCACGCACACGGCTAAAATCAGTGCGGGCACGTCGCAGTCGCAGTCGCAGCTGGCGTCGCCGTCATGCGGCTGAGTGCCGTCATCAAAACACACACACACACACACACGGATAGACGCACGCAAGTAATGTGAGTAAGTTATAGAGGGGGGGCGGGGCGGGTGGCTTCCAAAAAGGGCTGCTGCTGTGACAGCTCCCAACGCATTGCTGATTGCAAAAATCTGTTAAATGAAAACTGGTCGAGTTTTCTTCTCGTTTTTTTTTTATTTTTATTCAACATTTGTTGATGGACAAGAGCTAAGACACACGTACACACACACACACACACACATACATAAGCTCTGCAGCAGCCAGCAAGAACAACAACAACATGTCAGCTTGTTGGGGCGTCTCTCATCTCGCATCTCGCTCGTCGCTTCCGTGTTTCGAAATTCAATTTATGTATACTTTATGAGGTTGCCCCGCATTTTGTGGGGCGCGTTGCCAGACGCGTTCCATGCCGCATTCGGACGTCGACAGCGCCGTTGGCGTTGGCATCGCCGGCTGCCGCCTGCCGCCAGCCACCGATGCTGCCGTTGGCGCTGCCTGGGCTCCATGAAGCCAGTGAGGCATGGAAAATTGCAAGTTCAGGAAAATCGATTTTCCTGTTGTATATTTGGCTAGGCAAATGCTGAGTTTACTTTTTTTTTTCCTTCAATTTTGCCTGCTTATTAGGCTAATTAGCGTGCAGAAGCAAACACATGCACACACACACACATATATATATACAAACGGTTGCAGTTAGAGTAAAAATAAAATGCATTTCCACACACACAAACTTACCTCTGGCTGCCGCTGCTGCTGCTGGCGCGCTGCACCGTTTTCTATTTAAGTTTTGCGCAAATTCATGTATAAAACGCACTTCAATTTCGTGTTCTGCTGCTGTGTTGAAGATTCTGCTGCCAAAATTCTGTTTTCAACACACACACACACAAATACAAATTTACTCACACACGGCAGCTGCACTTGCATATACACGCGCACACATATAAATATGATGATTGGTATGTAGGGTTTTTCACTTGCAACTTTGAACTCTGACACGAATTAAAAACCTCTATTTATTTACAACCGCGGCGCGTTAATTACTTAAAGTGAAGTGAAGTCTTTACATGGTTTCCGAGCGAGCTTTTCACTTTTTCTAGTATAACAACATACAAAACACACGGCTCCAACGCGTTTTATTGTTGGAGCAAACGACGGCACTTGAATGACAATGTGACCGCAGGCAACTAACGGGTAAATACACACAGAGCGTTAGCATTATCGAAATGCAATCGATTACATGTGTGAATGTGCACACTTTCCAGCACTGTTCGCTTTAAATGTGCCTAAAATATTCGTATACGGTCACCCCACAGCCGCATAACTTACTTAACATGTTGCAAGGTTTGCTGCAAAGGTAAATAGAATAAATTGTTATTATAAGTGAAACTTAAGTTAAATATGCAATTTCAGAACCTGTGTGTCCGCGCTAAATACGGCCCAAACATTGTTTGTGCGCCAGAAGCATGCCTTCGACCGCGCCGTGCTGAAGCCCAAGGTGCGCTGCCATTTCCCAAAGCCCCGCGAAGTGAAGCGCATCAATGTGCACGGCTGGGAGACGCGCATGGCGACCCCGGAGGGACGCAGGGTGCTGATGCGACGCATACTGAAGGGCAGGCACGATCTGTCCCATTAAAAAATGAAACTAGTTAATACACATTTCTCTATACATTTGTACAAAAGTTGTTAACTTAGGCTTTAAACATTTTTATGCGCTCGGAAATATATGTGGTGTATGCTCTTGGATGACCTGGTGTCGTCTATAATGAACACAAATGGCACATTGTTGGCTACGCCGGCGCCTTGATCCTTGAAGAAGCCCTGCGGCAAACACATATCGCCGCCCAGCACCAAACAGTTAACCTGGGCGAGACACTGCAGCGGCATGGCAGGCAGCAGATAAAGTTTGCCGGCCTCATGGTCGATGGCACGCACAACACCTGCAAGGGCAAAGAGTATATAAAGAGATACCTATGGGATCAACGGACTGCCCAAAGCGACGCTTACCAATGCCAAGACACTCCGCGGGCTTTTCGCCCGACGACCCGGCTGCTTTGCACAGATAAACCAGGTTGGCCTCCATGCCGGCTACGAGCTCCTCACGCGTATATTCCTCAGAGACGAGATGCACTATTTGCAGCGCATCCAGATCGACCTGCGCCGGCTGACAGTCCGTCAGGTGCTTGGCGTTGCCGCGCAAAGCGGAACTAAGGCGTGCCAACAAATTGGCATAGCGCACATCCTTTGCGCTCATCATCCAGCGACGCTCATGCCGCTCCAGCTGCGGCAGAGCACTGTGCAGCTCGTGCAGCGCATAGTTGGACAGTTTGCCGCTGACTTTGTGCTCATCCGCCGTGTAAATGATGGGCACCACCTGCGCTAGGGCTTCCCTGGTGAGCGGCACATCGAAATTGTTTATGATCTTGGCGCTGGCTATTTGCACCAGATTTGTGGGCTGCACACAGTCAACCAGAAGTGCCATCAGCTCCAGGCCGAAGCCCTTGTTATAGCCCATCGTATTGACGAGCCAAGGCATTTCGGCATAGCTCTCGTTGCTGCGGCAATAGGCCAGCAATTGCCGCGCTGCGCGCATATACTGCTCGGCGCACATCACGACGTTCACGTGGCCCACCACATAGGCACGATCCGGCTGACGGTTGAGAAAGAAGCCGGGTCCGAGTAGCGGTCCATCGACCACACTACACGAAACTGTCTGCGGCAAGAACAGCTCCGGCTGTCCAATGTCCAGATCAATAAGCAGCATGCGTGGAAAGCGCTCCAAATGCCGATTCAACAAATATCGCAGCAGCGTAGATTTGCCAACGCCCTTACCGCCGGTCACCATCCAGCGACTGCGCGGCTGCAGCGCCAGCTTCGTCCAAACGGTGGGCACCTGCAAGGCCTGCCGACCGTCGGCAGCCTGGATCAGACAATTCAGCACATATTCGCTGGCATAGTGCGGCCGATTGGTGGCATTCAGCAGCGGGTACACATTCTCCGCCATGTGCTTGGCAAAGGTGTCGAGCATATTCTGTGCTCCACTATTGCGCTGCAGCAGCACAATCGCATCCCGTTGGCCATCATAGTTGGCCATTATATTGTCCAGCTGGGCGCGCGAGAAGCTCTCGTTCAGCTCGTCCCAGTTGACGTTGGCCTTGGGTGGCTTCTTGTTGGGCCTGGGTGCAAGGACCACCCAGCTGAAGCCCTTGGGCGAGTAGATGCTTAACGGCTCCTTCGGGCGCGCCTTATACCCATTGATGGTAATGCGCCCACACAGCAATGTGACTATAACGGTGCCATATAGCTCAATGTCCTGCTTCAGCACAGCCAGCACATTGTTAGTCTTGAGGCTATTCTCAAATATGCTCAGCTCGGACGGCACTGCATCCCTGTAGAAGCCCAAAGTTGCCTCCGTTCCTGGCAGCTGCTGATCTTCCATTGTTGTCCTTGGCATCGCATCATTGTCAACTGCCGGATCTGGACTCATTTCCGTGCTTTGCTCCTCAACTTCTGCATCCGACAACTCATCGTTATCTTCTCGAATTGTTGCTGCGCTTTGGTTTTGTATTTCCGGCTCGGGTTCAGGCATCATTCCATCGAATACCGAAATTTTGGTAACATCTGCTTGAACCTCGGGCATATTATCTAGGCCAAGCCAAGACATCTTCTCTTCGTCTTCCTGCCCGTTGTGCTCCAACTCCAGCGGGTTCTGTTCTGTGCCCGAACATTCATATATTTGGGGCTTACTGAAAAAGTCTTCTTCACTATCCAACGAGTATTCCGACTCGGTATTTTCACTATATTCCTCCTGGTCAAACGATTCAGCGCTTTCGGTTTCTGTTAAAAGAGTTATATTAATTATTAATTCATTTGTGACTTATTCTTAAAACTCTTACCATAAGCTTCTTCATCGAAGTCCTCCGAGAGTTCGTCGTCTGTAAGGATATAGAGAGAAATTTCCGAAGATAGTATCTTAACTCTTAAAAGAAATAAATATCTACGTTTAACTAGTTTACCTAGTTTTTACTAACCGCTTTTAACCTTTATTCTAACGTCTGCAGCTTTTGTTGCGTTTTTCTGATTGGATTCACGTTTCTTTTCAGCAGAGATAGTCCTATTGGGTTTTCTTTTTTTATCAATTGTTTTCGATGCGTTCTTTTTGTTATTTATATTTGTTGCTTTAGTGGGCGCCTGTTTCCCATTGGGCAAACCTTTGTCCTTGGGCTGTATCTCCTTTTTGGCTCGTTTATTAAGGGGAGGGGAAATGTCCTTTGCCTTACGTTTGGCTCCATTTGGATTAACAATAACATTGGATTTTCCAGATTTTGGCGGCATCTGAACTTTCAAACTTTGTTTGTTGTTTTTCTTTTTTTCCTCTTGATTTTCTTTCCTCGCTGAAACAACGACCAATTGTTTGGTGTCCATTTGTTGATTCTTAATTTTAGCACTTATAATTTTAATATTTTTTCTTTCCTTATTCTTAGCTTTGGTCATTTGCTTGTATGTGTTTGTAGCCAAAAGAACTGTCTCAGGATTTCGTTTAGATTCCTTATTTGTATTAACAGAGACTTTTATATTTTTCGCGTTTTTGTCAGCTTTGTTCGTTTGATTTGATTCCAAAATTGGTTTTGATTTCACATCATTTGCAGCAACTTTTATATTTTCATGTTGATTTGGTGCCTTTTGATTTTCCGTTGCTTTCGTTTGGACTTTTTGTGGATTGCACAGGGCAACTTTTGGCTTTTGCTGAACTGGTTGCCAGACAGTTGTTGGCGCTGATTGTGATATTGCTTTACGACTTTCCGTTAGTTTAAAGCTAGTTTGAATTTCTTTTAGTACACGTTCATTACATTTGAAGCTCATAATTCTCTTAGGGAAACAAACTCATGTTTATTAATGCCGGGCCATGTGTCTTGAACGACAAGAAGCAGCAACGGATTAGTGCTGGAAAATGTTTTAAAAGTAGCAGTCACTGTTGCTGCATTATCATAAAAGTTGTAATAGCCTTAATCTACCCAATGCAACTCTGGTTCCTTTATCTAAATGATAACACATATATATATAATAGAAATGATTAATTCGTGATTAATGTAATTGTTTATTTTCGTTTTATGGCAGGGCAGAATCGTTTTTGTTTATTTTGTATATCCTGCTCAGGTAATCGTTTAATTGGAATTTTCCAACACTATAATCAAAGTGCAACACTGCGGCGCACGAAGGCGTTGGTTGTTCATCTACCAAGAAAATTCATCGTCATTTTGCATGAGAAAAAAAACGTCGAATTTTTAATTGTAATACATTTTATACGAAACGAATAACGGTAGACGCATAAGAATCAACATATTTGTGCCATTTTGTAAGCATATTAAGTGTCCAATTCGTACTCAGTGTTACAAAAAAAAATATATATATTGTAAGTGAGAAAAGTTGAAAGAGCAGTGAAAAAATTCCACACACACACACACATATACATATATAGAGCTCTACGCGACACACATACACACACACAGCCATGCAATCTAACTCACAGACAACATATGTATGTATATGTATGTACATAAATGCGAGTGGATGATGATGTTTTTGGAATAAACGCACGAAGAGTTGGTGGCGGGCGAGGAAAAAGACCTATGACGCGACCATTGGACTATCTCGAGACACATTTGTATTGAATTCAAGAAAAGTAAATAAATATATCTAAATGGGAGCAGCGTTGATTCTGCCAATACGAATACCAATACACACCAAAGCACAGGCTTTCATTTACACAAATAAATGTATGTATGTATGTAAGAAAGTGCTACACAATTGGAGGCGCCCAAACAAGGGCGAAGCATTGCAGTTGATTTGCTAGCATACCTACATAACTGGCCAAAAAGAAACCCCCAAATCCCCACCACTAACAACGACTGCTTGTCATAAAAAAAAGAGCCTCATGCGGCTGTTCGCTGATGCTTCTTCTTTTCTATAGATCGTCAGCAGCAAACGGCAACAACAACAACAAATGGGAGAGCCATCCAAAGTGTATGACTCAAGTGTGTGTGTATGAGTGAGAGATTGTGGCACTGCGCGCGAGTTGTTTGTGTGTGTGTGTGTCAGTCTGTGTGTATGGCTTTTTCACATTGATATTTTTCAACCAGCTCGCGCAGTTTTCGCAAATATATTTAACACAACGCATCGTCCGTCGTCGTCGTCGGCGTTGTTGCATCTGCTCTGCCACTTTCAGAACCTCCAATGACGACGATTCGCAAGAAATTGGTAATTGTCGGCGATGGTGCCTGCGGTAAAACTTGCCTTCTAATCGTCTTTAGCAAAGACCAATTTCCCGAGGTCTATGTGCCGACCGTGTTTGAGAATTATGTCGCCGATATCGAAGTCGACGGCAAGCAGGTAAGCTCAAGTTTATCACATTACCCCATACCCCACTCGTCCAACTTCCCAACAGCATGCAAAATCATCTGATCATCATTGTGTACATTTCTTCATTTTTTTTTTAAATTCTCAACTAGCATCCCCCCCTCTCTTACCCCTTGCGATTTCCAGTGCACTCTGTGCTCATGTTGTAAAAAAAGTTGTGAGTCAATATCAATAGTCGGCAGGCATACTTGACTCCCGCTCCGGCTCGCTCTCCTGCTCACCCTCTCCTTGCACACATAACGACACACACACTCACACACACACAGACATCATCTTATACGCACGCACGAATACACACACACACGTACGGCTACTAAAACATGTACTTGTATAGCAAGCTCCCTTCCTTCCGTTTCTTGTGCTCTTGCTCTTTTTATTCGTCTTATACACAAGCCCGTTGCGCACATACAGTTTTGCGCGTTGCCCCTTGCGCTCTCACGTTCGCCCCCCCCCCCCCCCCCCTCACATACCTGTGCTTACGTTTGGAGCCAGTAGCACGCGCTCTCGCTCTCAATTGTAATAAAATAAAAATAAAAAGATATACTGTATGCCATTTTGATTTGCATTAAGTCATGTTTCGAGTATTTGTTTTTGGTTATTTAGCTGGATGTTATGTTTCTAATAATTTTATACGTGTTTTATTTTTATTTTTGTTGTATAAACAATTTGCGCAGCACAATATGGCGGCTCTTGTGTTTGGATAGTGCTTACATATGATGTATGTATGTACATACATACAGACAGATGTCTGTCGTTCACGTCATTCTATGTTTTGTGTCTGATTAATACGTTTGGCATTTCCGCCAGTTCCTTGCTATCTTTCAACTTGACTTCAAGTTGACTCTCGTCTCCGTCTCCGTCTTCGTCTGCGCTTGCGTCTTTGTGATGGAAACTGGCTTTTGTGCTACATAATTGCCAACTTAACGGGCGTTATCACTCCATATACACACACACACACATACACACACATTCATACATACATACAAATTGTCACTTACATACACTTACTTACATCTTTATGACGTGATTCTGTCTTCTATCGTATCCAGGTGGAGTTGGCCTTATGGGATACAGCTGGTCAAGAGGATTACGACAGACTGCGTCCGCTGAGCTATCCAGACACTGATGTAATACTTATGTGTTTCTCAGTCGATTCACCCGATTCGCTAGAAAATATTCCCGAAAAATGGACACCAGAGGTAAATATTCAATCAATTTTTGTTAACTCAAAATGTTTTTTTTAAATAACCAACCCATTTTGTAGGTCAAACATTTTTGTCCCAATGTTCCAATCATTTTGGTAGGCAATAAGAAAGATTTGCGAAATGATCCCAACACAATTCGGGTAAGATTTTTAAAAAAGCCAGACGAAATGATCTCTTAGATTGATTGACATTTATTTTCGCACAGGATCTGGCAAAGATGAAGCAGGAGCCGGTTAAGCCGCAGGAGGGACGCGCTATGGCTGAGAAAATTAATGCCTTTGCCTATTTGGAATGTTCGGCCAAGTCCAAGGAGGGTGTGCGAGAGGTATTCGAGACAGCAACCAGGGCTGCACTGCAAGTTAAAAAACGGAAGAAGCCCAAATGCCTTTTGCTCTAAAAGAGCAAATAACAGATTTCTATACATACACAAACACACACTCTCACACACACACACACACACACACCTTTTACAAGAATAACAACTACTGTAACCAGATAGCATGCGGAATCCGGCTACTACAACAGGCAGCAGCAACAACAACAACAACTACCGAAAGCTAGAAACTACAAGCAACAAGCAACACACACAACAACAACAACAACAACATGAAACGGGCAAAATGTCAAATGCGGATTTGATTTTATATACAGTCTAGAGTAGTTATTAACCGAAGTAAACAACAATAATAAATATCGCATTAATATTATTATTATTATTTGTAAATGTGACGGCGTCAAAATCAGTCAACACTCAAGCTACCAATACATACTTACTCGTATATATATATATACACTCTTTATGTATGCATACACTACAATGTCCTATATATATCATTGCATCCGTTGATTTTGAGATTAAAAGCCAACAACAAAATGTCTACAAATACATTACTGATCATGTGTGTGCGTGCGTACGTATGTGTGTGCGTGTGTGTGTGTTGATTAGTGATGATGCAGTTATTCATTTTTTCAAACTCTTATATTCTGATAAAAACGGACTACAAAAAAAAAATACTGAAAGAGCCTAAAATGCAAGCATTCAAAAACATACCAATTACAACTTTTTTGACTCATATATATACACACATATACATATACATATATATATATATATATATATATATATATATATATATATATTCAAACAGAGACCGCCAATAAACTAACAAGAAAAAGAATAATATATATATATATATATATATATATATATATATGAATAGTACTTTGCAAAAAAAAAAATACACAATATGAGAAATATGTTTAAACATAAGCCACAAGTGAGATGCATTCAATTTGTTTATGTGCAAGTGCAAGTTCGAGTTTTTAATATTTGTATTTTGCATTAAAACAAAATAAGCGTATTTTATGATTTTATAAAATACCAATATATATATATACATATATACAGTACATATATGTGTGTGTCTCTTTTTGTATTTTGTACCGTCAAATCGTGTCATTCTCGCACACACTCAAGCAAATGCGCCGTTTTCTACAAATGCTATATATACATATATGCATGTATATGTATGTGTATATCTACATATATATATATACTATTTTCTACAGTTACTATTACACAATTTAAACAACAAGAACAACAAAATACAAATGCGTCGAAAGTAATTGTAAATTTGTGCATTCAAAGTTTTGCTTCCTATACAATAAAACAAAAGAAAAACAACAACAACAACAAAATAAAAAAAACACATTTACCAGATTACCAAAATTAAATTAAATATGTGTATATGTATACATATACATAAACCAAAAAAAAAAACAACAAAAATCATTTCTTTTCAAAATTTAAACAAAAAAGAATATTTTACTAAATAAATAAATAAAAAATAAAAAAAAAAATACATAAAAATCAAAAGTTCTCGTTGTTTTCTTGCATATCACGTACGATACGAAAGAGATCTAAAAGTTTATAGAAACAGATCTATGGGGGAGGGGAAAAGGTAAATAATCCAGATACAACATCTGGAGTCTGAGATATCATAAGCCGACCGACTTTTCAGAGCTGACGTTGACTATATACATATATCTGTGAAAACTCTTAAGATCCAGAATTGTTTAAAGATTTACCAGCAAAAAAGTTGTTCATTTAAGAACTTAGTTCTTAAACTAATCGAAGCAATTAAAATATGGGAGACGTTTTAACGGGGTTTTAAAAATCTTTATTGGGGTCTTTTTTTTTTGTTGTTGCCGTTTTTCATTTATTTCGTGTACATTTAAAATGTATGAATTAAATAGTTTTCTTTGAAACGCTCAAAGCGCTCAAAATTGAATAATGCCAAAAAAAAAAAAAACAATTTCCAGCTGGATTTACCAGATTGTGCTTCTATTATAATACTCGGGCTACTAACTGCTAGTTTAGTTAGTTATTGTTTCAGGGGGAATACATAATCCATAGTTGATATATATTTAACATTTTCATTGTTTTTTCGTTTTCGTTTTCTTTTTGTGGAAAGCTTGCTTTCCATTTACCCGCATTCAATTAACTGACAAAATAATTAAACATACAAATAACAAAGATTCGTTTACCAAATTTTGCATAGCTCGTTATTTTGGTTTGATTATGCTTAAAACACAAACTAGTTGATTTCATTTAACAATTTTGAATTGTACTTCTTTTTTTGTTTTGTTTTGTTTGTTTGTTTGTTTAATAACAAATAGCATAGACTGTGTTGCAGTAACATTGCCGTGAGGAACTCATGGTGATGCTTAGCAAATGTCATGGATGTTAAAAAGTAATTAACAAAAAAAACACACAGAACAGCTTAACTTAGCATAATAATAATAAATAAACTTAGACAAGTCAACAAGTCAAACATTTTATAAAACTTAAACAACAAATGCAAACGCATAAAATATATATAGTACATTTAAAGAAAAATCACATTGAACAATGCATTGGCTGTACATCTGCTCGCTTTTCTGTGCATTACAATCAATCAATCAATCAATCAGAATATAAATCAATCAATTCGTCTTATATCGTTTGATGTCTTTAGTATACATACGTTTAAATTCAACATTTATTCGATTAGTTTAATGTGCGTGCTGCGTTGCGCCTGCCAGAATAATTATAATTATAATAATAATAATACATGCACATAATACATTATTCCTCGCTCTTGTTGGACAGTTTTAAAGCTCTCTATGATGTACACTTGACCATTGTCCATATATATATATATATATATATGTTTCTATAGCTTGCTCTGTTGGCTTCAACTAGGACTCTGTTTTATTTCGTTTTTTGATTTCATATCTTTTCTATTATTATTAATTTTCATTTGGTTTCATTTCAGTTAACGTTTCAATTTTAAATGCATTTCTTTCTGTTTGTTTGTTGTCGTTTTTTTATGCCTTTGCCAATTGGTTTGCGTTAGGAATCAACATTCTTATTATATACTATATATATACGTATGTGCATTTGCTATAATATGTATCTTTTGGATTCGTGCTTAAACATATTGATATACATAACTATATATTTATATATATATATATATATATCTCTTTCATATACTCTCTCTTTTGCCTGGCGTCTAGCACCTTAACAATACAGATACAACAAATACAATGTGGCATAGTTAACAAATGAAAACAGTTTCAAATAATTTAAGGAATATATGGAAACAAACAACAAAAGTTGAAGCTCAGACAATGTCGCCTAGCTATTGCCATTAGCCTGAACGATTCCAATAGTTTCGCTTTTGATAAATTCATTTTTCATTAAATGATTAGACGTCTAGGTGTGTCAACACACAACATATACAGATACATATATATACGATCGGTTGTGCCATATACAAACCGTATATATATAGCCAAATATATATATATATATATATATAGATTTATATATATATGTAGTTTAACGCATTAATTAATATTGCACTTAGTTGCACTTGCGAACCGAGGAATTTGCAGGCTTCAGTTTAGGTTGCGTCTACGCCGAAAGACCAATGCGAATATGGAACGTATGCGCCACCAGCGGCTACGGTGTCGGGTATGTATCTTCTCGGAGCTGTTGTCCGTGCCGAGTGCCTTTTGCAGCTCCTTGCGGCGTATCTCGCGCACCAGCGTATAAAACGCCTCGTCGATGTAGTGACGCAGGGCCGCCGATGTCTCGAAGAAGGGGCAGCCAAATTGATTGGCCAAATTTTTGCCCTCCTCGGTGGTGACGCGTCGCTGAGATTCCAAATCCACCTTGTTGGCTATCAACACCAGCGGTATGTCCTCAGACAGGCGTACGCGAGTGATCAGTTTCCGGTATTCGGATGCCTCCTGAAAGCTGTGACGATCGGTCACCGAGTAGCATATTATGAAACCTTCCCCGCAGCGCATATATTGGTCCCGCATGGCCGTAAACTCAACCTGACCAGCAGTGTCGAGTATGTCCAGCAAAGCGGCCTCATTGTCAATCACAGCCTGTTGCTGGTACGAGTCCTCTGTGCACAGAAAAGATAAGTTCAAAGGTCTAATGGCAACGGCAGGAGAAGGAGGAGGAGGAGGCGTCGCACTCACCAATTGTGGGGTCATGGTAGTCCAAGAAACTGTGACTGACGAACTGCAGAGTAACAGCTGTTGTCGGTGTGTGTGTGTGTGTGTGTGTCCGTGCGCGCGCGTGTGTGTGTGTGTGTGTACACGCAAAGTTTGCCGAACGCACGAAGCGAAGCACATACAATTTGGGGGTTGGTTTGTGGGTGGTTGTAAAACAAAGCGTAAAAGAAATTGAGATAATTTATTGATTTTTCACGGGCACCAAATCAAAATGCGCAGCAGAGATTAACTCGCCAACTGTTGAGACCACTTACCGGACTTGCCGACACCGCCGTCGCCCAAGATGACAACTTTATAGACTCGGAGGCCGCCGCGCATATTCTGCGGTGCACTTGGTGGTTTAATTAGCAGGCCCATATTAGTGCCATTTTGCTTGCGATCGTTGGGCAAGTGCATCGAGTCTGTGTCGGCGCCGCTTGTGCAGCTCTTCAGTTTTGTGGATCGTTTGAGTGCGGCGCAGCCAATGGACATGTCGCCGGCCATAGCTGGCATCTCTGCTTTGCTCCAAAGGCGTGGCTAATTGTCGTCGTCGTCGTTGTCGGCCGCCGCCGCCGCTGCCGCTGGGTCGCTGGTCGTCTGACCGCCCAAAACAGTGCGTAGTTTGCAGCCCCTGGCCTGATATGTTGTTGTGTTGCCAATTAATCATATGCATAAGTTGCTATTCACATATTTTTCGTTTGTTGCTATTTTTCACTTACCACAACGTTGCACTAGGCCCGGTTCCTTCTACGGCGTTTGTTCACTTCAACTTCAATCGTATCTATACATAATTGCGCTGGGTTGTTTTCCCTCGTTCCGTTCTATTTGTTGTTGTTGTAAATTTTATAGTAGTCAATTGGTGTGACCAGGGCTACACAAATACCAAAATACCAAAAATACTAAAGATAGGTGGCTGCTGATGCGAGAAGTGCGCAAAATAATGGCAAAGGACAGATATAGACGAACAATTAAAAAAGATGTTGCGTTTGCTATTGAAAAAACCATGTTATAGCACAGTTTGCAAACACTGCGTAAAAAGTCACAAAAAGTCGATTAATCGCTTGCGGCGGACACGCCGTTATGGCACAGGACGCTGCAAATGCGCAAAAAAATCGATAATGCGTTTTTAATCGAAAAGGAGGAGAAGTAAACGATTAATCGTAAACAGTTTGGTTGCTATAAAAGGTTATAACCATAAATTTAACTGATTTTCAAATATTATGCAACTGCAAATAATGACTTAAAGGACTAACAGAAAATGTTACCTTTTAAACGACAAAAAAAAAACACACACACAAACGATTTCCCGCTATTTGCGTAAAAGCGAATAAAAGCTCGCCCGCCAGCAGCTGCACGATTTTCGTTCGGTTCGGTTTAGTTACGTGCGGTGATCGCGATTGAGCTGTTCGCCGTTTCGGTTTCGGCAGCAAAGCAGCAAAGCAGAAAGGCCAAAAGCAAAACATACCGTGGTACTGAAATCAAATACGGCCAGCAAATTGGCAACTAGTTGAATATGTCGGGCGATGTACAGCCGCGAAAGCGTAAGGATAAGCGCAAAAAACGTGGTAAGCGATCTGTCAAAAATCCGCTCGAACAGAAGAAAAAGAAACAGTTTTCTAAACACATTTGCGGTAGCCCAAAAGCGTAGCTGTCCATTTCTTTTATTAGAAATAATAATATTGTCGAGCGCCTTTAAAAATAACTTTGCCCTATTATATAAAATTATACATTGCTCTCTGCCGTTTGTCGCTATGCGTGTGCCGAGCAGCACACATATATATATATATATATATATATATATATATATATATACATAAGAATATATATGCTTTTATGATCTATTGAGAAACGCGCTATAATAAACTAAATGCTGGTAAACTGTTCGCAGGCAAAGCTGAGAAATTGGGTTCAAAAACAAAATCACGCATATTAACATTCCGTTTGTGTTTATTTAAAGTCTGAGCAAAGCAGATTTAAGATAAAAGCGTATTTATCTTGTGCTCAGGGCAACAACAACATCAACAAATGCCGGTAGATTTGCTTGCTCTCTCTCTCTCTCTCTCGCTCTCTCTCTCGCTCGCTCGCACCAACAGCAGCTGCTTGTCTTTAATCTTGAATTGTTGGGTTTTGAATTTTGGAATCAAGAACAAGACCGTTGCCATGACAATTTTGATGAAATTGATTAATTTATTATTATTAGACTGCAATGTTATTAATTAAATAAGTGCACAAAGTCAAGAGACTTCCGTGACCAGACATTACACCCACCACAGTTTGGACACCTTTCACATATACACACACACACACACGCACACACACACATACACACTAACACACGTTCAAATATACTATGCAATCTGTACAGTTTTCTTTTATTTTTATTTGATTTTTCTTTTGGCCATATGCCCAAGCGCATGACTTGCGCGTTCTTTGTTTTGCATCAACACCAAACACAACAACAACAACAACAACAACAACAACATAACAACAACAACAACAACTGAACATATCTCTCATCATTATCTTATAAGAGAGCGTTCTGTTATCATTGTATCTTAATACCCTGTACCCGTTATATGTGTGAGAAGGGCATGATGATTTGGTGTCTCTTTATGCAACAGGCAGAACAGAGCATCTCCCATGTATGATATAATAATATATAAATAATAAATAATAATAAAATATATACATAAAAATCATATATATATATATATATAGATATATGTTTAGTCAGCATCAAAACTCGACCTGACCTAGCAATATCCGTCTGTATTACATTTCAAACTCAGAGACTATGATATGTGTAGGGTATCAGCTCGTCGTCTGGTTCAGGATATGCCTGAACTGGGGAGCGTTTTTATGTACAAATCATATTTTACTATTGCTATCTTTCCCGACAACTCTTCAACATTTTCACATAATTAATCGACTTATCGACTTTCTTCACTGATTTGTATCAAAATTAAATATAAAGAAATTAAAAAAAAAAAAAACAGAACTATTTCTGTCTTTAAAACTATAAATATCCGAATATAAATATAAAAGTTATTTGGCATTACAATTTTCATAATGTGGTGCGAAGGAATACATAAACACAGGTGTGTGTGTGTGTGTATTTATAACTGTGTACAGGGTATACGCAAGTCGGGCATGCTCGACTGTTATTTGTTTTAATCAGTGTAACTAACTTTTCGTCTAGATGAACGCAAATCTGACGGCGATGTCAGCGTATTGCGCCAGCCCAGCTTTCAAGGTAGAGATTCACATGCTGTCTATATAGTATATATATCCCATATCCATGCCCAGAGCCCGACTGCAGTCCAATTTAGCATCTACTACTGACTAATTCTCGTTGCTACTACTAAACGTGCACGTTCCGAGTTGCAGTTAGTTAATTAAGTGGGTTTCGTGTCACATGTGAATATTGTTGTTCATTTTTTTTTTTTCAATCGCGCCGCGGGTTCACAGATGACGAAGATTCGTCTTCCCATGGCGTGCACATCACAAAGATGGGAAACGATGATGTGCACCTGCACGTGCAGCAGCAGCACGGCACGGGCGGACACTGGTGCGCCAAGATTATATTCTTCTCCCTAATGGCTGTGCTCTTGGGCCTCGTCGGTCTCATCATTATGGAGAATCGTGGCCTCGAGGATTGTAAGTAAATATCTATGTATCACAATTGTACAAAGTTTAATCTCAACTGATGCACCTTTCAGTGGACACGCCCTTGTCGGAATCCCGGTACTCCAACTATTTTGATGGTTGGGTAGAGGAGCATCGCCAGGAGGAACACGATGCCCATCACTCGCCCGAGGCAGCTCTCGATGAACACGATGATGAACACGACGATGAACCAGATGAGGCATATGATCAGCATTCGGGCGAAGAGGAGGAGGATCATGAAGCTGACGAAGAAGAGGAAGAGGATGAGAATACTGGCGCTGAAAATGTAACAGCTGAAGATGATGAGGATGAAAATGATGAGGCAAGAAATAATTCATCCGCTTCTGAATTTAAGCTAATTAATTGACTTTTTTCAGGATGAGGATCTGGATGAAGAGACTGAAGCATCCGTTGAGCCAACACAGTCAGTGGCAGATGATGCGGATGAGGTAAATATATCAACTTTCCATATAACTGTCATTTAAAAACTTCTTTCATTTGCAGGACGACGAGGAGGAGGAGGACGCAGACGATGAGGTCGAGGAGTCAAGTGAGCCACCTGTTTCCAGATCCAGAGCTCAGAGCGCACCCGAAACAGTTGAAGAAGACGATGACGATGATATTGAAGAGGTAGAAAGAGCATTTATGCATTTATAACATATATCGTAATAACAAATATACACTTGCAGGCGGAAGAAGATGAGGACGCCGACGAGGAAGAGCTGGAAGAGTCCATTGAGCCAACCATTTCACAATCTCAGGCTCAAAGTGCCCCTGAAACGGCTGACGATGACAATGACGATGATGATGATGAGGTATTTTCACTCCTTTCTCTGTTATCTCTATATAGAACTTAACATACATACATACATACATACATACATACATACATACATACATACATACATACATACATACATACATATATATATACATATATACATACATACATACACATATATACATATATATACATACATACATACATACATACACGCATACATATATACATACATATAAACACATACCTACATACCCGTTTCGCCCCCTTGGTGCTCCTCCTGCTCCACCGGGTCCTCAGCCTCCAGCGTTGACGCTGTCTGCGCCTAATTTATAGGTGAAACCTGCAAGCCTTACTTACATTTTTGAGAATCGAGGAGGAGGGCAGCTTTAATAAATTCGTTTTCTTATTTAAATTTGCCGCGCAACAAGACAATTTCATCTTCTATTCATATTTTATAAGACAATTGACATACACACACACGCACATACATACATACAAACACATATGCATACATACATATATACATACATATATTTTTGCATATAATAATATCTTAGAATATTGTGTATTATTTCAGGATGCTGCTGAGGAGGATGAAGAGCCTCAAGAGTCCCTAGAAACAGCTCAACAAAGTGCGCCAGGCGTTGACGACGACGATGATGATGAGGATTTTGAACAGGTTTGCATTAAAAAACTTAAGCTTTAAGCTGAGCAACCAATGGATATTTGCAGGATGACAACGACGCGGATGAATTTGAATCCCTCGATCAGGAGGTCGACAACGAGGCTGAGGAGCGTCAACGTCAAGCGGCTGCCGAGGCGAGAGCCAAGCAGGCCAAGCAGGATCAGGCTCCAGAGGACAACGCAGAGACAGTCACAACCGCATCCTGGCTGGGTTCACGTAAGTATTCCTTAGAGCTGCCAGAGATTAGGCTACACAATCAACGGGTTAGATGTGTGGGGCTCCACTTTATACGATTTGAATTAGGTTTTAATTAACATTTGAAAAAGTTGTACAAGAAAGTGCAAAATGATAAATACGAATTAAAACGTTTCGTTAAATTGTTGAATTGTTTATTTAACCGTAAATCATTTTCCAGTTGCCGTTAAATTTGGCGTTGGCATTGCACTTGCCCTTGTTTCACGCCTTGTATTGATACGGAAAAATCCAAATACAAGTGAGTTTTCGATCGCTGCTAAATGCCAAATAATTACCAAGTAATGCTCTTTGTTAACGAAACTCTTTCATATCGCTGCTTACTAAGAACCCAAGAACTGTTCTGCTCTAAATCCAAACTATATGTCATCTGGCATTTCCAGTTCTTAAATAGATCTATTTTTTGATGGTCGCTTTACGTTCTTAACCACCCAGCATTCAATGATAATCAGAAAAAATAAAAAATACTCTATGTTGAATGGAAACGTAATGTCACATCAACCTTGTAAGGCCTCCATACTCATGTTCCTGTCAAAGTTTAACGTCCATGTAATATGCCTGTTAAATTTTCTACCACGTTCAGTGTTGCCAATTTCTTAGAGGGTTGCCACCTTTTTAACATTTGGCAAGCCTGATTGTAAATTTTTACCATTAACTTTGACGGAAACATGTGGAATGCACCTTAAAATATCGTCAATTTTTCAACTAACATTTAAACTGAACTTAACAAAAACTCGATTCGAATATACGAACAACATTTTTTGCACTTTCTTCATTTGATGTATATTTTTATTTATTTTATTGTTTTTTTTTTTTTTGTAAAAATTAGACTTAAGCTTAATGCAATTTTTTGTTGTTTTAATTGTAGTCACAGCTTTGTTAAAACTGTTAAAACTTATGCGCCAATGTATGTATGTAAATTTAATTTTGTTTGGCTGCCTTCTTGTTGACTCCCAACCATATATATTTATATATATATGTATATATACCATACTAATCTCTGCTCGAACAACAACAAAATAAACCTAGCAGCTGAGGATCAGCCCTCGCCGGAGATGAATTTGAGACGTCGACTGACAATTGCCACCGCCGAGGATAACCTGCCCGACGATGGGGAGGAGCTGCCGCCGCTTGATGATGGTTGACAATACTATTCAGATACTATAGAAAACTTCGGTCTGTCCGAATTTGGTTCCAAATAATTTCAAGTCTAGACACTTGAAGCTATTTTGAACAATAAATGAAGTATCTTTTTTGAGGGTTTTATTAATAATTGCCTATTTCCACCAAAAAAAAAAAAAAAAAAAAAGAGGAATATTCCGAAGAGGAGATCGAAATCGAGGAGGAAATCGAAGTGGAGATTAGCGATATGGAGGAAAGCGATGATAATGTGGCGATCACGGCCAGCTATGTGCCGGAAACCTTCGAGCAGCTGAGCGCCATGTTTAGGCCCAAAACTGAGTCGAAGACAAGCGAAGCAACCGAAACGTTGGCAGCTAAAGAACCGGAACCGGAACCAACGACAGCTGAACTGGAACCGACAGCTGAGCTGGAACCAGAGGCAACGACAGCCACGGACATTTATGTGGAGTACGAAGATGGCGATATCGAAGATTACGAACACGATGAAAGCGACGACGAATTGATCAGCGACGAGGAGGAAGACGAGATTTCAGATGTGGACGATGCCGAACTGATGAGCAGATTGGAAGCCAAATATGGCCGACTGCCGGCCAAGGAGTACGAAAGCGATCCAGACTCCGATGATCCGACCTGGACACGTAATTACTAAATGTACAATTTACACCAAACAAATCAAATCAAATCAAATCGAAATCAAAAACAAAATCAAAATCAGTCTACAAGCAATCTACAAGTCCATCAACATATCTGACATATATAAACACGTATTATAATTTATTCTAAAGTTCATGGCATAAGCAATACGTAATATAATCATAGTAAGTCCATAGTCTATAATCGAATTGCTAATCCTACGTATAAGATGGAGCCGTACACACATTAACCCCTCAGTGGTGTCTCTAGTGCTTACCATAAGATAATAAATTAAAATAATACAAAATTAATTTCGATTTCTTCTCAGAAATAAAACCCAAGCTACCAACTGGCGCCAAGTCCGTGGAGGATGAACTGTTCGAGCAGCAGCTGCGTCAGGCCAATACCGAAATGATAAATGAGGTAAGTTTTCTTATATAAAACATTCTGCGGAACTCTACTTTAAGATCTCCGAAATTCTCTTGAACTTAGCTCAACAATCACTAAACCAAACACAATACATTAAAACAAAACTTCTTGCATAGCTTTAATTAATGTTCGCTTTTTCAGTTCTTGTGCTTAGCTTTTAAGACATTTTCAACAAAAGGTATTTAAGGAATCATTTTTAGGAAAATTATATTTGATGCAAGAAAAAAACATATTTGCTTTAGGACTAGCGATCAAAACGGCTGCAAGATCTAGACACACCCACCTACACTTGCAGCCAGTCCCAAGGCAACTGTGTTTTTTTTAAGAGAACTTTCTTTTATCAACTTAGAAACTTTAATTTGAGCATTTTCTAAATTTCGAAAATTACATATCTTAAGTTTAATTCACATTTTTTTAATTGAGCGAAGTTTTTTTTACGTACGTACTTTGGAATCAGTTCGAAAGTGGAGAATTTTTAATCAGGGCTGCAAACTAGTTTTGAAATTGGAACTTAAATTAATTTTTTACAAGACAGTTATTAAAAAAAAAACAATTGAGTCTTAGGGCAAATCATAGTTTTATTCGAAAATGTTTTGGCTTAAAATAAAAAATACTTTTGAGTTATCTTCAATTCTTGGTCCCAAGCATTTCATTTATCTAAACACATTTGTTAGATGCCAAGTTTGGGTAGAATTGAAATTTAGCCCGCATTTTGTGTGTGAAAATATTAAAGACTTGCAAATATTTTCAGTACAACGGGCAGCTATAGACTTTCAATTGAACTTGTTCACAAAAATGTTCACGAACCGAAACGTGAACCGAAACAAACGACAAGTTTTTTGCAGCCCTGATTTTAAATTTAATTTTTTTTATTGAAATCTTAAATGAAGAGTATTTTGGGTATTCACATTTAAAACTGTAAGCAAGAATTTTAAGAGAATTTCATGTTTGATACAGGTTAAAAATTTAAACCTAATTTATGCTAGTTAAGTTTTTTTTTCATAATATTATCAGGTTTGACCCCAACTTAACCCTATATCAATAATAATATCTGTGTGTTTACATTTATGTGTAAGCCTGTTTACAGGGTATTTGCTAGTCGTCGCGTTAATGCTTTACTCTTTTGCTAATCTACGCTCTATTTTGCATGTTATTTTTAACCAAAAAAAAAAAAAACCCTTGTGCAATCTAAAAACCTAACACCCAGAACTATGCGAAAGCTCTGCGCGATTTTAACACGCTCACACACACACACGCACACAAGCCGGCGGCTCATCTGCATCGGGCGCGAGCGCTGGAGCGCATCGCCAAGCTGCGCCAGAGCAATCAGCTGCTCCTCGATGCCATCGAATCCTACAAGCGTTATCTGGCCTTCGAGGAGCTAATCGCCAGCGACGACGACAGCGACTATCGTGCCGCTGGCGAGCGTTGCATCCAGCATCTGCGATTTCTGGGTGAGTCCAAGGGGGAGCGGGCGGGGGAGAGAGTGAGAGGAAGATCTGAGCTCCTTGGAACTTCTTGCAGGTCGCACACAGCAGGCGGTTGGCATACACGAGCAGCTGCTGGCGCGTTATCCGGACGAGGCGCAGCTGCGCAATGAGCTCTCGCTCACCCATCTGATGTCCAATAAGTGGGTGTGTTGTGGTCCTCTTTATCCTCATTAAATCCAGCCTAACTTTTGCTTTCTTGCAGCTTGGTTGGGCTGCAGCAGGTGGCAGCTGAGACACTCGAGCGCTGGCCGCGTGATCCACAGGCGCAGCTGCACTTTGGCCTGGCGCTCAAGCAGCTCGGGGGCGACTATGCCGGCGCCTTGCCCTATTTGCAGCGGGCCATTGACTCTGGTGCGGCGGGCACACAGGAGCCGTATTTCTATATGGCGCTGGGCGAGACACTGCAGCGTCTGGGCAGGCAGACGCAGGCGCTCCAGCTGTATCGGCGCGGCGCGAACAAGGGCTTCTTTGCCAGCGTCTATCAACGCTCGCTGTACAATGTGCCCGGGCTGCGTGCACAGCCCTTCTGGCAGCCCGCGGAGACCGGCCAGGCCGGCCAGCTGGAGCAACTGCAGCGCAACTGGCGTGCCATACGCGCCGAGGCGCTGTCGCTGCTCGGCGGCCAGGGCAACTTTCAGCTGGAGGCGGAACAGCTGCGCGACACGGGCAACTGGCAGCAGTTCGAGCTCTATGCCCGCGGCCAGCGTCTGGCAAGGAACTGTCAGCGGGCGCCTGTCACCTGTGCGCTGCTCGACAGGTTTCCGGCCGCCAGCAGCTGTCGCCGTGGCCAGATCAAGTTCAGCGCCATGCAGGCACAGACTCACGTCTGGCCACACTGCGGACCCACAAACTGCAGACTGCGTGCCCATCTCACGCTGGTCGCGCCTGAGCCACAGTTGACCAGTTTGCGCGTGGCCGAGCATCAGCGGTAAGATTGCTTACAATTAATGAAAATAGTTAAAAGGGTATCTTAAACATAACCTCAATTAATTAATATCTATGCATTGATTAGCTCACTTTTAAGCAAAATATAGGGTATTTTGCAGTCCATCTTTTTTTTTGCTAAATACACATTACCCCACTTTATACCTGGGAATAGTGTATTTTATTCATCATTAAAGCACTTTAATGCGCTGCGAATTGCTTTACGAAATACTTTCTATGCAATAACAGGGTATTTTTGACTACTCATCCGCATTTCAAGCTTTTACGAATGCGACTTAGGCTTCTAAAAAACTGTAAGCAGGGTATTTGTGATCTCAACAAAACAGCTTTGAAATAATGAAACACTGAAAGTATGTAAAACTTACTTGAATTCATGAGAATCGCATAGCAGGGCGTTATTATTATTTAATAGATCTGAAAACATGATACTCTTAAGTCCAGTACATTTTTGGCATTTATAGTCAAACTGATAAGAAACATATTTAAATTGAAGTCTCACTTGTATTGATGAGAATCGCACAGAAGGGAGCTATATTTGCTTTTTACAAAATTAAATATTGACTTATAGATCTGCTAACAAGAATCTGCTCTATAATTTTGATATTTATTATTAAGTTAATAATGGGTATTTGAATTGATGAGAATCGCATAGAAAGGCTATCTTCACGATTTTTATTCGAAATATATTTATTATTTATTCGATCTCTCTGCCCCGCACAGCACCTGGCACGAGGGCGACTTGTTCATCTTTGACGATAGCTTCGAGCACGAGGTCTGGCACAACGGAACCCAGCTACGTTTGGTGCTCATTGTGGACCTTTGGCATCCCGACTTGAGTGCAGCGCAGCGACGCAGCCTGACGCCCATTTAACTCCCATCTCTAGACATAGTATATATATGCTTTTGTTAGTTCATTCACATAGATCTATTTGTAACTCGTAGCTGATAAGTTTCTTTTGTATGAATGCGTGTTTAGCTGTAATCGCAAACTTTGTATTAAGTCTATAATTAGTGGGTGCTTGGTTGGCGGCGTTTTTACTCTAAACCAAATAAACAAGTAAGAGGTTCTAGTCGGGAGCTCCCGACTCGAAGATACCCTGAACTCTCTTCTTCCAACACCAAATGCAAATATATGTACTACTTTAGAAGCTACATGTCAAGTTTGGTGACTCTAGCTCTTATTATTTACCAAAATTGCTCAAAAAACAGGATGTCGATATCGATTTTTATCGATTACTTGGAAACGGGGCAAGTTATCGATTATCGGAGACAAACTGCAACCTACATCTTTCGGGTCTCTAGCTCTTCTAGGCTCTGATATCCTTGCGTTCATACATACGGACAAACGGACAGACAGACAAACGGACATGGCTAGATCGACTCGGCTATTGATGCTGATCAAGAATATATATACTTTATGGGGTCGGAGATGCTTCCTTCTGCCTGTTACGTACATTTGCATTTTGCACAAATACAATATACCCTTTTTACCCATTTATGAATATCAAATGATATATGATATATATATATATTGATTTTGTTTGGCCTTTAGGCAATGGACAATTCTGTCAACAGCACATAGATTTTAAATAGTTAATAAGCGTTTGGGGTTAATCACAGTATTTGCTTAAATTGTTGATGCGCTCAACCGACCACGCCCCGCCCAACCCCTTTGGAGGAATAAACACGCAACTGTCAGGCCTATAAAAGCGAGCTAATAGAAAAGTTAATGTGTCTATTTGCAAAGCCAAACGAGATGAGGAGCATTCTGTGTGGCGTTATCTATTTCGTGGTCTTGGCAGCCGGAGCAGCTGCCGGTTTGGATGTGTGCCTCAAGGAGCTGGGCTGCCTGCGCGGCACCCTGATGCCAGGATATAAGCAGGATCAGGCGCAGTTCGAAGGATTTATGGGCATACCCTTTGCCGAGCCGCCCATCGGAGAATTGCGCTTCCAGGTGAAATGCTGGCAAAGCTGTCGATTTGGCTTAGTTGACAGTTGTAATCCCCGCAGAATCCCGTCGCTGCCCGCGGCTGGGCGGGCGTATTGGATGCCAGCGCGGCACGCAGTCATTGCCTGCAAAAGTGTTACTTAATGGACAGCTGGCCCGTTTCCGGCGAGGAGGATTGTCTCTACCTGAATGTCTACCGACCCGTGGTGAGTAGAAAGTGATATATAGAATTGTTTAGAATCTTCAGCCTGTTCCGCTGCAGCAACCAAGTGCGAATCCCTTTCCCGTCATGGTCTACATACATTCGGGTGGCTTCCTGTGTGGCTCCGCCTGTCCGCTGGCCAGTGGCCCGGAGTTTCTCATGGACACACAGCAGGTCATTGTGGTCACAGTTAGCTATCGCCTGGGTCCATTTGGTGAGACAACTGTTGAGGTATTTAAACTTGCATGTCAATGGGGTCTCCTTAGGTTTCCTGAGCACGGGCGATGCGCACATGTCCGGCAACTTCGGGCTGAAGGATCAGCGTTTGGCACTTCGCTGGGTGCAGCAGCACATCGCCTCCTTTGGCGGCGATCCGGGCCTGGTGACCATCTTTGGGCACAGCGCGGGCGGCATATCCACGCATCTGCACATGCTGAGTCCCAGTTCGAAGGGTGCGTCTTTTTGCCTTGCACGTCAACTTCCGTTTGACTCGCCTTTCGCCTTGCAGGACTCTTTCAGCGCGCCATGTCCTTGAGCGGCACAGCGATGATGGCGACTACCATGGTGTACGATCCGCTGCCTCAGGCCCGGCAGCTGGCCGAGCGCGTGGGCGTGGCACAGGCCAAGAGCCTGGACAGCCAGGCGCTGGCCGCAGCTCTGCGTCGGATCGATGGAAAGGATTTGGTGGCAGCCGGAGATGTCTTCAAGCAGTGGGACAACCTGCCCATTATCAACTACGGTCTGGTTGTGGAGCAGGCCGACATGCCCGAGTCCTTTATGAACGAGTATCCGATGGCGGCCCACCTGGGCGGGCGCATAAATCAGGTGCCCTGGCTGCTGGGCAGCACTTCGCGCACAGGCGAGGGCTCCATGTTCCTGCTGCACACCTTTGCTAATCCACAGCTGCGGAAGGAGTTCAATGCGAACTTTTTGGAACTTTACGGCCTGCTGCTCTATCTGCCCAAGGGCTCAAGCGAGGACACGGTGCGGCAAATACTGACGGAGTACGGCGTGCAGGATATGGAATTGAATGAGGACACGTTAGCTACGCTTTCGGCCATTCTCGGGGATTTCATATTTGTCTATCCCATGCTCGTGAGCGCTGCCAGCTATGCTGCAGTTGCTCAGCAGCCCGTCTCGATCTACAATTTCGAGTACCTCAGCAACATCTCGTATGCCGCGATATTCACGGGTGGCATCCTCTACGACCAGCTGGGCGCATGCCACATGGATGACGCCCTCTACTCAATCAGCATGCCGATGCTGAAGCTGGACTTTCCCAAGAGCTCGGAGGAGGATTTGGTTATCAAACGCTTGACAGCCAGATTGGTGGAATTTGCCAAGAACGGGTGGGTTTATCTAAATCCTTATAGCCATATTTAAACATATTTATCTATATCTCTATTCATCATCTTAAGCTACTTGTCGATGTCCTTATCTTTTAATCTATATCTCATCCTTCTTCACTTACCTTTAGCATCCTTTCTGATGATACCCAATTGTCACCCTGCACAGCTGAGGAGTTTACTTCCGATGAGATATGCAACTATTTCCGTTTTGGACAGCTGAATGGGGCCTACCATGAGACAGTCGAGAGACGTGTGGATATGCGCGGCCTGGCCCTGTGGAAGAAGCTCTATATTTAAATTATATTAGACTTTTGGAGTACGACTTTAGAAACACACTTTTCTATATACACAGCACGGAAGGGACAAAACAAGCTAGACTAAGAGCTAAAGCACAAAAGGGGAGTACAATGAGATAGATTTATAGAGTGAGAAGCAGAAAAAGAGAGGGAGAGAGTGGGAGAGAGAGGGAGAGAGGAAGTATATTACAACACAACTTATTAATTAGACACTTAAAATGGAAGCATGAAAATCTTTAAGACTTACTTGAATTCATGAGAATCGCAAAGAGGGGCGCCATTCAAAAACATAGTCTGCATGGTAGACCAAAACGTCGTGTACAAGCATTTTCCATTGATTTTCTAAATGAAATAAACAGACGAAAGATCGACAATGAAAATCTCTGCGAGTTTTTCGTCAGTTACATACCTTTCCTTGGTTTACAGGGTATCTACATATAAGACCTTTACGCCTGCCGGCCATGAGTAAGTACAGTTGCATATATTGACGTAAGCGAAGAGTCTTACATATTTATTGTGATAATGTGCCTGCAGCTTGATTAAATGTGCATATCTAAAGGAATTTTTATCTGAAACTGCAGCTGCAGATGACCCATTTTGCACTCGAACTCGTTCTCGGTCCAGACGAAGGTCAAATGAATTTACATTTTGTCCAACTATAGGAGCGAAAAATACAACTATAAAAGCGCGATCACAATGGAAAGTTTAAACCACATATGTAAGCCAACCACAGTGCGGGTCAGTTAAATAGCACAGCCTATGATCATTTTAGGAGTATAGAAATAAAAGATTTATATTGTAAAAACTATGTGACATGCGGGAATGCAATAAAAAAGGAGTCTAAAATAGTCGAATAAAAGAAAATAAAAAAAAAAAAAATTAAAAATATTAAATATATTATATTCTTATATTATGATATATAAATAGAATATCTATGCATACGAGCTCTAATTACAAATAATACGATTATCACTTGGCTTTGTTTTTCTTTTTTGATTGACTTTTTTTTTAGGTGTTAATAACAGAGTTTTTAGACAACATCTGGCTGAGACAGATAATGCTCTAAGTAAGTCCAAGGTATACCTATAAAAATGAACATCGGTGTCTTATGCATATGTAACCATATGTAAGTGAAGCGATTTTTCTCACAAAAGAACAGTTTCTATAATCATATGTAAGTGAGGAGCCACTCAAATGGGTCGACTTATAAGTAAAAGCGGAGCTCCCCTTGCCATCAAGTGCCCAGGTCTTATCAGAATAACTCAAAAATAACAAGTAGAAGTGAGTAGACGAGCGTGACCGACTAGGAGATATCCTGAATTCAACCGAAACACTTCAGCTTTCTGTGCTTCTTCTTGCCATTACCCCATACTATCTATAGGAAATGTAGCCTTGAATAACTCGGTTGTCTGTAGTCCAATCTTAATGAAATTTTGCGAGCTTAAATATGGAGTAGAAAAGTGTGTGTATACTGAAGTGCCAGGCTTCAAACCTAAAAATACGATTTTTCCTCAATTGTGCGTGAAATGGGGAAAGTTGTACAAAAGTTTAAATATATAGATATATAATGCAAAGATTTATGGAGAAGTAAATGTGATAAGCTAGTTGGTTTGTCATGGAAGAATTTATAGTATATAGTAAGATATAGAATATTTTATAGTCCTAATTTCAAGTCTCTAGAAAGACAGACATGTTCAGATTGAGTCGGATATATATTCGGATATATACTCCTTATGCTCAATTTTTCCACGCTTTCAGGGTATCAAACAAAATGAAAAGAAAGAAGAATACAAAATCCGCAAAAGAAGAGAATAAAATGCGAGTAGATATATTCGTTTTGAGCACACACTCGTTTATGCATAACGGCCGCAAGCGAAACAGGATAAAAGTGAAAGTGATTCGTTTGGCGTCTCGTAGTGCGGCTTGGGATCTTCTCTAGGTCGGGTTCCAGACGCGGGCCAGGTTAAGAACCGTTCGATTCTCGGATCGATTCGTATCGTATCGTATCGCGTATATGTGTGTTCGATTGAGTATACGCCGTGTGTGTGCGACAATTTGTTCGAGTTGTTTGAATAAATTTCAATTGAATATCGACAACAACTTTGGATCTACATAAAAGCGTGACACACACACACACACAGACGCACACACGTTTAAGACACAACAAAGTTTTTCTTATTTATTCATTTTTTAATTTTTGTTTGAATAAAACTGAATGCTTTGGCATACAAAGCCGTCAGATAAATTTTGTGCGCTGTCGCGTTCAAAGCTCACGTCTAAACATTCGTTAGGGTATCCGGAGAAAGAGAAAGAGCTAGAGAGAGAGAGAGAGAGAGAACATATTGGTAAGAGAAACCCTTGGGCTTGGCCAAGGAAACCATTTTGGTCGTGGGAACATTTATCTTTTGGTATTTCCTAATTGATCTCGCGTTGAGATCATCGGCAAAAGAGAAGCTCATTTAAGGCCATAAACAAATGAATACATAAATTATCTGAGCTATGCATAAAATTAATGCGTCTTCGATTTCGGTCCAACAGCAGCACCCATTCGTCATGATTCATGCGGGATACGCTTCAGTTTTCTTGCTGCCGCTGCTCCAACTGGCCGCTGGACAGCTGGGTACTAATCCCAAGGCCTTGGTTGTGTGCGGCGGCAGCTTGGGCTGCCTGAGGGGCATCCACATGCCGGGCTATCAGATCAAGCGCTTCGAGGCCTTCCTGGGCATACCCTACGCCCTGCCGCCCGTCGGCGAGCTGCGCTTCAGCGTGAGTCGATGGCATAGCCCATATCCTTCCGTTCTAATCTGTTGGCCCGCTTCCAGAATCCCAAGATCATGCCCAAGCTGCGCGGCATTTACAATGCCAGCGCCGCGAAGCCGGACTGCATACAGAAGAACTATTTGCTGCCCACGCCGATTATCTATGGCCAGGAGGATTGCCTGTACCTCAATGTCTACAGGCCAGAGGTGAGTGGGGGTGGGTAGAGAATCCCATTTTCTTCGTAATCCTAATCCAGCTTTGCCTAATCCGCAGCGTCGCTCCGGGCAGCCGCTGCCCGTCCTGGTTTACATCCATGGCGGCGGCTTCTTCAGCGGCTCCGCTGGGCCGCTGATCACCGGACCCGAGTACTTCATGGACACCGGCGAGGTGCTGCTGGTCACCATGGCCTATCGCCTGGGCGCCTTGGGCTTCCTTTCCACGCAGGACGCCGCCATGCCCGGCAACTTTGGGCTCAAGGATCAGCAGCTGGCGCTGCGCTGGGTGCAGCGCAACATCAAGGCCTTTGGCGGTGATCCGCGACGCGTGACCCTCTTTGGACAGAGCGCCGGGGGCGTGGCCACGCACATGCACATGCTAAGCGCCCGGTCGGCGGGCCTATTCCAGCAGGTGATCAGCATGAGCGGCACAGCCAATGTGCCCTTCGCCATAGAGCCGGAGCCGCTGCAGCAGGCGCGCCGTACCGCCGCGCTCTGCCAGGTAGCGAATGCTCGGAATCTGAGCACGCCCAAGCTGGCGCGTGCTCTCCGCACCGTGGATGTGGAGACGCTGCTGAATGCTGGCGACGGGCTCAAGTTCTGGAACGTGGATCACATGGCCAACTATCGGCCCGTCGTGGAGCACAGCTCCGCCGCCTCCACCGAGAAGGAGGATGCGGAGGAGGCGTTCCTCAGCGTGCATCCGCAGACGCTGCTGGCCGAGGGCAGCTACAGGCCGGTGCCCTGGCTGCTGGGCACCGTGCCCGAGGAGGGCGCCGTTCGCGTGGTCAACATCATGGAGAACGCGACGCTGCGCCAGGATTTCAATGGGCGCTTCGACGAACTGCTGCAGCAGCTGCTCGAGCTGCCCCAGGAGTTCAGCGCGGAGCAGCGTGCGCAGACGATGCAGCTGGTGAGCGAAAAGTATTTCCATAACAAGCACGAGCTCAACGAGCTGACGGTACAGGGCTTCCTCGATGTAAGCAACAGCGGAAAGTTTTATAGAAAATGAAAGAAAAGAAATGAAATCCTCTTCAACTAACTGCAGCTCGTCTCGGATCGGGGCTTCAAGCAGCCGCTATACACTGCCGTGCGGCAGCATTTGGCCAGCGTTCACGCTAGCCGGGAGCCACTGTACTTGTACAGCTTCAATTATCTGGGCCCGCACAGCTATGCGTCCGTCTATACGAGCGCGAATGTGGGCAACAAATACGGCGTGGTCCATTGCGATGATCTGATCTATCTGTTTCGCAGTCCCATGCTCTTTCCCGACTTCGAGCGCAACTCGACGGAGGCGAGACTCATCCAATCCTTTGTGGGCTACTTTGTGCACTTTGCCAAGTTCGGGTAAGATTCCAACCCATTTAGATAAAACCCGGATTTGATTTGTTTGGTTTTTCTTCAGTAAACCCAGAAATGTGGAGTCGCTTAGGCGCTGCTCGGAAGCGGTTCTTCTGTCACGACCCGAGGGTATTTGCGATCATCACGTGTTCCAAAATGCGCCCAACGATCGGCCGCAGTTCGAGGTGAATGTTTCGCAAAGGTTTCGCGCGACAAGTGCCAAATTCTGGACTAATTTATTGGCAGAACCAAAGCATTATTAAGATTATAATTTATTAAATAGTTTAAGCTAACATTAAGTGTCTTTAGAAATATATAATAGTTTATATATGTATACACAAGCTGTGCTGATTGACTGATTGACGAACGACGCACTGTCTTGAACTCTATTAAGAAATTCCTCAAGCAGGCGTGGAATATAAGTGGAAAATGGTATTAAGAAACTTTTGTTTATTTGATGTGGTGGAATTTTAACTAATTTTCATATGTTACCTGTGAAAGTTATTCATATATTTTTATTAACTGATTGACTGATTGACTGATTGATGACCTATTTCCCTAATCCAACAATTACTCACACATGCGTGGAATATATGTAAGTGGAAATGAAATATTGTTAATGCTCGCGAGCTTCAGCTAATGTTCATGAGTGCTTAGTGAAAATTATATATTTTCTTTAATTCACTTATTGACTGAATGACTGACTGACTGACTGACTGACTGACTGACTGACTGATGAAAGACGCACATTCAGTATTCAAATCCTTGCACAGACGTGGAATTTAAGTGGAAAATGCACCTTTGGAACTTTGCTGTTTTTATCTGTGCGCATTTTAACTAATTTTCATATGTGCCTTGTGAAAATGATTTATTTATTTTATTAACTGATTGACTGATTGACAAGCCATTTCCCTATTCCAGCAATTCTTCACACACGCGTGGAATATGAGTGGAAAATGGGCTTATGACACTTTGTTGCTTTTATGCGTGCGAATTAAAACTTAGTTCAATGCATGACCTGAGAAATTTGTTATCCACGTCCACTTTTTCTCAAATGGGCGTCCAAGGCTGTAAGGGCAAAAGGTCTTAGCTTCTATGCGGATCCTCCAGCAATCTGAGTGGAATACTGAATGAACAAGTTTTACTTTCCTCAAACTCATTTTCAAAGCTTTACATAAGAAATCACTAAATAGACATTTCAGCGACTTACGCAACCTTTCGCCAAGGTCGAAATATGGATGAAAAGCTTACGATTAATTGCAAATAGTTTGCACAAGGAAATCCGCGCTGACTACTTTTTTAACGAGTTCAAATTGCTGTCTGTGTAATTCGTTGGGAATTTCGAAGTATTCGCCCGATATGTGCCTTCAAAGTGTTCCACATTGATATGGAACTGGCGCTGACACGTGCCCACGTTTGGCTCTGAACTGAACTTCTACAAATGCATTGAATAATATTATACACTATCTTATATATAATATATATATATAAAGAATTTGGTTCAGTTTTGTTGCTTCTGCTTTTAGTCAAACGTCATATAATTATTGACTTGTGCTTGATTAACATTCATTAGCATTTGCGGCAAGTTAACTGAGCTGGAGCCGAGGCTTTCTTTCTTTCCATCGAAGCGGAATTGATTGATTGACTGATCGATTGATGCATTGCTGGATCGATTGATCGATTGATGGGTTGATTTATTGCGTTGACAGTTGCTTTCCAGCCTCCAACAAACAAAAAGGGGGCATGCCAGGGGGCTAGACCTATAAAGACGCTAAATGGCAACCAAAGGCACGTTTAGCAGAAATCAACAAAAAAAAAATAACACAAGAAAAAACAAGTCTCGCATTGCGTATACGTCACCCGACACCTGCCGCCCATTGATGCAGGGGAACAAGTTAGAGAACGGCCAAGCCGACGCCGAAATACCCTGCACAAATACACAGATGAAAAACAAGTAAGAGGTACTAGTCGGGAGCTCCCGACTAGAAGATACCCTGAACTCTCTTCTTCCAACACCAAATGCAACTATATATATACTATTCTAGAAGCTACATGTCAAGTTTGGTGACTCTAGCTCTTATTATTTACCAAAATTGCTCAAAAAACAGGATGTCGATATCGATTTTTATCGATTACTTGGAAACGGGGCAAGTTATCGATTATCGGAGACAAACTGCAACCTACATCTTTCGGGTCTCTAGCTCTTCTAGGCTCTGATATCCTTGCGTTCATACATACGGACAAACGGACAGACAGACAAACGGACATGGCTAGATCGACTCGGCTATTGATGCTGATCAAGAATATATATACTTTATGGGGTCGGAGATGCTTCCTTCTGCCTGTTACATGCATTTGCATTTTGCACAAATACACAATATACCCTTTTTACCCATTTTTAATGGGTTTAGTGTATAAAAAGCTAGGCACCTCTTACAAATTCTGGAAGATGGAAGCTGCAATTTTTATAAATCTTTTTATATATATATTTTTATATTTTTTATATATTTATTTAACTACAGTTAAGCCTTAATTATACAAAATGGTGCAGAAAAATCCAAGTTAAAAGAACTCTATCTAATCATTGTAAACATTTAAAAATATTTAATTTAATTTATTTTTTTTTTTATAAATCTATTTAATCAATTTCTTTTTCAAAATTTAATTATAAATTGAACATTTTCATTCATAAATTTATTTATTTAATTTAATTTTATTTATAAAATAATTTTTTTTTAATCCACTTTAATGTATTTTTTTAATTTAATTACATTTTGAAATGTTTGGTTTAAATGTGAAGAGCCAGACTTCATGAAGCTGAAGAACCTGGCTTACAAATCGAACTGAAAAGTTTCCAGGTTCGAACCAGCGACCACCAATTGTGTTATATTTGGTAAACAATAAGCAATAGCTAATGCAACAAATATAATAACCAGAATTTTAATTTCTATAAATACGCCAATGCGAATGCATGAATTCAAGTACCCCGTGCTCAGATGTAGGGTATAAAAATGCGGCTACAATTTGTGCCAGCCAAATGTGATTTAATAAACAATTGAGCTTATTTACGGCTGCGTCTGTCTGAGCTATAGTTCGATTTCAATATTTATTGGTGCAGCTTCGATTTGGCATGCAGATCAGATTATATTATTAGACATATTAGACAGACTTTTCTAGTATTCTCTCTCTCTCTCTCTGAAGTCATTTCGTGGTGGCATTTGAATTTGGCTCAAAGTTCAGTGCACTGTCCGGGCGGGGTTCATTGGCTGTTGGGGGGGGGTTAGGCCAAAACATGCAATGCCCAGCGATTTATGCCAATTAAAATCAATATATTGCGAGTCCTGTGTGAGTCCTGTCTGTCATATCCTGCGGCTAAATTAGTTGCATTTCGTAGCGCAAGGCGGCAAGTGCAGCATGAAATTGGCACGCAAACTGATTGTTTGGATATTTCCACTATTTGTTTTGGCTTTTCTGCTCACCGTGAGCGAGGCCTATCTGAATAGCGTCCGGGTGGAGGAGATACCCTTTAAACGCACGCCGCCGCGCCCGGCCAGTCTGCAGGGGAGTCGAGCCAGCGGCATACATTTGATCTCCAGCCTGGAGCATCGTCGCACTTTCCTGCAAATATTTCAGGTGCCCTGTAAGTAGGCTCGACTTTCACTGTTGGCAGATCTGTCCATTAATAGAGTGTCCATTTCAGACATCATGTGCTTCTATGCCGCGAAGGGTAAGTGGCCGTATGTGCCGGGCTTTCTGAGATCGCGTGTGGATAGCTCGGCGAGAAGTTTCTTTCTGCAGAATGACAGCTATATAAAGGACTTTTGCACCAAGTGGATACAGGTCAAGGAATGCTTTAGGCCGGTTTTTGGTAATCATTTCTGTCCAGCTCAAGCACAACAACTTGTATATTAACCCAGCTAAGATTTCAGACAAATCGAATAACTCGGATGTGGAAACTTTGGATGCCCAGACCTTAAAGCAGCGCTGCGACAAGCTGGTCGCCTCGGAACCGGTAGTACCCGTTGTCTATTTCGACAAAAATCACATTGGCAATGTTAGCTCGGAGACTATTTTGAGCACCATCGAGTTCCTTGAGAGCTTTTTACCGCCGCCCACCAAAAAACATAAGCGCAAGAACCGTGTACGTGGCCGCTTGGATGAAATGGATATTGAATAATATATATAGTCACTAGCATTTCATATTTTAATAACCATTGTCACTTGATAGTTTAAATAAATAACACAAAACACCTTTAAGCACAACGGTTGAAATGTTCGTTATTCAAAACGTGGCGCCGATTGTCGTACATATCGATAGAAACGCGTTGCCACTTGGTCAAAAGTACAATTTCTGTTAAATAACAACAGAGCTAATTGAATAACAGCAGACCTATTAGCAGTTCAGCAAACTGTTAACGTTGGGGAATGCCATCGATTGAGTAGTTGTTTAAGATAGTTGAACGAGTGCGGACGTGTTGCGGACAATAAAAGAACGAATAAAAAGAATCCCCGCAACTGCATATAAAAACCAGACGGACGCATTCAATTAGTGGACATATAAATGAAATAAATGTGTAAAGGTTGATTAATTGCCAATTGAAAAGAGCAACAAGTGCAGCGAACAAGTTATTTTCTAAAAGAATTGAAACGCTGCCAAAGTATTTAAAGCGAGCGAGCGGCGAATAGAAATCTGCCACCAACACATATTTTCACATTCTTGCTTTCTATCCAAATTCGTGCATCGCGTGTGTTTTACGCGGCATCGTTGACGTGTGTGTGTGTGTGTGCGTGTGTGTTTGTTAAATACAGAGAGAGGAAGAGAGAGAGAGACTGCAGTATACTTTTGCAGCAACCTCTTTGGTGCTATAAGGAAACTTAGTACGTGCGTGTGTGTGTGAGAGAGTTGTGCAAGGCACGTGAATGTCGCTGAAAAACCATCCGGCATATCAACCGCTACCGACTGCAGCGGCCGCAATGGACAATCCGGCGATGAGCAACAGCAGCAGCAGCAGTGGAAGCAACGATGATGTTGCCGCACTTGCTCAGAGCGGACTACCTGCGACATATTCGTCACAACAGCTAGTTTCATCGGATTCAGATTCGATGGAACGTCGCCACCTACGTGGAAATAGTATAGTCGATGAGCCCGGATCCCGTTTAGCCCGTATGGGGCACTTCCAATGGTTTACTGTTGCAACACTCTGCTTTGTCAATCTCATTAACTACATGGATCGCTTCACAATAGCTGGTAAGTGTTTGGTTCAATTCAATTAATGTCAAGAATTCCAATTGGACGAGTGACCCGCATGTTGCGCTCACTGCTCCTACGTCTCCAATTGGACCACTTGATTATGTTGCTCTCTCGTTGATGTTAGTGCTGCTGTTAACTGATAATGCGTGTAGCTGTAGCGTTTAACTTTACGTCACGGCTGCTGTTCACACTGTAAACATTCCGTCTCTGACGTATAAAGCAAATTTCAACGCTTTGCATATAAAACAAAAACAAATATCGTCTGACTAATCACATTAGAATCATACGACCTGCGCTAATGTATTTTTTATCTCTATATATATATATATATTTTTTTTTTATTACTCGCTGCACCTAGGCACAACCCAAAGTAGGTGCAAAGTAATCAATCAGGCATTTAGCTAATTTACATATACATAATCTTAACACTTTTGTGCGAAATGTGCGCCTGACCTGGCGTGATAAAAATATTCCATTCATGCTAGCCAAATGGGGTGCAAACTTACCAAAACTGGGATATTATTTCGTCAATTTAACATATTGGAAAATCATAACATAGATTTACATATATAGATTTACATAGATTTTTCCACACGAATAATGGTCCTTTTTTTCCGCCTGGTACATTTTAACATCTGCTGTAAAATAATTCCGTTCAAGTGGCAACTCCGTCTGCCCAACATTTATTTACAGGAACTTTCCATAGTGTTGCTTAGCTTTAACATGATCCCTTGTTTACAGTGGCTGCGAAATCTGAAGAAGCTTATCAACACACAGCGCAGTGTAACAGTATATTTAAACACAGACGTGTTTACATGTAATTGTATTAGTTGCGTGGCGTGATTATTGCGTGAATCACAATCGTTGCAAGTGAGGCGATAAGCAAATGTAAACTTGCTTACAGCGATAACAAGGCAGTAAACGTAGTATATCGGGTATTGGCTAGTTCCCGATTCCAATTTAAATCAATTATTATTATTGATCAATTGGCTTCAATGACCCATCCACCGGTGCTATTCTTTATTATTTAAATTAGCATATCCGCTGTTTATTCGTAAGTGAAATTTGCTTGTGTCGCACTTTGACTTGACTTTTTAAGTTTATAACTATTGTTATGCATATAAATTAAACTTGGACTTTTGAGCTTGATCAGCAGTTTTTGCAATCATTAAACTTGTCACTGCTTAACAGTGCGAGGCAACTGTGAAGAAGCCAAGGGCACACGGCAGCACCGTATGCTGTTAGCCAACACTGGCTGGGTTAATTTATATATGCACATTTAACATGCTGCTTAACACGGTTTCGTTTTTGTTAACTGTGCCGCACTCGTTATTCATTAATGATTATCAAGCTTGGCCTAGGACTTTATTGTCTGCAGCGAAAGCCATTAACCAACACTGGCACCGAAATCATGTAACTTTCACTAAGCCTGTAATGAGGGGCTACCAAATGCAGAAATCGTATGATTTTTTAATCAGTAATCGGTAGGAAACTCATGACCACGCTGACAGGAAATGGTATTATATTTAAATGCTTATAAAAATACATAATATATAAACAAATTGGGCGATAAGTTTTACATACGGGAACACCAACGCACCCGATAAACGCATATTCGTCATGCTGGTATTCATATTCACATTCACATTCACATTCACAATCACATTCACATTCACACATCTCTTTACGCTCTTATGTGGGCGTGGGGCAATTAGTTAACATTTCTCCCCATATACGTTTATTTGCATTTACTCGCTTGGAGCTGTTTACTTGGGGTAGCTTCAATCAGTCATAAACTGAAACGAATGATTATTTACTTGGCACTCGGTATTGTTATTAGACCTTAACTGCTTGAGTGTGAGCAATGTGTACAGATATTACGTGGTTAAAGTAAAATATATATAAATGAAACAAGTTAATTTATGTAACAGAAGTTACAAATTTGAAATTTTAGGGAAAATATACTACGTAAAGGAAGATTTGTTTATATATTTAGTCAACATACTAGAAGTTAAAATAGTAATTAGTGTAACATAAAGGAAGATATTTAAAATAGATCTCAAATCAAAACAGATTTTACGTAACAGCCACTTAACATGATACCAAAATGTTTGTTAAAGTGCGCTCTTAGTAATGTTATTAAAATGATGTAAGCAGAAGGTAGTTCTGTTAGTTAACATGATATACAAACACTGTTATTAAATTTATGCAAGCATACGGGAGTTCTGTTAGTTTTTGTTGTTTCAGCTGCCTTGTCATTTCATAACAGACTTTGCGTAACAGCCACTTAACATGACATGTTAAATGTTAATTAAAGTGCGCTCTTAATACTGTTTTTATAAGTTTATGTAAGCAGAAGGTAGTTCTGTTAGATAACATTATATACAAATGTTAATACAAGTGCACTTTTAATACTGTTATTAGAGTGATGTAAGCAGAAGGTAGTTCTGTTAGTTAACATGATATACAAATACTGTTATTAAAGTTATGCAAGCATAACAGATCTTGCGTAACAGCCACTTAACATGACATGTTAAATGTAAATTAAGGCGCACTCTTAATACTGTTATTATCTAGTTTATGTAAGCAGAAGGGAATTCTGTTAGGTTTTGTTGTTTCAGCTACCTTGTCATTTGATAACAATTAGTTTTGATGCGCCACCCACCTGATGACTCTAATTGGCGATAACCGTTATCAGTGTAATTAGAAAATTATTTGCGCTTATCAGAGGCAAATAAATTGCATTTTGGAGCACATAGTTGCGCACAGTTGCACGTGATTGAAACCACTTTAAGCCAATTTGTGAGTGGCATCGATTTTGGCTAAACGATATCAGCCAACCTTCATGTTTTCAAAAATTTGCAACATGATAAATAAACGTTTGCCTTTGAATCCATTTCAACACGCGCTCATTTACATTAACTGTGTGAGTGTTGGGCAATCTTTAGCCATGTTGTTGTACGACTGCGGCGTATGCATATGTTATATATCACCCGATGTCTGGCATGAGTTGAATGTTATACATTTGCTTATTGTGGCAGGCCAGAGGTGGCCTCAGAGTCGTGACCCGAGACGATTCTGAAAACTTTCCATAAACATTTCTCCCCTAACGCAATTTATCGCCTGATGATGTTTGTTTGGCTTTAGTGTAGTTTGTTTGAGTTTGAGTAAATCATATAACAAATTGTTGGCTTTCATTCATGCAGCATAAATAAAGAATCTGCTGATGCCAGCTGTTGACAATTCAACATATAAATAAACCTATATATCTGCAGACAAACATCTCTATATGTATCTATATAATATATATATATACAATATTCGCATGTACTGAACTTTGTGCCATATGACAGGCGTTCAGCTGGTGTCGAAGAGATCCAATATATATTTATAAATTGTACAAAAACATTTTATCTCAAAAACAGACCATCCACTGGCTGCTGCTCTTCTTCTACGTAACATTTTGGCCACTTTCCAAGAGCACAAAAAAAAAAGATAAGAAAACTTAATACTAGTACAATAATTGTCTGCAGCTTGCAGCTTTCGGAATTTCTGCTATGATTATTTACTGAAAACCCAGTCGAAAATATTACGTGACGTTTTGCTATTGACATTTTTTTGTATCTTTCAGTTTGTGGTATATTTTGCATATTATTCGCGTCTCTTTTTACTTTTGGCATAACAATTTGTTGTCGAATTCAGTTTTAAGGTTTTGTACAAAGTTGCCAGCGCAAAACTTTCATTTTGTTCGTTATCAAAAAGGGGGAAATATTTACATGATCACGAGTAACATTTATGGATATAGTCTGTAAAAGACTAGCAGAGAGAAATAGACAGATAAACGATAGAGATCGTTCCGATGATCAGGAAAATGCCTAATACTTAGTATTATATTGGCATTCTTCTGCTCATTAGTCTATTCGTGAATGGGCATAAAATTAAGTAAAGCGATTGATTAAACATTTGCAACACGCAAAAATGTAAAAAACATTCGACAGGTTGTGGTTCCGCTTTTAGCAGCACATGCACAATAACATTAACATACATGTAAGAGCTCTGACGTTTCTTCTATGCTAATTCTTTACATTAACAGCTGAGTTCATTCTATGTACATACATATGTACACATAAAGAAACGAACGTAAGCGCTGTTAGCTTTAGATCATAGGCCAGGCGCATTAACCTATTGCATATTCAGTCTGTTTATTGTCGCTTTCGCATTGCACAACTTGTCAAATGTTGTCGTTGATTTTGCTGCATTTTTGCATTATTTTTAGCGTTGCTTTTGTTTTCTATGTCAATGACCGGCGCGGGGCAAACGGCGACAGCAAAGAGCGACAGCGACAGTAACAGCGACCTGTTGAAAGCGCAAATTCAATTCACAATAACAACATAAACATAAGCAGCGAGAAGAAGAGGAAGAAGACGAGGTGTGAACAGTTAGAGAGGCTGTGTATGGAAGCTTTGCCTTTATGTTGTGTATTGATGCGCGCAGCTTTTGGGCGATTTCTTTTTCTCTTTACTTTCAGCTTACAAAAGAAAGTTGCATTTGCATGAAAAGCAAGCTTTCCCAAAAAAATGTTAATTACGAAAAGCAAAAAGAAGAAAAAAACACGACATTTTAACAATGCCATTTAATGCTGTCTGGAACATCTCAAAGTCGCAGCTCTTTTTGCTTGAAATTGCAATTCGTGCGAGTTTTCAAGGCCAATCACAATCGCACTCAACTTGGCTGCAACCTCTTTTTTTTCATTCACATTAATGAGACACACCGACGTGTTCCAGTATGTGCAGCAGTCGTTCTTCTTCTTAACCAACTGCTGTCAGACAAGGTTCCTCCACTAGCTGGAGATTTATCAGTTCCCGTCTAGCCGCGTCACAGCGTCAAATGAGAGCGTCATCGAAAGAGAACGAGAGCGTGAGCGTGAGCGTGAGAGCGCAGACTGGTTCTAAAATTACGCGCAAGTTTCTAAAACCGGCAAAATAAAATTCCCGATCGCCGTTTTTGTCGCCAACAACAACAACAAAGCTGAAGCCAGGCGTTCGCTGCGACGTCTTGCCTCTGCCCTCGTGCGCTATCTTCAGCACGGGCGCAGCGCCATAAACAACCGCAAAACCTTGCCAGCAATGTCTCTAGTTGTGTGTAAATAGTTGCTCTCTTACACACACACACACATACATACACTACATAGATGTTTACAAACATTTGAAAGGGGCTTACACACCCCACATTGGATTCATCGCGTGGCGCTCGCCACTCACCGTTACGTCACTGGGCAAACAAACGCGCTGATTGGTCGAAAAACATCGTACGATAAATTTCTCAAAAGCGAAATGAGACACAGAAAAGAAACAACAAAAACAAAAACGTCAGCCGCACATTTGTGGCCTGCTGATTCACTTCGTTTGACTTCGCGCCACGTCGTCGAGTGCAGCGTTCGGTTTTTAGTAGTCGGTCGTTCCACGTTTTGTTCGGTCTCCACTTATTGAGTTTTTTTTTTGTTTTTCGGCCATGTATCGCTTTTGCTTTCCGAATGCCGGCCCGGCGCTTGCAACGTTCCCACCCCCGCTGAACTCCGCAGCAATCCACAGCGGCAAATAGCTGATCATCTTTAATGTTTATATACATATATTTATTTTGGTTGCTTTTTCGACTCTACAGTTTCGTTCACTGTTAACCGTTGCTGTTAAAGGCCAGCGCACGTATGTTAGTATCTTAAAAGTTGCGACGGCCCCGTTAAATATATAGGAAATGCATTGAACAGTTCAACTGTTGTTGGCTAGGTCGTGTCAATGTTATTATTGACGATGATTCTTAATGACTTGCATATCCGTCTAATAATTTCAATTCTATGTATGTGGGCAAGCATTAGATAATCAGCTGGAAATATGCATAAAAAGAATGTCAGGGTTTTTATTATTATTTTATGGTTTCGTTCAGTTCCGGATTTTGCGTTATCAGTTCAAATGTTGCCAAAACAAAGCAAACATAATCTTGGTTACTTTTCATTTATCAAAAAATTGATTAAATAATTACGACAAGCATAAGGTTAATTTCGTTTGCCTAGTTCTTATGTTTTTGTTTACATTTCAGGGCTTATGAAGCCCGATGATTCATTCGAAATATATATATAGACAAATTATTCTAAATTAAAAAAAAATACGATGTGTCAGTGTGATTATTAATTTAATACCCCTTTAAATACCGACAAAGGAAAAAATTTAGTTTACTTTTGTGGTTTCCACACATTCTGATATTCCCTATAAACTCCAGCTATCTATAAATACTTTATAACAGCGCTGTTAAGTTCATTTAACAGCTTTTGCTGTGTTGCTATGTTAGTGAACATTCTGTTATAGACTATAGCTCAATATTTGTAAACCTATATATTTTCTATAAGCTCCAGCTATCTGTAAACATTTTATAACTCTTATGTTAATTTAATAGCTTTGCTGTGTTGCAATGTTAGTTAACATTCTGTTGTCGAATATGGCTCAAATTTGTGGACCTATTTCCTATAAACTCCAGCTATCTATTAATACTTTATAACAGCGCTGTTAAGTTAATTTAACAGCGTTTAAGTAAGTTCAATGCTAGTTAACATTCTGTTGTTGACTATAGCTCAATATTTGTGGACCTATTTTTAAGCATAGAATCATGAGTATTAATAGCTTAGTTAATGAACTAACAGCCAGACCCTGGTGCTAACTTACGTAAAGATTTAAACGAGCGGATGCCATATTTGTTTAACCAATTAACAGGAGCAGCTGCTTTAAAAATCACGAGCTAGTCTCGCAAAGGCAACTAAATATATGTAGATATAAGTCTATGCAGCTATCATATATTCAATCTCACGCTTTTGATTTCTCCCTTGCAGGTGTATTGACAGAAGTGAAGGAAGACTTTCAAATAGACAATGATAATGCAGGCCTGTTGCAAACAGCATTCGTAATATCCTATATGATATTCGCGCCCCTCTTCGGCTATCTGGGCGATCGGTATTCCCGGCGCTGGCTTATGGCCGTGGGCGTGGCCCTCTGGTCGACAACAACACTTCTGGGCTCATATATGCACACCTACGGCTGGTTCATCACGTTCCGCGCCCTGGTCGGCATCGGCGAGGCCTCGTACAGCACCATTGCCCCGACGATCATCTCGGATCTGTTTGTGAACAGCATGCGCTCCAAAATGCTGGCAATGTTCTACTTTGCCATACCCGTTGGCTCCGGTCTGGGGTAAGTACTCTTCGAACTGCCGAAGTCGGGATAATACAGGGAATTTTGACCTATGTAGAAGTTTGATTTTGGAGCTTTACTTTTTTAGCTGAACAAGTTGATGGGAATATCTGTCGAGACAGTGAAGATATAGGAAATTGATTGGAACGATTATCAAATGACTTTAACTCCACAGATTTATATAGTCAATTTGTAGAACCAATGTTTTCAAAGTGAAGGGAAACTATAGTCCATTATCAATTAAGATGGTAGGAAAATTTTGAGTACATAAAGCAATATTTAAACAAAATATGTTCAAGGGCCACAAAATGTGCGCCTTAATATTCGACTCATTGTGCGTATATCAGATATGTCATATATGAGATATATAGCACGGAGTCGGTACTCGATTGAATATGATTCATGGCAAATACATAAATAATCGGAAACTGAATGTCTTAAAAATACATTCACAGACAGCCTTGGCTATAAAGAATCGGTTGTTGATATAGCACGAATATATATTTATATATGCATATATATATTTTGATGTATATGTATATACATACATTACTTAGGTAACTGAACAATAAGAAATGAGGAATAAGGAACTGAACCATCTGAAATGGAATCATATATTGGGTATTATTTAAGCCGTGGGCCTAAAAGTTAGACAAATAGTTTATAGTCATATGATATAATTAGATATGATTATGGACAAATAGTCTATATCGATATTATTCAGATGAATTATAAACATTAACATTAGCATTAACATTAACATTAGCATTAACATAAACATTTAGGCAGCAGCGTTAACAGGGACCTAACAGAGAATCTATAATCGAGTTAGTTGAACTGGATTGATTAACTATAAACAATCACATTATCATTAACATTAGCATTAACATTAGCTTTAACATTAACATAAACATTTAGGCAGGAGCGTTAACAGGGACCTAAGAGATACATAATTGATATTCGAGTTAGTTGAACTGGATTGAAAAGGAGGGCGAAAAAGGGGGCAACTGTTGAGCTGGAAACAGCAGCACAGCTAGAGGGTCTAGCGTTCCATATAGATAGTGGTACAAGGTTATTGGGGTTTACTGATAAGAGCCGCAATCGTATCTGTGGCCATCGTCTGGGTCGTCACGTGTGTGCGTCCATCAGATTGGCAGGCGATCGGTGCAAAGTTCTCTCACGCAGCAGCCGTGAGAAATGCAAAGAGAATTGTTGGCGATTCACCTTTTGGCTGCAGTTGAAAGTTTAATTGCGAATAAATGTAGTTTAGTTCGTTTCTTTTGAGTTATTTATAGAAATCGGCAAATCAAATATAAATTTAAAGTCAATTAAGGCGGCGGCTCTCAAGTGGGGTCAATTGTTAGAATCTGCTTCAATTGACAGGCAATTCAGGCCCCTATCTGCCTCACGCCACTTGCCACATGCCACATGCAATCACTAATCAACGCATTTGTGCCCTCTCTCTCCCCCCACCCCACCCCGCAGCTATATTGTCGGCTCGAAGACCGCGCAGCTGGCCAACAATTGGCGCTGGGCGTTGCGTGTCACGCCCATTTTGGGCGTCATTGCCGTGGTGCTCATCCTGCTGATCAAGGATCCGAAGCGCGGCGAAAGCGAGGGCCAATCCGACATGGAGCCAACCAGCTTCTGCATTGACATCAAGGAGCTGCTCAAGAATCGTTCCTTCATGCTGTCCACGGCGGGCTTCACGTGCGTTGCCTTTGTCGCCGGCGCTCTGGCCTGGTGGGGACCCACCTACATACATCTGGGCCTCAAGATGCAGCCCGGCAACGAGAATCTACAGTTGGACGAGTAAGTAACCTAACCGACCACCCCCCGACCACCCACACTTCCCCCTGGGGAGGGGTAAAAGAACATTTAAACAGTTTTAGCTTCTTGTTGTTGTTGTTGCATCCACCTTTAAAAAAAAAAGTGTCTCGTACAAATTTGGCCTAATCGCAATGGCCGCGGGCCTAATTGGCGTGCCGCTGGGCTCCGTGTTGGCCCAATATTATCGCAGCCGGATCGAGAACTGTGATCCGTATATCTGCGCCATCGGACTGTTCATATCGGCGCCCATGGTCTTTGTTGGACTGATAATACCGCGCATCAGCGGAACGCTCTGCTTCATATTCGTGTTCGCGGCGCAGGTGGCGCTCAACCTGTGCTGGTCCATTGTGGCCGACATCTTGCTGGTAAGGCTTAGCACGGATTCAACTGTTAACAGCAGCAGCAACAACAGCAGCCACGCCCTTAAATGTTAACAACTTAAAATTGCCTTTTGCCTAGTTTTTAAATTGTTAACAATTTTTATAGCGTTGCATTCAAATTTGGCCTAATTACCATGATCGCTGGCGTTGTGGGCGTGCCGCTGGGCGCAATTCTGTCGCAAGCATTAATGAAACGCTGGCTGACCTCTGACCCCGTGATCTGTGCCATCGGCCTGCTGCTCAGCGCCCCGCTGCTGACCGGCGCCTGTTTGATCGTCTCTAGCCAAACGATTCTCACATATATACTTATATTTTTCGGCCAATTGGCCATTAACGTGAACTGGGCAATTGTTGCGGACATGTTGTTGGTAAGAAACGAACGCAAAGAATTCGTCAAACAAACATTTTCCAAATTTTTTATGTTATTTAACACACGCACACACACACAAATGCACAAATCTTTGAAAAAGCCAATCTGGTTTTTGAGTATCATATTTTGGCTTTTGTAATTTTTGCGCATACGTAGTTTTATGTTTCGATAACAATTTGTATAAATTTTTAACTATTTACTGTTATAATACGCACGCACACACACACACACACACACATACACACATTCTAATATTGATGCTATAAAACCCTGTAAGTTTATAGCGCATTCACCTGGTGCTGGCTTCACATTTAACCCTTAAGTTGTGTTTAGAATTGTGCCATAAAAGTTATGGAAAATAGCTGAAAATTCATAAACCTTATATATATATAAACTATATAGACAGATAAGCTCTATATAGCCTTGCTTTGTTAACTTTCCTTGACTCGATTTAATGCCAATCTGTTAAAGTTAAACATCTGCCAGATCGTGTGCATATATATCATTTATAGCTGTCTTAGAAAATATTGATCAAAAATTGCGCAATTGTAAGAAAAATCGACCTTTGAGGCAATCAAGAGTTCAAGTTCGTAAATATTAGAACTAATTTATCACAAATTTTTCCGAACTTTTCATTTATATATATATTTTTATTATATTTTCTATACATTATTCAGAAATTGTAAGAAATCGTAAAAAAAACAATCAAAAGAGTTCAAACTCATATAATTTAATGCTGATTTTTGGCGCTCTTTTAAGTTTTAAATATTTTGCAAGCTTTTATTTATATATTTCGAAATATTATAATCTGGCTAGCATAGAATATATGGCAATTAGATAGTTCTCTTTGAGTATTTAAACATTTTCCCACTTGTTGGGCTTTCCTTTTTCAAATCTTGTTTATTTTGCGTCTCATCCTTTCTATGAAAGTCCTTTCATTTGTAGAGTGTAAACTTCTGCCATTTACATAACACAATTTTGAAAAGCAACTTTTTTTTTTTGGTGTTGGGTTTTCTAATGCTCTTCGAGCATATCTTTTAAATTAACACTTGACTTGCATACAAATTCCATGAATATCCTTGAGAACACGTACAAATTTGTCCTATTATTGCTCGCATCCTTTGCATCCTTTGCTTGACGCGCTGGTAATGGGCTTTTGTCACCCTTCCAACTGTTTGGCATAGCCAACCCCCCATTAAGCAGGCCCCGAGGGTGCATTTCCCCCGCCCCCTCCTGCCACCTTCGCACTCTTTAGCCACCCCAAAGACCCCACACAAAAACATGGCGGCTTTTTGCAACCCCAAAAAAAGTTTCGATCTAGAGTGGAAATTTCTCGGCCCAGAGTTTTATTTATGTATCTATTTCGATCAGCTGTTGTACAAAAACATAAAAACACGTAACACACTTTGCCCGGTTTGCCACAGGTTTCTATTTCGGGGCATGAGAACAGTTCCGCATTGGCCACGGGGCGTATGAGAAATGCTCGCCTTCTACTGTTCACAGTTATTGCAAAGACTTGAAATCGGAAATCAAATTGAAATTTAAATTGGGAGCTTTCAAATAGATAACTTTTGATTGTATTCATTAATCATATTTTGCGATATCTGTAATCAGCTTTGCTTAATTTATTTATTTGATTATTATTTGTGACGCACACACACACACGCACACGTACACGCACACTCGCCTGCTTATAACAGTAAACAGTTAATGTAGTTTATTAATGTATTTTTTTTGTAATTGTAAAGAATTGTACAAAAAATGTAGACAACAAATTGCCGCAGTCAAGTTTTGGTCGGACGGTCAGTTGGTCGGTCGAGCGTACAGAACTGTTCCCAAGCGAGCAGCTGTTCCCATTTGCGATTCGGGTAATCTGGGACGCAAACCAGCGACTGCTGCGATACATTCTTAAGTGGCGCCATCTCTTGTGAGCTTTTGCCAATGCACACGCACACCTAATACACTGCTTAACACTGGCTATGCTTTTTTTTTCTAGTTGTTGTTGTTGTTGTTGGTAACACTGCTTGATTTAGAATTGAATGTTTTTTTTTAATGGACAACTAATTAATTGTGTTAACCCTTATGCAGTACGTGGTGGTGCCCACACGTCGCTCAACGGCGGAAGCCTTCCAAATACTCATCTCACATGCGCTGGGCGATGCCGGCAGTCCGTATCTCGTGGGCGTCGTAAGTATCCGTTATGGCCTCCTTTTGAAATACCCTTTTAAATTGATAATTTATGTATTTTTCAGCTTTCGGTTGCCATCAGGAAACATCTGAGCTCGGCGACGTCAAAGTTTATAAGTCCGAACAGCATGCAGAGCTTGTCGCAAGTGTTGGAAAATGCCACGGAAACCGTAACGGAAACCATCACGGATATGTCGTATCCACGCGCAGAGGTAGGCAATTTAAGATTCTTCTCTAATCGAAATATCCTTAACAATGTATCATCTGATTTCGCTTGCAGGCCACGGATGAAGTCTTGTCCTTCGAGTCCCTGCAGTATTCCCTGTTCTCGACGACCTTTGTGGAGGTGCTGGGCGGCATATTCTTCCTGCTCACCGCCTGCTTCATAATCAGAGACAAGTCCAAGGCGACTAGCGACAGCCTGGGTAAGCATTCAGCAGCGATTCCAGATACATGGGCTCTCTAGTTCCTTACGCTATTCTAACTATAAATTCTATCACATTTCCGGCGCCTGTCTCAACAACAGGCAACGATTTGAGATCGGCGCCAAGGCAAACCAACCCAAAACTTCTGTTCGATTCGGATTGCCTGGTCATGTGCACAGATATTGCAATGCGAGAGCGCGCCTGAGCCAAATATCTAGTTTCCATTAGCCAAAATTGTTTTCGTTTTTGGCCCTAACACACTCGGTAGGTGGAACACACCAAATTGTGTTAACGAAATTCCGTTCCGTTGCCTGTGCGAGTCGAACTAACTAACTATCATGTTGGCAGCAAGTGCTGCCCTTAACCCAAAGCACATGCCCAGCTTTAATTGTTGTCATTTTCTTTGTAACTTTCTTGTCGCATCTTTAACTAAATATGAGCTTCTTCTTTTGTGCCTTGCAGCAACGAATGAACAGCAGCGCAATCGCAATGCCTAATGCCAGCCGATGCCAGCTGATGCCAGCCGATCCAAGGAGTTATTCGACGCACTCGGCGCGAAGTGATACCGACTGAGAATCATCTATAAAGCCTATTTATAAACGCCGCATCTAATTGTAAAAACTCTATATATTTTTTACAAGTGTATTGGCTTTGCGTATTCTGTTTTTTTTAGTAATTAGAAAAGCGCGTGTTCCTATCACTCATCACTGCTTCTATGTAAACATACAGAAACGTATATATATATATATCTGAATATTGGAGCGGAAAGTCACATAAATTATGCACTAAATCATCAAAATTTTACTTATGTGTATTTACAATTTAAGCGCCTCCTATTAGTCTAGAAGGCCTCTGTCCCAACTAGATTTAAAGTTAACATTGTATATAGTTGAAGCATCTAAAATCTGTTTTAAACTCTCGCACGCCTATCTCAGACAAATTGTTTTTTTTTTAATGGTTTACACACATAAATCTATCTGTACATATTTTAGCACCCGGCCATAATTGTTAAGCGCGTAGTTCGTACATACATTTAAACATACTATATATATATATGCATATATATATATAGATATATGAATAATTATATTTAATTGTAATCGTAGCTAGAGTTCTTAACAAATTGCTAATGAAACAAGAAATCAGAGCAAATATGAAATCTGTTTAACAAATAAAAACGAAACCACAAATTGCATTATTCTTATCAAATGTCGACAAGAAAGAACACATATTAAATAGTATAGGCTTACAATTTTAATTGATATTATTAATTTACACACACACACACACACACATCGAATAAAACCAAATATTCATTTCGGACGAGACTTTCGCATCGAGCTGATAACAAAACTGTATGAAAACAAAGCTACAAATGTTGTTTAATATAAATTATATTCAAATTATTAAAAGCACATTCATGTGCATCTCACTACGACAACATTTTGCTTTGTCGCTGCCTATAATTCTCAACTGGTTACAGCTGCGAACTGAGCACAAGTCTTCGCAGGTCTAGAGTGTACAGTTAAGTCTGCTGGCGATGGAACATGATAGGGACAATTTTGGAAGGTAACTCTTTAGCGAGGAACACAAACAGCAAAACTAACCGCATATAAGACAAAAGGTGCACACAGTCGACGCCATTTTTTAAATATGTCAACTTAGTGTTAGAAAAGTCGCTTTAGGAATGCCAATTATCCTAAATATTCCGTGTGGAAAATACACATAAGGTAGTCGAAGATGGGACAAGAATTTCGGTTACATAACCCTGCACATTTAGGAAATAAATCCCGATTCAGTGTTGAGTTCAAAAATTGAAGTTTTATTCTATTTGAGGTACTAATTCAATTATCATCCAGCATAATGTTGTTCCAATTAATAAAAGGGTTACAACATGAAAGGGAATTGAAAAAAAAGAGGTTGACTTTTTTCCTGGCGACCTTTTAGATAAATCTTGATGCTGTGATGAGACGTGTGTCCTTTTTATAGGCAAATGCAGTTATTTGATAGCCTATATTTCAAATTTCTAAAGCAGCAAATCAGATAGTTGCTAATACACAAATGCAATCAGTCACAAAATATAATAAATATTTTAGGTTTTTCAAAAATTAATTAGCCATTTCATCAGAAATGTGGTCATTTTGCAACACTTACGCCGCAATTAAGTGCTGCAGAAGTGCGCATGCCACTTTTTATTATCTATGCAGATAGTTGTTTATCTTGTTTATCTACAAATATATACAGACATTTGCACTGTGTGCAGGCATTTGCTTAGATGTCCTTTCTTTTAAGTCAGCTACACCGCGAAAAGCTAAAAAACGACGACGCAGCAAACAGGTTTCTATCGCCGAGTGGAGACTTTAATAATCAGCGCGCGTCGGTTTTAAAAAAATCTACAATTATATTGCGTGTGTAGAAAGCGAATATAAAATTGTAATGCTTATCGCCGGAAATTATTGAACGTTTACACACACATGCATACACATTCAATTGAATCTCGCCAAAGATCTGCGACTTGTTGCATGTGTGTATGTATAATACACAGAAACATATCTATGTATACATCTTTGCATGCATGCACACAAGCATGAGACGAATATTAATTAGTGTGCGTGCGTGCGTGTGTGTGGGAGTGGGGGGGTTATGTTTTGATTTCGTGCATCGCTCCTCCGCGTTGTATTTGCAGTGTCCGTGCACTTCTATAGAACAGTTATAAAATAGCCGCTGCTGCAAAAGAAAGGAGAAACGCAAGTTGCGAGAAAGAACACAAATAAGGGAAATGAGCTAGAATTGAAACAGGACAGAATCTATTTATAAACATAGCAAGCACACACACACACACATAAGCCCTGGTGGCGTGCATGTGTATGTGTACGCGCGCATCCGTGTGAAGTATATAAGGAACGTTTGAAAAGAAATTCAACTCAGTTCGTTGTGAAATTTCTAGATGCACACAACTCGAGCTTAGCGTTTGATAAGACACATCAAAAGAATTGCCCACTGCACAGAGATAAGAACTTAGTATTATGGATCACGAACTTGTAAGTTAAGCTTCTATTTGAAACTAATTGACAGCAGTGTTTAATATTTGATTGGCATATTCGAAAACAGCTGAACACGAAATTCGATTTGCCCAAGAGCCCGGCGCCAACTCTACACAATGATGATAGTGATGATAATGATGTAGAGTTCGTTGGCACAATAGCGCCACCTACTGGCGAATGGCATTGGCATCCCAATCAGAATCTGGCCACAGTGCCGCCGCTTTTAGTCACTCCCCCACTCTCCCCGCTGGGCATGGGCATGCAACAGCCGAACATGCCGCTCCTGACCGCAATCCTGGCCCAGAATAACGGCGCCTACCCCCCTCAGGGCTATATAGTCCACATACCCTGCTTTCTGTGCCAACAACCCTTCAATGACATCGACAGGCTCCGGGAGCACCTGACCATGCACGCCGCACAGTTGAACTACCACGGGCGATCACCTGCAGTGGAGGCACCCAATCCGTGCCCCCTGCCCACGCCAGCCGGGATTAAGGTAAACGGTGTGCACAGCCAGCTGACAAAGAATATGTCAGATCCACCGACACAGGGCCCGAAAGTCATCAGATCCACAATGTGCCTGCAGGCACATCTGAAGCAGCACCGCCTGCCCCATGAAGCCCACGATAAATGGTGGACCAGAAAGCAATTGAGATGCCCCATCTGCAGGAAGAGCTACAGGCGTGACAGCTTTCTGCTCAAGCACATGGCCTACAAGCACGGCGAACAGTTGGAACAGACCCGCCCGGAGTGTCCTCCATGTCCTCCATGTCCTCCATGTCCGCCACGTCCGGCACTTGCTGCCGAGCGGGATCAGCCCAAACGTTGCGTTTATAGCACGAATCTGTTAAATGCCGTTGCGGCGGCCAACTACAGCCCGGCCACGGAATCCGCCGCGAAATACGTGCCACCCAGCGACACGGCCCTGGATACCAGCCTGAGGGCGCCGCCCAAGCAGAAGTACGCGCTGCGTTCGCCCTACTTTAATCCGTAAGTCCTGGAATGTGAAGCACGTTGAAATGTTTCCTTTATAATACGCAGCTTGACACTCTTTTTTTAGAAATCTCTGGGTGGACCACGATGCGTACATATAGAGAGAGGAATTGGCGCTGGAACCATAGAATCGCCACATAAGGCTACACGATATAATCTATAGATTAGATTCTTAATCCTAAGTTAGTTTTTAATATTTAAATCAGTTCAGTTTAAGTCGAAGCTTATCGCAAGCGATAGCTTTTCCTACTTGCCAGCTAAGCTGTTCAAATATGTATTTCCTTCCACTGTTCAGAGCATCTGAACAATCTAGTTTATATAATGTATATATATACTTATATTTATATATATTCTACGATAAGAACTCCTCGCGTAGTTCGTGAAGAGGCGACAGATCGGAAACCGAATGCGACACCAAAACGAATAACGAACCGAACTGAAAATCGCAAAAGCTGATGAGTTCTTTATTTGCCCAGCTCCACAGACTATATACTTATATACTATATAGATTGAATCTGAATGTGCAAAAAATACTGCTGATAATGCAAAAATGGAATGGAAATAAACAAAACGCTGTTGATAAAGCTGGAAATGCGATCGGTCGTCGCTCGATCAGCATTAAAATGTTGCGATCATTTCAGTTGGGATCCAGGCCTGAGCCGGAAAGCAACAGGCTCTCGATCATATTACATTTGCGTGTGGAATCGTTGAATGGACTGTAAGTACACTCAATTCATATTTTAAATCTGTGTTAACACTAAGTAATACGATGCAATATATATATAATATATGTTTCATTATAAAAGAACTCTGTTTTATTTCCTTAAGTACTTGCATGGGGTAAGTATAATGTCGCTTCCAAGCGATCCAAACTATCAAGAATTTTATATATTTAAGGTCAAGTCTTCACATTGTATTGAATTCGAATCGTTCAATAGATTTCTTTTAAGAAAGTGTTTTATCTTTTAAAAGATATCTCTAGGATAAGCAGAATACGAAAAGCTTGTTGAGTTTGTTGAAGATATCTTGAACCGATTCTTCCATATAGATATCTATATACATTTTCGAAGATATATTCATTTAAATTAAAGTACAGTCTACGATCGTATAGAATAACAGTGAGGGGTAGAAATTAACGGCACATCTGGCGAACATGTGTTCGCAAGGTTTTCTCATTTTGCGCATCTCAAAAATAACTGTTATTTTGTTATTTTTGGACGATTTGTTGGTTTCATTGCCAAATCGTTTCTGAGATTTGCTGAAAGTTGTTCTTACATTGTGAACAATTTTATCTAGGCATGATTAATGTTAATTGGACTTTTGAAGCGGAAACTAATCATTTTCGTCAGATAATGCTTGAGCCCGTTTGATTTTATCAAGGGAATCTTCAAGAATCTACTTAACATTTGACCAACAACCCGAGTCATAAGTGGGTTCAGCTCTTCAAAGAATGTCTCAGATCGGGATACGAACATAGGAACCAAAAGTGGAAAATACACATACATATATTTGGAACATTATACATACATACATATTTCTATGTATTCCAGTTTTATTTAATAGTTTTTTCGTCAATAGAAATATGAGACTTTCAACAAATTGCGGCACAATAATTATGAGAAGAGTTTTAAGCATGTCGCGATGCATACATACATAAGTACACACACACACACATGTGCATGTAAATACGGCTATGCCGAATTATACAGTTATGCATACATACGTACACACTGTTCGTAGGATAGCTATGCATAGATAAGGGCCAATACGATATTTGTTTGTTTTGACTTTAACCTTCATATTCGTTTGCCTTTAGTATTGTACACACATACATACTCACACCCACACACAACAGACACACACCCTTAGGATCTTAATATCGCATTGAAACGCGCTTCTGCTTTGCGCTGCTCGCAGTTCTATTTTTATGCTCGACAGAGACGGAGCTAGGAAACGGATGCAAAGAAACACAAAATCAATTGAAACTTTAAAGAACCCCGCAATACTGTAATCGCTTAAGAAACAAATATGTATTTAGTCTTGTATACAGTTATATATACATATTGAGTCAGTTTATTTGCATAAATTTCGAGGCTTCAGCGTAACCTTGGCAGCAACATGGCGTTCAATATGCATGTATGTATGTATAAGAGTTATAAGAGTGCCATCTGTATAATTAGTATAAGTAATTAAGAAATGTACAACACTGACCTTTTGCAGCTGAGAGACATGCTGAACCAATTGTCATCGCTGTCAAATGATCAAATTCCTATCGAAGCACGAAATCGACAAATGTATAAGAGAACATCTGCCCAAATGGAAGAGAGCGAAAATGACGATTGTCGCATTGTGGAGCTGGAGGAGGGTGGCATTAACTGTTTCCTATGCCAGCAGCTGTTCACGGACATTGATGAGTTGCAGCAACACTTTCTGACTCACTTTGCGGAATGTCCCGAAAATACAACTACAAAATTTGTCAATTGCGATGTTTGCGGCCGAAGCTTACGCTCCGAACAGGAGTTGCATAAGCACCACGAACGTTTCCATGCGGCACACCTGATTAAAAAGGATATCGAAACTCGAAATCGATTTCAATGTGAACAGTGCAATAATGTCTACCTGAGCCTTGATTTCCTGGAGAAACACATACAATTGGCACACAATGTGGGGCAGACGTTTGCCCAGGCTCCTCCTCCTGCACAGCCGAAACAGAGGACAGCTGTGTTTCTTAATCCACCTGCAAAACAAAAATATCCACCAAGGTCGCCCTTCTTCAATCCGTAAGTCTTGATTACAAGTTTTTCAACTCAATTGTAAATACTTCTTTTTTTTTGTAGAAATCTTTGGTTGGACTGCGATGCCTATGTATCAACATCTCATTGAATAATAAATTTCATTAATGCAAAAACATGAATTTTTTAGATTTTCTTTCATCATACGAAGATCGGACTTTGTCCTGACCAACTGGCTGATTGGTGATCAAGGCACAGTCCACTATAGTCACCTTATCTGATTCGATTTGCTTCAAACAAGGCTCTCTCTTAAGAAATTAATGAATACGTGTTTCGTAGATTTGGGAAATTCCACCCGCAACAGTGGTAAATTGGCGGAAAACGGTTGTATGAAAGTTTTCTCCTTACCGTGCGATCGGCTCAAAACTCATTTTCAAAGATCTTGGAGAGAATTTATTTGAAACATGCCACGGGGCAAGGCCTGCCAACCTTATTCTTGGTCAAAATTCATGTGAAAATACTTAAAAATATATATACAAACATTAATAAATGCATTCATTCATAAATACATACATACATACATACATACATACCTACATACATACCTACCTACCTACCTACCTACCTACCTACATACATACATACATACCTACCTACATACCTACCTACATACATACATACATACATACATACATACATACATACATACATACATACATACATACATACATACATACATACATACATACATACATACATACATACATACATACATACATACATACATACATACATACATACATACATACATACATACATACATACATACCTACCTGCTCCGCCCCCTTGGTGCTCCTCCGGGTCCTCAGCTTCCAGCGTTGAAGCCGCCTGCGCCTAATTTATGGGTGAAGCCTGCAAGCCTTACTTACATTTTTGAGAATCGAGGAGGAGAGCAGCTTTAATAAATACGTAGTCTTATTTAAATTTGCCGCGCAACAAGACAAATTCGACTTTATAAGACAATTTACTTGCTAACATACATATATACGTACATACATACATACATACACACACATACATATATAAATAAATACATACATACATACAGACAATATCTCGAGTAAATAAAGAGATATGCATTTTAGGACTAATTCAGTCGCTGTAGAATAGAACAAAAACGTGATCCGGGCAGAGCCGGGCAATAGTTAATAGTATTTGGACAAATGGTGGCATACAAATTATTTACTTTATTTAAAATTTAATTTTTGCTTTCTATTTATATTATATATGATTTATAGTTTATAGTACAACATACGTTAATTTATTTCGCGCGGTAGTTAAATTGAATATTCGCAATTCCTTGAATCGTATAAAAGTTATTCCTGCAACTACTTTGCGTGTGTGTGTGTGTGTGTGTGTGTGTGTCACCTTGAATTACCTAAGTGTTTTTCAATTATTTACTTGTATCATTATGCATAATATATGTTGGTTTTCTAAGCCTAAGACAAACGCTCCCTTAGCAGTCCATGCATTATCAAACAATACCAACTATATATAGCTACTGTTCCCGATACAAACATTGAAATAAGTTGGCTAACTACATACTTTAGAACGAACTAACTGCATACCATCGATTTGTCAATCCAATACCTTATATTATTAGACTATATAAAATGATTATTTGGAAAATAAATACTACAGAAAACAGCTGAAGCAAAGGCAAAAATCAAAGCAATAACAAGCAAGCAACTAAATATTATAGGAAAACAAATTGAATAATTGCAGAAAAAAAAATAATAATATGGTTTTATATATAATAATTAAAGGCTTTGTTTTTTGGAAACGCAAAGCACTTGTGTGACTAAAAACAATATACAATTTGGGTTTATTGCTATAATAAATAACTTTGCTTTTCACTCTTCTTACAAGTATTTGCAGGCTAACAAAAAAAAATTGTGACAGCTTTCATTGTTTATTGTTTTTGTAATTATTTTGTAAGTTGTTTTGTTTCTTATTTATTTTTAGTGCAACAAATCAACAAATAAATAAATATATGCACTTTTTTAATTATCTATATCAAGGAGGACAACTAGGTTTTTCTTTTCTCTTTTTTCGCTCTTTTCTCATTTTTAGAACGAGCTACGATCTTCGCAATGTGCAGCTCTAGCTGTTACTTAGTTCTATTCTATTTAACATTTCTCTCATTCATTTACTTGTCTTATGCACTTAGTTTTACATATCTTTGTTACGTGGTGAGGGGAGGGGGTGGTGATGGTGGTGGTGGGGGGTTGTATGAACATATGATGCGTATCTAATGTGAATATGAGCTGGCTGCAGCAACTCCTCCCGCCTGGCCCGGCTTGCCTGTCTACCTTTTAGTCAGCAGAGTTTTTGTTAAATTTACTTTTTTGTTTAGTTTTTCTTTTTAAGTTCGGATAAACTCGTATTTATGTTGCATACAATAGTAGTAGGATTTTCGACTTATGTACTATTTAACCTGAGCCCGAATGTGTTGCAAAAATTCATAATATGACAAACTAGATTCACTGCGATCGTCCGTTAATCTCTCAATAAACTGCGCCTTCGCAGTGCTCGTATCCCTGCAAGAAGCAAATAAAATAAGCATTTGATTTGTTAAAAGCTTCATTGGGACTCACCTAATAATTTGCACTAGCGGCGCGTAGGGCTTGTCGTAGTTCAGACGCAATATAAAACGCTTCAGAGCATCGTTCTCGGCGCTGACCACGTTGGGCAAACCGTATACGTAATCGGCCAGTTCAGAGGTCGAGCTAATGCCTGCAAATGAGTTGCGTTAATATCGAACATAATTGGCACAATCATTTAAATTAACTTACCCATCAAAGCTTGCAGCACATCGGTGGGCACATTAATGCCGACATAGATCATAATCAGCGTGCCGCAGTCCATCAAAAATATTGAACGCGAGTCCAGGCTACAAGAAATTGGAGCAATTAGAGAGAGTTCAATCGATATCTAGGGGTGGGGGTAAAAACTTACTGCTCCGCAGATAGTTGCAGGCGTTGCATTTCCGGCAGCAGCTCATCATCATCGTCGTCGTCTTCCTGCGTTGTGCTCACATTGGTGTTGCGCACATGGTAGACGAGTGCATCGATTTTGTACAGCTCGGGATAGATGTACTTCATGAGCTGATCCAGTGGCATCGTTTTCATGTTGTCCATCGCAAAGACGCGATCATCCAGGCGCGTGCTGGTGCCCACGCGAAAAGCGGGCTACGAGATAAAAGAGCAACAATTAGATACAACAACCAACAATTATTAGAATGGGTTGGCACTCACATGCTTGAGCAGTGCCAAAATGTAGAGGGGCAGCAGGGCCAGGCTTCGTGGTGCTATCAGTTGGCCACTCTGGCCGGAGGGCAGATTTTGTGCAATCTTAAATGCATTGAACACGTCGATGGTCGCATTGATGAAGGCGTCCCGTGCATCCGATAGATTCGATGCTGTCGAACGATCCACTGCCATTTTGGAGAGCAGACCCACAATGGCTTCCATGTCGGCGGAATGCATTACCTCGGGCAGGGACGAGGTCACCGGCAGGCACACAGTATGGACACGTATGCGTCGCTCGCCCTCGCTGTTCGTATAGAGCAGCGCCGCTTGGAAGCAAATGGTCTTGACATCGGTTAGGCTCTCCTCGTACGATATCTGCATGCCATAGCCGGCATCCGGATTAACATTGGGCAGCGACAACAGATCCGTGCTGCGCACAAAGAAGTTGCCATGGAATGTGTGCACCTGCAGGCCACGTGTGCAGCGTATACGCATCACCGCCTCAAAGCCGATCTTGCGGGTGAGATAGCGCTTGAAACACTGCTTAAACGATTCCACCATATGCTGTTTGGTCCTCTGGTAGAGCGGAAAGTGGTGCACACAACCACCGCTGTGTTTGCTAACGCCGGCTGTGCAACATGACAAAGGATTAGTACACAGATATATTTGCTCCATGGGAAGGGACTTACATATGGTGGCCATGTCGCTATACTGTTGATTCATCAGAAACAGATCGACTGCAATCTGATAGCCGGAGCACTCGAGAGCGAAACGCTTGTAGAAATCTGTCGCTGGATTCAGATGCGCCACATCTTTGGCCGAGCGATTGTTGGGATCTTCGCGCGGTTCCAGCGCCCCGGGTCCCTTGTTGGGAAGGCACGATTGAAATACGGTTATACGTCCGCCAGATGCTTGCTGTGTACGTGGTTTAAGAATTATATACATTAGATGCTTCAATTGTATTGCTGCCGAGCACTTACCATCAGCTTAAAGGCCACTTGCAGGGCCGCACCCAGGGCCGAGCCAGGATCATGGGTGTGAGCAAAGCGTTTGGGCAACTGCTTAAGCAGATCCCTTACAAGTTCCTTGCACTCCTTGAGATTAACCAACAAACTGTCTGGGCGCGGCAAGAAGGGATCGTCAATATCCAGCAGGGTCATCTCGTGCGGCTGATTTAGGCCCTCGGCCATGCTGTAGAAGTGCACAAAGCTATCGTAGCATATGAAACCCACTTGGGTGCGCGCATCACCCGGCATCTCGTCCAAATGGCGATTGAGCACCGAACAGGCTGACTCCAGATAGCCGCTCTGTTGCGCTATTATCGACACATCGAACAAGAACAGATACATGGCCGGCTGTGGTGGACGCAGCATGTACTCCGACGGCGCTATGAACTCGATGGTGCTAGAGCGCACCTCGGGTCGTCGTGTCACATCGCCATAGGTCTTCGTAGCCGGATCGAACTGGAAGTCCTCGGGCACTGCGCATTGGAGTAGATTAATCAATTGGAATCTTCTCATTAGCTTGGCTCAACTCACATTCATTGACGCGATAGCAGAGATTGCATTTCCACATTTTGCTGTCCACGAAGTAGACAAACGGATTAATGTAGGTGCGGCACAGGCGGCAGCGCACAATATTGACGCACTGTATCACGGGCAGGCTCTGCGGAAACAGCAAATCGTTAACAATTTGTTAATTTGAAAAGATTTCAAGCACTTACGTTGACATCGCGAAACGGATGAATGACTATGCCGAGCGGCAGACGCGACTTTTGCAGCAACGAATTGCTCTCCGGGATTTTTGCCAGCGTGCAGCGCATAATGCTGGGATTGCAGTTGATGGACTCGTGGAATTGATTGTGCAGCACAACTTTCGGCGGCGCAAGCGTTGCCGGCGACAGTATATGCCGGTTCTGCATCAGATCAACGGTATCCTGGCCCCACAGACGACTGAAACCCTGCTGCGTTACGCTCAGCGGCTGCTGCGCCACACCCTGCGCCTGATACTGTAACGGCGCACTGCCCGGCTGCACGCCAAACATTCCGGGTGCACTTAACTGCTGCTGTTGCTGCTGCTGTGGCAGCGGTGGCATCGCCTGTGGAAACGCTTGCTTATACGGATATTGCTGCGGATGGGGGAGCTGTTGCTGCTGTTGTGGCAGATGTTGCTGCTGTGGCAGATACTGCTGAAGCTGGGGGAGCTGTTGCTGCTGTTGCAGATGATGTTGCTGCTGTGGAGGATGTTGCTGTGGCAGTTGCTGCTGCTGCTGGGGGAGCTGTTGTTGCTGTGGCAGATGTTGCTGCTGCTGCAGATGCTGCTGCTGTGGAGGATGTTGCTGCTGTTGCAGATGTTGCTGCTGCTGCAGATGTTGCTGTTGCAGAAGCTGCTGCTGTGGATTCTGCTGCAATTGCTGCTGTAGCTGTTGCTGCTGCTTCTGCTGCGGCTGCTGTTGCTGCTGTTGTTGCTGTTGTTGCTGCTGTTGCTGCTGTTGCTTCTGCTGCTGCTCCATGGTTGTTGGCGGTCCAAAGGGCGGCAGCTGCACCTGCGATGGCATACGCTGATTTGACGGCAGCGGCGGCGGCATAAAAGACTGCGGCGTTTGCAGTGCAGTCGGCATGGCGGGCATAGCACCAGCCAGCGGCTGCCACATCGGTGGCCGTTGCGCTGTTGGCGGCGCAGCGGCACCTTCCGCATTGTTGTTCTGCTCCGCGACAGCTGGTGCTGGTGCTGGCGCTCCTGTTGCCGGAGCTGGTATGCCGTATGCCAGTTTCTGTCCGGTGGGCGGCATTGGCCTTGGTACCAGCTTAGGTGCTGCCGAGACGGCGCCAAACACGTTCGCTGGACTCCCGTTGCGGGGCACAGCGGCATTGAACGGCACAGCCATGGGATTGGGCAGGCTGGGCGCCAGTCCACTCGATGCCAGCAATGTATTGGCGCCGCTGGTGTCCAATTTTGGAACGGGCCCAGCTAGGCCCTTTGCCACGCCACGGTAATCCTTACGCGCAAAAGATGCTGCCGGACTGGGTCCATTGCTGGGATTCAAATTCATGTTCTGCATTTGGCTAGCTATGCTGGAGACCTGGCTGACGGGTGGTTGCGCCTGCTGGGACGGCAATGAGGCGCCCGACTGGCTGGCCGGCTGTTGAGGTGGCGGCAACGTGGGACACGACTGGCTGATCGCTAGCTGTTGGGGCGGCATTGAGGCGCCCGACTGACTCGCCGATGGCTGTTGTGTAGAACCCGACTGACTCATCATTAGTTGTTGCGACGGTAATGGGGCGCCCAATGTAGGGCCCAAGTTGCCAGCAGACGGCGGCATTGAGGCGCCCAATGCGCTGCCCGACTGACTGGCCGGTTGTTGAGGTGGCGGCAACGTGGATCCCGACTGGCCGATCGTCAGTTGTTGCGAAAGCATTGAGGCGCCCAAGTTGCCAGCAGACGGCGGCATTGAGGCGCCCAATCCATAGCCCGACTGACTGGCCGGTGGTGACGACGTGGAACCCGACTGACTCATCGTTAGTTGTTGCGACGGTAATGGGGCGCCCAATGTGGGGCCCAAGTTGCCAGCAGACGGCGGCATTGAGGCGCCCAATGCGCTGCTCGATTGACTGGCCGGTTGTTGAGGTGGCGGCAACGTAGATCCCGACTGGCCGATCGTCAGTTGTTGCGAAGGCATTGAGGCGCCCAAGTTGCCAGCAGACGGCGGCATTGAGGCGCCCAATCCATAGCCCGACTGACTGGCCGGTGGTGACGACGTGGAACCCGACTGACTCATCGTTTGTTGTTGTGACGGTAATGTGGCGCCCGACTGACTCATCACTAGTTGTTGTGACGACATCGAGGCGCCCAATGTGGAGCCCAAGTTGCTGGCAGACGGCGGCATTGAGGCGCCCAATGCGCTGCCCGATTGACTGGCCGGTTGTTGAGGTGGCGGCAACGTGGAACCCGACTGGCCGATCGTCAGTTGTTGCGACGGCATTGAGGCGCCCAAGTTACCGGCAGACGGCGGCATTGAGGCGCCCAACGTGGGTCCCAATTGACCAGTGAATGACTGCTGAGCCGACGGCATCGTAGTGCTTGAGGCGCCCTTCGACTGCTGCTGTTGTTGCTGCTGCAGCGATTGCATTGAGTTGCCCAAGGGACCCGCCACAAACTGCTGCTTGGATGGCGTTACTTTTGGTGGTGCAGCTGCCTCCGCCGAGACCAAGCTAGCATTGCCACTGATCAGACCAGGCGATGCCGTGCGCGATGAGTTGGCGCTCAGTGCGCCATTGCTGCCATTGCTGCCATTGGTAATGGGCGCAACTGGCGTGGCGGCTGCTGTGGGTCCGTTCAGCGTGGTCGGACGCAGATGCACGGGCAGATTGGTGAGCGGTGCCGTCGGCGCTGGACCATTGCTCATGGGTGGCGGCAGAAATTTGTTCATCGCATTGTTATTGAATTGAGGTGGCGGCAGTGCAGTGCCAGTGGGCGTGGCATTTATGGGATACTGCGTTGGCTGTTGAGGGAAATGATGGGCTGGCTTCTGCGGTGCAACAGGCTTTTGCTGCTGCGGCGGCTGCTGCTGCTGTTGCAGGTAAATCTGCTGCTGCTGCTCCTGCGGCTGCGGCTGACCATTAACCAAGCTGCCGGAACTGCCATTTGGCGCGGGTGGCACAAAATTTGTATTGTATGCTGACATTCTGCGTTGGGCACAATTCAATTCATGGAATGCAGCTGAAAAGGTAGAAGGAGAGAGAAGAGTAAGTAAAGAATTAAGAGAGCAGGGGTAGAAAAAGGCAACCTTTTGTGTAAGCGTGAAAAGTTACAGCAAAACAGTTGAATATAACTTTTGTTTTTGCTTATTGGAAACGGGTAACCTATTTTGGCATTGGCCGGAGAGAGAAACTTATCATCTGTTTCATTAGATGTGGCTGTAGAAGACGCTTTTGGAATGGAAATCTTTATGAAATATGGAATACCTGGCTCATGTCTGATAAATGTTTGGAATATCTTAAATTGATTGCCGCACGCATTCGTCTAATTTGACGTGTTGGGTCTGTACGTGAAGGCCGCAGCTGGGGAAACTATTGTTGTTGCCTTATCTTATCGTCTCAATGGCAGAACCTCTATAAAACCAGAACTAGTTGACTCAGCTCTATGCATAATCGCTGCCAAACGTGCTCAGATAACAACAACAACAGCAACTACAACAAGAACAGAAGCTATATGAACTACATTGAACATATTTAGTATATAATAATACAAATATAATAGATACAAAACTTTATTTATTTAGCTAGATGGCACTTTGCTTTGGCACCATTATTTTCCGGCACAATTCATTTGAATAATACATATAGCCTAAATCAATAACAACAATAATTCGATAACACCCAAAAAGAAAAATATATATAACGGGACAAGCTAAATTTCCAATTAACAACAAAAGCTGACAGCACATTGATGCAGGCTAATTGCCATTTGCATTGCACTTTGCGTAACGAATTTTTCTTAAACTTCTTGCCAGCTTTTTTATGGAGTTTATGCCCTATTACAGGGTATAAGTATGGCAAAAAATGTTTTCTGGCTTTTATTTTTGAGGTATTTCGGCATTTGTTAATTTAACTAACCGCACAGAAGCGATTGCTTAAGTGCATAATATTGATTATTATAAATAAATAATGTGCATAATTAACAGAGCGTAATTTCATTCGATCGAAAAAGTAACTTTCCAACACTCAAAAATTCGATTTTTTACTTCTCAAAAAGTTGTTTTCCAAAACTAAGCAAATTGTATTCAAACAGCTTAGCTACAGATATATATACATATATGTACTTATAATATACAGTCTGTAAGGGTATTCAAAATGCAGCTACCCAAAGATAACTTTTCGTTTTTCACTGGAAGAATGTGTCAAGCTACGTGGTATTCAATTTACACACTGCGAAAGCGAACAAAAGCGACGCAGATTTGGTTTTAAAAAGTCGGTGGACTTGATAAAGCGTTTATTGAACTGGGAATGCGACATTGGAAGTGAGCTTAAGCTTTGTATGCCTTTACTGCTACTGATGCTTGCTGCTGATCAGTTGCTGCTGCTGCTGCTAATTATGCGCTCTGACAAAGCTGTTGAAAATGTGTTGCGTTTTATCAACCGTAATTGGCCATGTGATAAGACTAACTACTATTTGCTGGCATAGTACAGAGCAACTTGTTCTATCAGCAAACGTTGATGACGTCGTCGTCGTCGTCGTTGCCGGGCAGTGAGCGGAGTGGAAGGGCATTTTCCTTATTTTAAGCTTACCTTTCTTGTCGTCAATGTTGCCAAACTAATGGGATCGCTGGAAAAAGGGCGTTGGAACGTATGTTTGTGTGTGTATGTGTGTGTGTGTGTACTTGACCAGCACTTGCACTTTGTAGTTGGCTCTTCTTCTTGCCCTGTGCTCGTTAATTGACTTCTGTAGCATGCACACACTTTTCACTGCGTTTTCGCCCAATGCTGTGTGTATTTTTCTTCTATTGTGTTTGCAGTTGCAGTTGCAATGGGGCGCTTTGTATTAATAATTCCTTTGCAATTGGCACGCAACAAACGAAATTTCTATTTTTCTCTCTTTTTTTTTGCTGACAATGAACAACGGCGCTGCCTTGCGGGCTTCGGCCTCTATCTCGCACACAATCACTCTCGCTCTCTGTTAATCAGTGAGCGATTTTCGCGTTTTCGCGTATGTATTTGGTGCGTACTTGTTGAATTTATTTAAACACTGTTCCAGCACCGATTCACCGTTTAATTTAATGGACCAATTGCGTGCAAAACTTTTTGCATTGCAATTTCAGCCTCTAAATACACCTAAACACTAAAATTTAGAGCCACGTCAATTTGTGAAATAAGCTGGCACCACTACTAAATGTCAAACTGCAGCGTTGCCACTGTTTACAAATCAGGTTCAAATGAACGAACTCTTTGGCGCGTAACTCACAAATTTTCAAAACTTGAACGAATGATATTTATTTGCACTAACAATGTTTATTTTGTAATAATCATATAATGGATGATTTTAATTCTATGTGGGTAGTGTGTTTTATTTTTGTATAACTTCTAGGAAGAAATTCGTTAAAATATTTGTATGCAGGCATTTCAGTATTGCTTTCATATTTTTTTATTCATATGTGGCTGTCTGTATACTTGTGTATATTTGATTATTTTTAACAATATTAAAAGCGTAATATTCTTTATTCGTTTCATTTTGCGTTAACTTTGCGTGAGAGTATTCGGTAGTTTACAAAGAAAATATATAGCTTTGCCGTGCGGTAGTTGAAATGTTGGCAAATGCCAATTAAATTATATGCTAACTATATTTGAATACTATAAATTGATTTTTTGCTTTTTGCAGACATTTCGTTGGAGTCTTAGCTGCGGGTTTGCAAGTAAAGCTTTCGTCTTTATTATTGTGACAATGAAATTGAAAAATATATATAATACTAAAGTTAACGTTATTTGTTTTATTTGACAAAATCAATTGTGCTGTTGCCTAAAGTTTTGAATACAGGAATTAATTGTTAATAGTACTTGTATCTATTAGATATCATTTGTATTGTATTTCATCTATTAGAGTCTTTTATTTAAAAAATAGAATTTCTATGCTTAAATGTCTAACATTTTTCTGTAATCTACAACTTTCGTATTACATATAGCATAATGTGTTTTCATATCGTAAAAGGTATTCTTTTAGGTGTTCTCTGTTTTGCAGTTTACTGCGATTGCCTTTGAAACACGCTAGTACATATGTTATTAATAATATGTTGCTTTATACGAGTATGTTGCGTAGAGACTATATATTAAAGTGTTTGCTCTCTATATTATTATTTATTGCAGTTTATATTAGATTTATTAAATTTCAACCATTGTTTCTTTAGGTGCTTACGTTGTTTCGTTCAACTATTGCTGCTTTTAACTGTCTACTTAAACTTGGCGTTTGCATTTTCTGTTTGTTATGTGTGTTATGTGTTTAACTATTTACAATTATTAAACGGACACTAGATGTTTCCTTATCGCTTATCTCATATATCATTATTCATTATACTGTAAAACATTAAGTTTCCTGCATATGTTACGTTGTATCGTCGTCAGTGTTTGTGTCTGGGGTTTGCGCACTTCAGGATATTATACAATTGTTGAGGCTTCTCATTCTTGATATGAATCACATATATCTTTACATGGAAATATAGATATATATGACGAAAAACATTGGTGTTGGCGTTTCTTCTGACTCCCAATTCATGCATTATCTTTTGGCCTCCTTTTCCTGCAAATACATACGCTGACTCAGCGGCTTTGTATATATCCAATTATCGCCGACGGGTTTAAAGTGCTTTGAGTAAAATAAAGTTTATAAATTTATAATATTTTACCCTAAAGAGCATAAATCTAGCATACCTTATGCTCCCAAGCTAGGTCGTATTCCTTGCGAACCTTGGCCTGATCACGCTGCTGCTGCTCCACAACAAATTTGGCATTTGTGGCGCGCTCAATGTCATTAAATCTATTTGGGATGGAGTTTAATATGTTATTTAAATGTAAGTTTAATATATAAATTAATTAATGCAGCTAGTTAGTTATGCATAATAAGAATTTTACTTGAGTCCCGCAGTCACTTCCTTCCAAACACGCCGCGATTCATATTCATCCTGCTCAACGATTGGTCGAACTTGTTTCTTAAATATGGGTATGCGATTTACGTCGACGAATACTTCGGTTTTCTAGAAAATTAGAGATTCACGTGGTGGTCAGCATTTGAGGAAACAAAAACACACAGAGACACAACATCTACACAACAATATGATGTAGTGGGAGTTCAAAACGTGGGCAGGCAGTTTAGTATTGGTTTTAGTTTTAGTTTTGGGTTGAGGTTTAATTTTCTAGATAAACAAAGTAAGCACACACAGAGAAATGTGTTCCCAAATTATTTAAGAGAAAAGTACAAGTATCGCTAAAAGTAAACTGGAGCAGGTTAAAGACAGGTAGGTATATAGGTGGATAGGTTGAAAGTTGGATAGATAGTTAGATGTGGCTGCCAACTCGTAGTGTTGTTCGAGGCAGCGTATAAGGCGTTTACAGAAAAGGATAGCCAAAAAGGGTTTTAACTTTAACAAGTACATTAGCAAAAATTGTTAAATATACAACTATACATACATACATATTATAACTTAGGTTGCCAGCATGCAACTTACGTTCTTATCATGCCACTTGGCCTCCATTAGGCCGCTCCATTCGCCGGCAATTGAAACAAATGGCTTCTTGTCATTGGGAGAATAGATCTAAGTAAAGTTTTATAACGCATTATATATTTGGCAAATTATATATATATATTTTTAACGCACCTCGGCGCTGACTTTGTTGCGCTTGCCGCCATAGAAAGGCTTTGTGAGAAACTCCACGTTGGCATAGTAGCCGGTCTGTGGGCATTTGATTTCGACTGAGCCGCCCAGCTCAATCCAAGGCACCGTTAAAATAGACCTTGAAAGCGCAAGCATTTGATTATTATTATTAATGATATTATTAATTATTACATACCTGCCATAACCGTTTGGAAACGTAACAATGTACTCCTCGCTGCGATCCACCAGGGTAACGACACCCTCGCCAATGTTGTGCACGCCAATTGATAAGCCCAGGAATTTCGATTTCGTCCAGACATGAGCAGTGAATGTTATTTTCTTATTGTAATGCTCTGCATAAAAGGCTGAAACTGTAAAGCAAAATGGAGATCAATTGATGCCTACCGATTCGTCGCGAGAGTTAACCCACTTGGCGGATGATGCGAAACTTGCTCCGCTAAAAATGTTAGCTGATCCCGCCGGCACCAGGGCACAGGACCGTCATGCACCTCTTTTCCATCTTGGGTTTCACCTGTAGCATAGAAAACGAATTAGAAACAACGAATTCGGTCAGCTTATTGCTATGGTGCTACCTGGAATATCCCAGTGGCATTGAAATACTTCGCCCAGTATGGGATTGTAGGGCTTTTTGGCCACCGCGCTCTTACGACCCGCATGATAAGCGCTCATATACCAACGGCAAACCTGCACAATGCGATCGCGTGGGTCATCCAGCTCCGAGATTCTGGAAACAAATTAATTTTTTTAAGATTTTTATTTACTATTTTTAAAAATAAAAGCAACTCACTTGAGAAACAAATCGGGATGGGCAAAGTAATCGGCATACATTTCGAGCAAAGAGCGGCGCTCCAAGATGAACGTCGGCAGCACCACCTTGGTGAGATCCATACCGATCTTCACCTGCGACAAGAGATGCGTTATCATTGAACCGTGCGCCTCCATGCTGAGGTCCAATTCCTCCTCCTCTTCGTATAGTGCATCATAATCGATGCCATTGTCATAGCTAGACGAGCGAGAGCTTGGCACTTTGCTCGACCCAGTCTCATCGATTTCCGGCAGCTTCGAATGCCCAACAGTTGTTGTTGTTGTTATAGTTGTGGTAGTTGGTTTTGCTGCTGTGGCTCCGGCCAAATCGCCGCCGCCAACATAACTGCCCTGCGGCTTTTCGTGCGTAGGCGATGTCTCTGCAAAGCCGCGCGTGGCGCTGCAAATAAATTCCAAACTTGTTGATTAATATTCTGTATGCCGAAAGGACCTGGATCTGGATGTGTGTAGAATTTAAATCTTTAAATGATGTCAGCCTTGGCACACGCACGAGGTCCTGCCACCCTTTCACTCAGCCTCTCTGCGGCTCTCAACGTGCCTTGGCTCCATTACAATTTATAAAACGGACACAAACGCACACACTTACACACGAACACATTTGCAAGAGGTGCTTACCTTAGGCTAACGCGACGTACCCACTTCTTAAACATGGCAACACTGGCGATGCTGTCGGATGTGGATGCGAATGCAGTTTAAGCTGCATATGAGTCTTTAAAATGGCGATTGCAAACTTTTGTTTTGCATACTTTGCGGCGCCAGCTGTGCGCAACAAAGCAAACAGCTTATACATACACGCCACACACAAACACAAAAACCAAGGAAACACAATTGCATACACACACAGAAACATAAATCAAAGTGGAAACTATGAGCAAATCGCCATTTGAAAGAAGGAAATAAAACGAAGAATGGCGCACAGTCAACAGTCGACAGTCAGCGACGAACGCAACTACAAACTGACAGGACGAAATCGTAAATTGCACGACGTATCCCGGAGGCCTGGGCAAAGGACGACAACAACTGCTTGTCAGCTGTGACGTGTTGGCGTTGCCAAATCTGCTGACGTTGCAGCTTGCAAAATTGCATAAATTATTTAAAGGCGACTGACCAACTTAAGCACTATGCATGCAAATGTGTGTGTTTCGGATACCTGTGCTGCAATTGCATTGGGCATGCGCCCTCTAAATACAATTTTAAGAGAGGCAGCTATATATATGTATATACAAACAAACATGTATATATGTACATACTTTGCGGTTGTACGCATTTTGGTAGCCGGCATCTGTTCACATGGCAACGCTGGCAGATAACTGTTGTTTATCTCTGCACACTTACCATCCAATTGGTGAGCTACCCACACTGGTGAAGGGATCATCGTAGGCATCATAAAAGTCTTCTTCACCTTCGCTGCTCGAATAAGAGGTTTCGGGTACAACCAGACCTAATGGCGCAGTGGTGGCTGTAATGAAACAAACACATACATATATATATATAAAGCAATTGCATTTTACGCAAGTTTCAATTGCCAATTCATCGATTAGCAACTCATTAACAAGCCACTTGGGCCATGCATATGCACGCATACATGCATACACACATACGTATGTGTGCGGCCCTGAATACACGTATTGCCATATTTTTTTCACAAGCACTACATACATAATGTACATAAAAATCTTGCAGTGGCATACAGAAGTTTAAATACCCTAGGAAAAATATTGCACAGTAATGCACAATAAAAGAAGTTACGAGGTTACCGGTTAATATTAAAATTAAAACTGTTGTAAAAAAATTAATTATATGAGCACCGGCAAAAGCTTGAAGCTGTTATAAAAATTATAAAATGAATTTATATAATAGTCTACCAAATCTTTTTCGTCTATACTATTCAATAAAAAATAAATATAAATCGAAAAGAATTGCTTTCATAAATATGATAAATGATAAAATATAGGACAATAACAATTCCCATATAACGCTTTCTAGTGCCCAAAATATTTTTCAATACATAAACTGCTTTCAGATAAACTGCTTCTCAAATAGTTATCCATGCAGAAACAAAGTGATAAGATAATAACTGCACATGCAGATTATGCCATTGCAAATCTCTTCACTAATTCAAGATACCCGCGCTAAGTGTAAATCAAACAGTCAAATCTAAAGAAACATGCAGCAAAAATGTGACCGTCAGAATGTATTTTACAGTTGGATGACATTTACCGTTTTCCGTTGCTGAATCATCCTCATCGTCGCCCGCCAATTCGCTCTTGAGAGCGTCGTTCGCCTTGCCGCTGCCGCCGCTGCTGCTGCTGCTGCCGCCGCCACTGTGGCCCATGGCCGCCGTTCCCGTTGCCGCTGCCATCAACATGCCAGACGTTGTTGTTGTTGTTGTCAGTGTCGTGGTGGGGCCATTGTAAATGCCATTGATGGGGTGCGCCATATTTTTGGCAATTTGTAGACTAACAATCGAGTGTTTGATATGATCCAACATGGCCTGCAAATGCAAAGCGTCAAAACAAATCAAATAAAAGAAGAAATAAAAAGCCAGCGCGCAAAGGTGTCAAGACCTCGATTAAATAACCATGTCGGATGGACTGCACGACCTGTCCGCCTGCCTGTCTGTCTAGCCGCCTGCCTGTTTATTATTTTTGTTCCGCAAAAACAGTTTGCCTCGAAGTTTGCCAAAGAAATGAACAGCTGGGTTGTGACTGCAGCTGGCGCGAGCTCGCAAAATTTCCCATACAACCACCTCATGCATATCTAATAATACACCCGGCTGGGCCCAGCTAAGGCTCTAACCCTGAACTTGCATTGCAAATCAATATTTCATCTGCTCGCCTGCCAAAACTGTGACTAAAAATTCCAAAACAAAACAAAAAAAAATGTTATAAACTAAGTGTAAAGCATTTCACATTGTTCACACACACACACACACAAAAAAGGGAAATTATTCTGGCTAAATATGGCTGACGAGCTGCTTGATCCCATGGAGCATAGCATAGACGAGCTACGTGACCAGTTCGAGCGATACAAGTTGCGTTGTGCACAATTGTTTAATGCGAAAGACGACCAGGAAGATAAGTTACTCATGGAAAAGCAGCTGCAGGATCTACGCGCGGATTTAGAAGAGTTGCGCACAGAAATGACAGTTCTGCAGATACGACAGTCGGATCTAATAGGTTGGCACGATGTGGATGCCATCGAGGATGGCGAGCAGTTCGAGGCCGACGCCAAAACTGACAAGTTGGAGCGAACACAGTTGGAGGAGGAGTCGGATGGCAGGCTGATTATCAGCTGCGGCTCGAGCCCGTGCGTGTTTGAGCATTGCCGCCGGCGCGTCGATAGCCAGCTGCTACTGCTGCACTACCTCTGCGATCATAATGAGACCGTCGCCTCCCAGCGCTGCCACAAGCTGTGCGAGAGCCAGCGTGTCGTGCTGTCCTTTGATACCCGCAGCTGTCACTTTAAGCAGAACCATGTGATTGGTCTGCTCGCCTTTAGCGGCTCTCCGCTGCAGCAGCAGGAGCAGCAATTGCTGACATCGGTGCAGGAGCATGAGCACCTGGCCAGCGATGTGCCCGTCGTGGTGCTCATTTGCAAGACGGCCGCCAATTCTGCACTGAAGGATAAGCAGCTAGGCAACCGCATGCTCACACATGCCAATCCCAAGGATCAGGTGTTTGTCATTTGGCTGGCAACGCCAAATGATCAGCTGCAGCTAAATGCCGCACTGAGACTGTGCGGACGCGATGCGGCCCTACAGGCCAGCACCATTGTGGCCGTGCGCCAGGTGTGTCAAAGCCAGGACACGTGCCACTTTATGCTACCGGATGCCAGCCATTGGCGTCTAACCTTTGGCGAGTTGAAAAACATTTCGAATAACTTCCGCGACGAACTGCATCTGGAGATTGCCCTAACTGCGCTGCGTGGCAGGTTGTTTGTTTAGTTCTGCCTTAGGCTGCTTAATAAACGTTGCGTCTAACTCACACTTGCGTTGTCCTGCAGCGCCTTGCACTTGGCCTGCTCCGCGGCGTCGCTTAGCTCGGCGATGCGTTTGTCCAGCGCCTGTTTTGGGAGTACAATTCAATTACATAACAGTTTAGCTACTATAAAGGACTCGCACACTCACATTGGTTTGGTCTATCATCAGCTGCAGATAGGCATCCGCCTCGGAGACACGTCGCCCCACCAGCTCCAAGTGATTGGCCCGTTTACTGCTCGACTCCTTCGTGTAGCCTCCGGCAAGGTAAAAGGCGCTCTGACTGTCCCACAGACGCGAACGATTCGCGTGCCGTCTTATTGTGTCCTCCAGACGTCGCACCCACTGCTCACGCTCATCGCTGTGCCGAGCCTGTTCGGTGTTTGGGTTTGCCAATAAGTTTTATCGTTACAATAAGTTTGAGCAGCGGCGCCAAAGCGAAAGGCGGGGTAAAAATACAGAGCCAAAAACAAAATCAATGAAAATAAATAAATGAACTTGACCGAGAGTTTGGGTGTGTGTCAATATGAGTGGGTCTTCAGAGTTCAAAATCATAACATTTATTTCGATACCCTGTAAAGCGATTGCCATCGGTATATTAAGCTTTATATATGGCAACCAAATTTGTCCATGTCTAGATTATTATATATATACATATATATTATTATATATATATATATGTAACGCATAGAAGGAGACATCTCCGACCCCATAAAGTGTATATATCTATAAATCAGAATCAACAGCCAAGTTGATATAGTCAAGTCTGTATGTTCCTCTATCTGTTTCTATGTCAACAATTCTCTCAGTATACTCAAATTTCGCACATGTCTGCAAAACCGTAAGGCAATGTCTACATGGGTATCAAATCTTCGGCGTGCTTATCCTGATTATCCCGTTGGATAAAGGAATTCTATGACGAGTTGTTAGGTAGTTCCAGCTGCAAAAATCGCAGTAAACCCATCTGGGTCTAAAAACGCATCTCCAAAAGATCTGTGTAAAAGTTCCTTTCAGAAGTGTTTCAGCCCCATTCTGGAGAAAACTGGAGCTCATCGATTTCGGCCAATCTCGTTTACAAACTTTATTTAAAGCAAAAATCTCGGTGCGAAGAAGACCGGAAATTATCCCCAATTATTTTATACGATTTCTAAGTACACACCTGAAAGTGAAAGGTCTTGTGATCCACAGTTATGGTGAATGTATTATCCTCCTGATCGTCGATGCCAATGAGCGCATCCTTGAGACGAACGCAGCCGCGTCGCACGCCCTTCATCATCTTCTCCTTGGACTGTAAACGGAATACATAGTTACACTTAAACATTGAAAAACAATTGTATAAAAACTACGCAATTTGTAGCGGAAAAACTTTGAGAACGCGTCGGTCTTGTCTGTGACGTGTGCCCATAGGCGAAATGGTCAACGACACAGTTTAAAATGAGTTGGTTTTTTTTTTGGTTTTTTGAATAAATTAATGGTGTTTGTTACGAAGCTAAGCGATTAAAAATCAATGCGAGCATTTGACAATTGCCCAGATATCAGCGATAAGTCGGTCGCATTGCAACGTGAACAGTCTCGGGGCTAATCGGCACGGATTAATCCACGCAATACGCAGGACTCTGAGTAAAATTTCAAAAAACAAACAAAAACAAAAAAAAAAATAAAATAAACAACAAAAAAATGGACGCGCCAACAAGTGAGAATCTGGGGCATATTTGTTATTTCTTCAAGTGCTTAATTATACTTTAGATATGAATATATATATAACAATATATACTTTTTTAAGCACAAGAGTTTGATCATCCTGCGATAATGTCGACGCCTTGGTTTATGCTCGGCGCCTTGGGTATATATTTGCTATTAGTTACAAAACTGGGACCAAGGTGAGTAGTATTGAATCCAGTCCTCAGCTATAAAAAGTGGAATTTTAATGAGTTTGTGAGTGAGAATAATTAAAGCGCGCACTCTACACTTTGTACATTGAAATATAAAGAACGGCATGAAGTTAATTACCAATTCAATTGAGCTGTACTCTATTCGCCTAAATTCGCGTGAAAGGGACTCAAATTACATGTTTAATCAAATTGGAATTTTTGTTCTTGTCTATTTTAAGCTATATGCACGCTCGAGCGCCCTACGAACTGAAGAAACTGATCATAGTGCATAATATTGTGCAGGTCATATCGTGCATATTCGTTGTCTACGAGGTGTGTTTCCAAATGGCCTTTAAATTGACATTTTTTGGAGTACAAAAGAACCTGATTTCTTTGCAGATATTGCACATAACCGAGTACACAATCATATACTTTTGGAGATGCAGCGTCTTGGAGGAGACGCCCGTGCGTATGAAGCGTCACTTTCGCTTGGCGTACTTCCTCTTTTGGCTGAAGCTGTCCGAGCTCATGGAGACAATGATATTTGTGCTGCGCAAGAAACAGAACCAAGTGACCAAGCTGCATGTGTTCCATCATATAACCACAGTAACTCTCATCTATATGCTGATCAATCATAATCGCAAAAATGGTGCGTGAACTGCTTCTAGTTAGTTTTGCCAAGTGCCAAGTGTATATTCACATGTGATTCCTCATCTTGCAGGCTGCGATGCGCTGTTTCCCATTCTGCTCAACTCCAATGTGCATATTATTATGTACACGTATTATCTGATTGCCGCCGTGGCGGATAAGTCCACGGTGCGTGCTTTGATGCCCGTTAAGAAATCAATTACCGTTATACAAATGACACAATTTATACTAATTATGGTCCATGCAACATTTGTATCGATCAATTGCGGCGTGGACAAGAAAGTCTTTATATATTTCATATTTGTGATTATGCTCATGCTTTACGGGTTCTACGACTTCTATCGCAGCTCCTACAAGAGCTCGCAGCGCAGGAAAAGCGAAGCAGCAGCAGCCGCTGCAGCCGCAGCTCAGGCAAAATTACGTTAAATAAATAAATGTATGTATGTATGTGTTCACACAAACAAACTCATGTGTATACGCATTTTTTGATTAATTGGCGACGTTGATTGCGGGAAGCGACTCGGTATAATTGTCGTTGACTGGGCAGATAAGATAACAATTAACGCAGCTCCAATTTAAGTAGATAAACGCAAAAAGTTTCCATCACTTGTCAAATGACACACAAAAGTGAGGATCACTTACCGTATAGTAGGACAGCAGGCCCGCATTCTCGTCCAGAACGAAGAAGCGATACTGCCAGCCCTTCATCACGTTTGTCCATTTGCTCAGTGTGCCCTCCAATGTGCCGGCCGAGGTGGATGCCATGTTTCAACTGCTGCTGGGGCTGCGTATGCTACAGCTATTGGGCGCCGATGGGGATGCCGTTGCCACTGTCACTGCCAATGCCGCCGTTGTCAGCTGATCTCCTGGGCTACCGTTTGGACGGTGTGTGAGTGAGATGTTCGCTGGTGTTTGTGCCTGGTGACGCAACAGTCCTCCTACTCGCTCGTTCAATCCAAACTTTACTACGCCTGTAGCAGGGCTTGGAAAAACAAAGCATTTATTGTTATGCCGTGATTGTGCCTGCTTATTAATGGTTCGCTTGTTGTCTCGCTCAATAGAGCGAGTGAGGTAATCGGAAAAAGGGTTGTCAGTGCACGCAAATTTCACTGGTATTTTTGCTTCTTGCAATGCGGTAACACTGTCTTTTTGTTTACATTCAATTAATCGGCGGCAAAAACTTATCGAACAGCAGTTATCGAAAACTGCCTTTGCCTTTAACTGCAATCCAATAGCACGATTATGAAATTGTGAACTTTATTTAAAAACTGTTTTCTTAAAACTAGGAATGAATGAATGAATGTTTTTATGCAGCAATGAAATTAACAAATTCGTATAGTGTTCTTGCCCATAACCACTATCGCGCCCTCATCTTGCACCTCTTTCAGGGCATCTTCAAACTGTTCGCGCGTAATCATCTAAAAATAAGAATGAAATTAATGTATTTATAAAGTCAACAGGATTCAAACAAAGAACTTACGATCTGGGAGCCTTCCTTGATCTCCTTAAATAGCTTCTGGTACGGCACTGTCGGCACTTTACCCTTCTTTTTAAGATTCTCCTTGATGGCAGCCACCAGATCAGCGCGTTTCTTGCGAGCTGCTGTGGACAGGCCAGTGGTGAGGATGCCAACATCGATTTTACCCGACAACGGATCTGTTGCCGATTGTTTCAATGCCTCGCGATGCAGTCGCCAGGCCTCCTCAACATCTTGCAACTCGACAGCGTTGCTCAGCCGCACCTTGGCGTGCGCCTCCGACAGGCGTATCAAGCTCTCCAGTTGCCGTGGATAAGCTGAAATTTGACCACGACCAGCGCCCACCTTGCGCATGTCCACGTACGCCTGAATCAGACGCTGTTGCGCCTCATCTGACAATGTGGGCGAGAGGTGCTCTCGCGCATAGGCAATGTAGTCACGCAGCACGCTCATATCCTGTAAAAAGGCAGGGATAAATACAAACTGGCAGAGGTGAGGTCTTAAATCTTAAAGCTTACAAACATGGTGTCCTCCTCCTCGTGACGGGTTACATAGTAAAGGGATACCAAATGGCTGGCCAAGCGCTTGTCGAAGAGCTCATCTTGTGGGTCCAATACCAGGAAAATCAAATCAAATCGCGACAGCAGCGTATGCGGCAACTGCACATTGTCGATGATATTTTTGCGTTTGTTCCACTGAGACTCGGCGGGATTGGCGGCGGCCAAGATAGAAGTGCGTGCATTCAGCTGACAAATGATGCCAGCTTTGGCAATGCTCAAAGTCTGCTGCTCCATCACCTCGTGCAGCACACTGCGCGTCGAATCGTTCATCTTATCAAACTCATCTATGCAACAGACACCATTATCGGCCAGAACGAGAGCGCCCCTAATATACAATAGATATTTTTAATAAAGATTAAATTTGAATTCGCATGACGTACGTTTGCAAGACCAATTGGCGTGTCTCCGGATCCTTGGTCACATAAGCGGTCAAGCCTACAGCGGAAGAGCCGCGGCCGGAGGTATACTGCGAACGTGGCACCAGATTATAGACGTACTGCAGCATTTGTGATTTGGATGTACCGGGATCGCCGCAGAGCAGCAGATGTATCTCAGATCTAAAGTTTTGGCGACCAAGGGTCGAATGCTTCTTCTTCGTGCCGCCAAAGAGCTGCAGCAAAATGCCCTTCTTGATGTCATCGTTCTCGTAAATGGACGGCGCAATGGCGCGTGCCAAACGATCGTATATATCAGGCTTCTTCGACAGCAACTGCAGCAGCTCAATGCGTTCCGGTGGAAAAATGTGGTCCTTGCTGCAAGTAAAAAGAAAATAATTTAACCAAAATGGACAAACAAGAGCTAATTAAGTAGAAACTTACCCCTCCTCCTCCTCGTACAGACGCTTGTTGTCCACCTTACGGAAATGCACCACATCGACGTGCGTCTTGTACACGCTCTTCACATTCGGTCCCTTACCCCTCAGGGGCGTGGCTCGATAGATGCCAGTGACAGTAATGCGATCGCCAGGCTGCACTTTGTCCACCAGATCGTTGTGTGCATACAACAGGACATTGTGTGGTGTCTGTCCGGCAGCCATGTCATCTGGTGATTCCTGCAGCTTAATGAGCTGTTTGTCCGTAAACTCGCTGCGATTGTGTATGATCCGGAAGCAGTGATTGGTGTTGCAGTTGGTGCACAGTGTTGGCTGCGCAATGCGTCCACGATCCACCTCGACGGTGGTGCAGAAGGAGCAAATGTTGCACATGAAGAACGCCTCACGCATTTCCGGTATGACGTTAGAGGAGCGAATAACCATGCCGCTAATACTGATCAACTGATCCATGTCCTCTGGGTTCAGAGAGCGCATGTTGCGCGTCTTATCCGCATTGAAGGGACGTACCTGAATCTGGTGCTCCAACAGGGCGGCCGGATAACGCTCAAAGAACATCTCATTAATGGCCATGTCAAAGCCGGGTATTACTTCCTGGGGATAGCATATCAATTGGCGATATAAATCCTGATCGAATGTTTTTAAATGCGCGCAATTGAGATTTAGATAGGGCTCCTCCAGCGTGTGAATCTCCTCCAGCTTTTGCAAGTACAACGGCTGATTGACATCAATGTTTTCGGAAATTTCATCCTGCTCGGCACTTGGATCGATGAAGCGCATAATAAACGATTTAAATTTGGACTTGCATTGGCTAACAACCACATTGGTGCCCCAGACGACCAATTGTGGTGCTGCCGAGGACTCGGAAACAGGATCTGTGGCCTCCGAACCCTTCTCGGCTATGGGTTCCAGCTGCAATGGTCAAGAGCTTAAATACTCAAATCAAAGCAAATAGCTTATCCTGCTACTTACACCCGAGGTGCCGCCAATGGCCACTTGGCGCATGCGCTTATCCGTGCGTATATCTGGGCGCGCACGCAATGGTGTTCCACGAATGCCGGAACGCGGTGTACGTATAGAGCCCATGGAGCTGGGGGTGCCGTAGTTAAGGGGCGAACTCAAATCAATCTCACTCATGCCGCCCAAGCCACGCGCCGGACTCGTGGCGGGCAAGCTAACATTAGCCGGCGACGTGGGCGGCAGACTAATGTTATCAGAGGGCCGACCGGGCACACGGCCAGGGCCCATACGCATCGGTGTTTCCACATCCTGCGCGGCAATGCCTGCATGGACATTTATGTACATGACAACTTTTGTAATCACAAAAACTTACCTCGGGTGGGAGTACGCGCTCCTTGCTTTGGTGTGCCAGATCCGACATTGGGCGAACGAGCGGGACTTGACATTTTTCGTTAGTTTTATATATGTATCAGTTTTACGAGTTCCACAACAAATAGCAGCACTTTTTAATCTGTTTGTTGACGAGGCTGTGGACAACGCGCCGTCTTTGGCTTTGCGCGGGAAATGTTGACAGTTGCAGCTGTGACGCAGACGCGCAGTGCTGCCAAATGGCTGCAGGTAAGTGTGTAGTGTTGGAAAATGGGTTTTTAACTGTTGCCGCGAAAAAGTACAATTCGAAAATTCGATTTAAAAATGATACAGATTTTGAGTTTGAAAATTGTACATGCGCATTTTCAAATATGACACCAGTCTATCCATAATAAATCCCTACCATTTGTAACTTTGTTTACTCGGCCTAAACTGTGAAGCCATGTGGCAACCCTGCCCTTTTTGGCAACACAACATTCTACGTCAGTCAGAGTCAGTTTAGAGGCGGCGACGAGGCGAATTCTGTTTTTGTTAGCAGTGTCTTCTAAATTACCAATGTAGCTAAATATATGTACATCTACAATTTATTTTTTTAAATCATTCTGGCCCAACGTTGTAAATTTATAGTATTTCAAATTCTTAACAATGGCTCTATAATTACACAAAAGTGAAAAGTTGATAAAACCGAAAAAAAAAGAAGAAAAATAAATAAGAGAGTCTCTGACATAAAGGGAAAAAGTCAAATTTGCTTAACCCAATTTGGAATTGAGAAGACAAAATCTAACGGGTTTTATGCGCATATCAATCGCCTCGTTGTTACCGTTGCGGGAGTAGAGCGGTGCGTAAAGTGTATTAAGTGCCCGAAGCTGTACTTGGGCACTCGGACAGGCTGTAATCATGTCAAGCGAGGAGATGCTATACGCAAAGGTACATTTACACATTATATTGATGCCCCACAAGTGCATTGTTGGCAATTCCGCGCTGTCGTCGTCGCCGTCGTCGTCGTCGAGCCCAGCGCCCCATAGTGTTAAGAATGGGGGCTTATAAAAACGCATACATAATAACAATAACAACGTGTGCTGCATGCATGTGTGTGCATGTGTGTGTGTGTGTATGTGTGTGTATGTGTGGTGCAATAATTTCATTTTTGCATTTCTTAATTTTTTACAAGCACCTTGCGCACCCGCTTCGTCTACAACAGCCCCTATTGATGTCATGGCAGAGTCATGGTGCATTTATAGGCAAG